ATTTCAAACCAGAACCAAGTCTTTCGGTGTCATCATCACCGGCACGAGGTATCACGTGAAAATTTTGCGTCCCTGATTGGATGCAGCCGCTTCAAACGCATTCGAATTGCTCCGAGTTGCATGGCCCTCACGGCCCTCACCACCCTCACCACCCTCACGGCCCTCACGGCCCTCACCGCCCTCACGGCCCTCACGGCCCTCACCGCCCTCACGGCCCTCACCACCCTCACGGCCCTCACCGCCCTCACGGCCCTCACGGGCCTCACAGCCCTCACGGCCCTCACTCACCCTCACTCACCCTCACACTCATGAATTTTCCTGGTTCAGAAACTCACTCACCCTCACCTCACCTGTGAAGATGAGGGTGAGTGAGGGTGAGTGAGGGCCCTCATGAGTGAGGTTTGCCGAGGTATGGGTACAGGCGCGTGAACCTAGCTTAGCAAAACGCTTTTGTTTGTACGAGAACTCGTGCATAGGAGCCACTTTCCAAAGCCACGCGATCGTGCCCTTGCCTTTGTCTACACTGCTGATGTTGGCTTGTTAGAACAGCGTCCAGTGACTGGCGGAAAGAAAACAGTGCAAAGGGTTGGGCGCGCGAGCGTCTGGAGACGCGGAGTCCCGCTCGGCTCGTGCGCTGGCTTTGGCAGTGCTTCTTTTCACCGTCTCAGCTGAGACGCTGTTTGTAGCAAGTTGGCCCTGGTTTGGAGCGCACGTTCGTTTATTCTACACTTGAATATTGGCGTGACGAAAACCTCGCACGCACAAAGTTTTCAGTCACTGAGAGTTTCACCTTTTAACTCTAGCGACGCTAAAACGGCTTGAATTATTCGTGTCACAAATTTAGAGTTCACGACCACCGCTAGGGGCTGTTTCGCGGCCTGTGGTTGGCCCAGAGATGCTCGCCTATTCAAACCAATGTATGGCCCAACTCTCTCGATAAACGGCTCTGCGCCAACGAACGAGCATACGGCGCCGAGAGCAGGCCTTTTTAGCAGACGATCTTTTCGACTCAAAAGCGGCGCGCGTTCTGCAGGCGGCGACAGTCGCAGAAACAAAAAAGACAGGCGCGGTAACAGCAAGGAACTGCAGTTCCTTGTCTGCAAAAGGGCCGGCTCTCGGCGTCGTCTGCTCGTTCGTTGGTGGCAGTTGGCGTCGCGACCGCTTGCGCCGTCTCTTGTCTCCCGTGCGAAACGGCGCCGTGTTGTTTGCAGATCAGTGGCGTCGCTGCATTTCGATAGGAGCTAAGCCTTTTTCTTTCTTTACTTTTTCCTCAGGTAACTTCGCTCTTCGCAAATTTTACAAAAAAAAAAATGCACCATCTGTGGGCAACGCTGCACAAAGTCGTAGCGCGATAGGTTAAGAAACCGAATTTTCCGGTCGATTTAAAGAGCCTGGCGTCTCCTTGTTTCAGCCTGTAGTTCGAGGAGCGTTGTTTAGCAGTCAGCCAACCCTGCTGCCTTCCACGTTCATTCGTGCGCACTCCTTTGAAGTGCGAAATGTGGGTTTGCTTCGGCCCTTCGGCATTAAAACAAAGCGAGATTCACTTCCCTCTTCTCCTCTTGCGCTTTGCTCCGATGCTTGTTTTTGTTATACTGAATCTGTAGTGTAAGTCCACCTTTTACATGGTCTTTGTTCCGATGCTTGTTTTTTGTGTTATATGTTTTAGTGGACTGGGGTTACAAGCAAGCTAGCGGATTCCCGCTCATTTCCATTGATTTTAGTCTCTGCATATGCTTCGTTTCACTTTGCAATGGGCCGCTGCGGACGCTACGAGTCACCCCAGGCAATCCAGCACCTTGAGCGGGACTGCAGGGTCACGCGACACTCAGAAGGCACTGGATTGGTTTTGATGGCTCTCGTGCTGTCTGTTGCGGTCCATCATAAGGTGAAGCAGACTATCGTCACCGCTCTTGTCGCGTGACCGAACTGACTAGACTTGCGGAAAGACCATTCCGCGCCAGACGAGGCGCGACGTTCTGTGCGGGCAACTGTTAGCTGCCACTGAGGTTTTGGCTTCCGCGCGTCTCGGCTATCCGGTCTGCATTCGTGCTCCTCGTCCTGGAGCCTGTTTGAGGCGGTGAGAAGTCAGTTGGGCGGTGCTGTTGAGGAAACACAGGGAATGTCAATTCGAACGGTGCGGTATTACCCCGTTAATTGTATCTTGGTGCGAAGCTAGCTTTGTCGACGCTGACTGCGCGACCCGTCACCACAACGCGAACAACCGACACCGAGGCAGAAGAATGATTCGGTTGGTACCGTCTGCTGCCTGAGCCCGCCGCTCGATCAGCGCGAAAAGGAACATCACAATTCGGACGAGAAGACAAGAAAAATACAGATCGAGTCATGGCATCGTAGAAGACATTTTTTGACAGTAGTCGCGAAAAAAATAAACAAGCTGCACGCTGCAAATTGTGCAACGAAACTATACACGGTGCAGTCGGCGCATCATCGAACTTTATTCGCCATCTGAAGAGGAAACACGAGAATGAGTGCGCGAAGTGTGGAAAAGGGCAGGCGAACCAGCCAAAAATTGAATTGAATATGATAAGAAATATCGAGATTCGTATAAAGCAAGCGTGAACTTACGCGTTTTAAAACAGGTTTCGTGACATGGTCTATATTATACGGTCCCTCGTGCTGCGCCGTAGAAGTTGTATTTTGTCAGAGGATGTGTTCTTGCCACTGTGCATGGAGTCGCTTCCAGCAGTGTACTAGCCGTGTTGCTGTATTTGAAGAATACAGTAATATAGCTTATTCCTGCGCCACGCACGAACTGGATATTTTTATGGACTTATCAAACAAACACGCCGGCCGCGTATGTCCTAAAAGTTAAATGCAAAGAGTTGAAGAAAAGAAAATGAGTGGTTTAAGTTTTGCTGTTTGTAAATAAACACTTTGTGCCACCAGCGGTCCGCTTAGTAAAAATGTTCAGGAATATAGTTTTCTTTTTTTTTTTTTTTTTTTTTTTTGCAATTGTCTCTGCATTTGTAATGTCAGTTTAATGCTGCTTACGCCGGCAACACAATGTAGCTGTCAAGTGCCAATTTTTTACGTTTAGGAATTAGAGGAATGGAATGGAATGATTCAGCCATTCCAGGAGTGGGAATGGGCCCAGTGTCTCCATTCCTAGGAATTGAAAGGAATTGAATTATCGAAAACTCTAATTCCCCTGAATGGAATTAGAATGGAATGGGGGTGCCCATTCCGCAACACTGGAACGATGCCCAGCTATATTTTGTTTACCTAATATTCGCCATGTCACCAAAAAACTAAACATTTCTTTCTGAAAAAAGATGGTGTATGTGGGTTTTTTTTTCCTTAAAAACAAGTTGAACTTAAAAAGTGTAGGGGCGGTAACCCCCCTCCCAAATCCGCCCATGGTATGACGTCAGAAAACATTATATGCGTTCAGTATGAGTTTAATTCTCGGAGGCTCACTCGAACAAAGCCTTGTCAAACAAAATGTAGTTAATGCGACCTCTGAAAAAAAAAAATTATGTCAAAGTGGTAGGGGAAATCGTGTTGCATATGTGAAACGTTCTAGCGTCACAAGCGCTTAGCGATACTCCAAGTTTCCAGACGCAAGACGCTTAAGTTCACGGGGCTCTTCATCAGATAGTTTACCGCGTACTATGTGTACACTTTGTAGAATTGTTCCTAGAATGAAGCAATACTGCCGCTAATCGGGCTGATAAATCTAGCGATCTCCCAGAGCCTTCCATACTCGTGAGCTCTTCTCCCTCAGCTGCACAGGTGGTCGAGCTTCTCCTCGCCTACCTCACTTTTTCTCGCCTACGCCACTGGTCACATGACCTCCCCGTTAACCAATCAGCGCCGAGCACCCCACTTCTCATCTTCCACCTGTCAACCAATCAGCGTACAGGCTCGCGGCCACGCTTTTATCTAGGCTTCACGAAATGCCGAACACCTAGCCAAAGAACGTTTCACGTTAAAATCAAGTCAGTCAACTAAAAATTAAAGAATTGTGCCCCATCCCGTTCACTCCCTTCGATATTTTTTTCTTCGATGTCCATTACGAGCAAAGCGCAGCAAGGTTCGTGCTCTTTATTGCCTATGACTTCCATTGCGAAGAGTGACCCATATCGCATTTTTTTGCGAATATTTAAAATACAAGTATTTAAAACTATACATTTTCTGTATTTAAATGCAACTGACAAACGCATTCCCCAATATGTAACTAATGCGAAATACAAAACACTAAAATTATTTGAAATGCGTAATTCAAGTAGTTGTTTTTGAAATACTGCTTATCCCCGACTCCTACTGCCACCTGGCTCGCTTCAGCAGTATTACTGGGGGGGGGGGGGGGGGGGGGGGGGGGGGTCGGGGGTCGGTGGCCGAGTGGGTTAGCGCACACCAGCCCGGAACACGTGGGGCGAAAGCTCGCGCTGTAGAACTCGCCCGTTTCGATCGCCACCCCTGCCGTTTCGACCTGAGCATCGTACCGGCGTGCGGTCGTGTAAAGCGCGTGATGCATGCCAAAGACCCCAGGCTAGCGGTTGTACTGCACTGGAGCACTGGATAACTTTACAAATCCACGAGTTCGTGCGAAAACGACTAGTACTCTCTCAAAAAAGAGGAAGAAAAAACGCACACACACACGCGCGCACACACACACACACACACACACACACACACACACACACACACACACGCACACACTAGAGAAATAGCGCGTGTGAGAAACACATCTCAAACAATCGGTCCGAAAAATTTTTCTGAATCCTCTGTCCCAAAACACCCACACATAGGTATATGAATGCGTTAAATAAAACAATAAATCGCCAAGAGCGGAACTTGGTGGGCAGGCTGGGTTCTCCACGTTCTCCAGGAGGTTCTCAGATCCGTCCTTCGCATGTTGTTGTAGATGGCGCAAGTGACCGCCTGATCCTAGACTACCCGATTTTAAAAGCGTATACGATAGCTCTATCCGGATTCATAGAGCCAGGAGGAGACAATCCATTTGTCTGCCCCAGGGGCGGGATGGATGGCCGGTTGCGTCGAGCGGTCGGGCTAGAAATTGTTTTACGCTTGCTCATTAAACGAAAACCAGCCTTTCGCGAGTTTGGATTATTTTTGCCGGAAGAGGCAGTGGCACTCTCAATGCCAACCGTCATTGCGTGCGAAGCCAAAGAGTGCGACGATGACTCATAGCCCCTAAGACGAGGTGAGCATGCCATCGGCGTTTGTCGGATCATGTGATGAGGCGCCTTCTTCAAGTCTCCGTTCGGCCCCAGCTGCTGGAGCAAGCCTTGCCGAACAAAACCTTAACCTTCTCCCCACCCCGCTCGTGACCATCGTGACCGTGATTGGTAGCATCCAGTGATTTCGTCATGGAACACCTCACAGGGAGGGGCGCCGTGGCTTGCCTTGATGTGTCGTGGCGAGGAGTGAAGTCTCCCCGGCTTTTCGACGGAGCGGTGAAACGTTCACGGACCACGGCGCCAGTTCGCATACCCATTTACCGTACCTTACCTAACGAGGAGTGTGGTGACCGCCCGCGAGCATTGTCACAGGACCATTATGTCGCAATACATGGCTTGCGTTGACGTCGCATCAGCTGTCATTGTGATGATTCTTGCCGCTGAACGCGTATCTGTGGCAACACACATTACGTACCGCCCAATTTGTTTTCCGGTTCGAGAATAGGTAAAAATGACCCGCGATGACGTCAGGTGCAAGCCGTGTATTTTGTTGACTCGAATGCTTGGCTTATGCAGTGCGAAAAATGGTGCGTAGCTGATGTACGCCGACCGCGAGTCTAACATCTTTGCAAAGACTGGCTTGTGCTACGCTCTGAACATGATAGCGGGGAGGGTGAAATCAACTATGTAACAGATCAATTGCTTTTTTTTTTATTTGGAGCCCGTTTAGAACACATGGTTTTGCCACATCAAATTGCGAGGTTGAAATAGTGAGAACTGAAATAATACTTGTTTCAACTCCCAACTCCACAAAGTTGAGGCATTGCAGTAAGGCGGGAAAGCCTGTACCAAAAAGCTGACGGTTCACATGTGGTCATCAGCACAAGTTATAGATAGAGCAACTTATCATGTGCAATGAACAAGAGTTCTTACAGTGAAAGGAATCTGGCAAACACTCGCTGTCTGCATCTTGAAAGCACTTCAGAGCACACAACTATAGCTGCTACTGAATACTCCTGATACTTAGAGACAACTTTCTGTGGCATTTCTGACAAGAGAAGGATTATGCATGCGCAGCTTTAATCGGCACTCTAGCACATGCTCCCACACTTTTGACATGCATAACAACAGAAACTTGTCCCTGAGTACCATAGTCGCACTTCCCACAAACAAAGCTGACATGTGACCATTGCAAGAACCTTCCCAGACCGCCCGACTGACACGCAGGTTCCGAGCATCTGCCCCCTCCAGCTGGCCCCCGGGCAGAGATGGAGCTGGAGGCCTGGAAGCTGTTTGCCCTGGTGGGGCTGTTTGCCCTCACCCTGGCCATGGTGTTCCTGCCCCTCTTCTTCTGGGGACACATCAGACGTGTCCAAGACCCCCACAGGAGGTGATCCCCCCTTGTCCCCCAGAAGCACGAGTGCTGGCAAGTTGTCGGCGGTGGGCTGTTTGCAGGCACCCACTCAAAAATATTAGAGCCGAGCAAATGGCTTCAAAGAATAGCACACAAAGTGAAGTGTAACATGTTCACACTGTACTTGTTAAATAACAGAGTTTGGTTCGCCTTACAGTGAAACCAAATAGATGATATAAAAGTTTGCTAGTTCTGATAGACTGACTCAGACATAAAAAATTAGTTGGCGATCAATGGAATTCATCGGATGAAAATGCGCTAGCATTTGTTCTTCCCCACCCCCTTTTCACCGCTTTCTATTCGTTTATCATCCATTTTCATTTGTTTGACCCCTTACCACTTGTTTATGACCCCTTTTACAGCAAAGCTGTATATGGCTAGGGTTCTGTCGATTTTTCATGTGCGTTAACAAAAACCCGCAGCGCCCTCTCTTTGCCGTCATTCCAAGCGCTTGCCTGCTTCGTTTCCTTCTGCTCTCCCGGGGAGGGTGGTTCCGTCGCACTTATCTACTTTCCGCCGGGTGGTGGTCCCGTCGCGTGCCTAGTTTCCTCGGGCTCCTCGGGGCGGCGGAAGTCGTCCACACAAATGTATATAAACAACCAGAAAGACAAGTTGCCGTTTTTCATTTTCGATTTCACTTTTCTTCTCTCATCGTAATGGGAAGGCCGAGCAATGTGTCTTTGAAGAGCAACGGCGGGAACAACGAGAATGTCAGCGACGGTGGCAGGCGGCAAACACCACCGATGAAGATTGTGTATAAATGTGTTCGTACCTTTGTTCAAAATCCTGTGTCACGTCTGTGTCGTGTGCTGAACAGCTTCACTGGTCCATCCACCTTCACAGAGTGGAATGGATCATGATTTTTATTATTTTTTCACCCCTTTTCATTTTTTTTCCACCCCTTTTCTGTACTCTTGCCTTTCAGAGTATGTCGACTCTCTTGGATACGGTCACACATAACACTCGTGGAAAGAACCACATCCATACCAGCCGTGGAAGGAATCACATCTCTATCACTCGAGGATGGAACGGCATCCATCGTTTTAACTACACATACACATCACAACCCACACACTGCTACTACAGAAAGCCAGAGCAAAAAACAACTAGTGACAGCAGAACGGCAACTGAGCATGCCCACATTCTACCGTACCGCGGCGCCTTCTCCTCTCTGGGCCCACGCCAGCTGTGCAATGCTCCTTCGACTAAAACGAAAAAAGGCTAGTTTTGATGAAAACCCGGTGGTGTCTGTCAGTTTGTCAGCGCTGGGGAGAGAGAGGGAGAGAGTGAGGCTGGCATTTACCAGTACAGAGCCAGCAAATGCCCGCAGCAAGTTCTGTGCCATGTCGTCTACCGTGTTGACACCGCTCACCCCCCCCCCCCCCCCCTCTTCAGGCACGTCTATGAGACGGGGGTGTCTCTGCTGAGCTGTTTCGGAGGTGGCGTGTTCCTGGCCACCTGCCTGCTGCACCTGCTGCCCGAGGCCCGCAGCCAGCTGGACAAGGGGCTGCTGGAGCGCTGGGGACACCTGCCGGCCTTTCCGCTTCTCGAGTTCCTCTGCATCCTGGGGCTTCTGCTCGTGCTTGTCATGGAGCAGGTGACCGCTTGCTACATTTCTTGCCGTCGGATTCTTTCACCACAAAACATCAGTTGCTGTACTTCGTTTCGGCATAACTTGACAAAAAGCGAATGCTACGACCCCGTCGACCCAACCACAGCGACGAAGCGAAAGCATGTAACAGCTCTCCACAGCATTAAAATGGCAATTCGGGCCAGTTGGTTCATGATCACCTAATAGAGCGCCAAAAGGAATGCAAGAAGAAAGTGGACAATGTAGGGTGCCCTGTATCACCCACTTTCTTCTCCTCGTGTATTTTGTGGCGCTTTGTTAGGCGAGCGGTCTACAGAATAACACTTCGACGATACTTTGTGGCGTGCCTCACTCCAATGTTCCGATCAGCTTGCTGGGGCTGTAGTCGAAATGGAGTACAGAACAACTCATTTGGGAAACTGACATAGGAGCCTGCTGTGGAGAACTAGCACTACCCCATATTTCAGTGTCAGGCTCGACAAGGTTGTAGCACCGCAGTTCCTGCCACAGCGGCCACTCCAGCAACTGTAGATAGCCAAACGGAGGAGAGCAAGAAACAATATAATCTTGCCAGTGTCCGCAAAGTGATCCTTTGACGACCCCCTTGTCCCAAAACGAGTAGTGTGCCCCCAACAAACCGACGAACTACGAACTAACGGAATAGACTGACTGCCGAGAGGTGGCACAATAACAGCATTAGGGTTACAGCAACTCGGTTCCGGCAAGTGCGATGAGTCTGACTTTCGAGAGCGAGTCTCCCAAACAAGTTCTAGTCGCTGCAAACAAACAAATTTTTAACACTACTAACCCTATTCCCGGTCGAACAAGTGGGCAAATGCCCAACCCCAAACGTCGAGTGAATCCCGCGGCCTGGAGCCGTGCGTTTGCCGGCTCGCACCTACCCACATCGCCCCCTCGTCGCAGGTGACACTGTCCTGGAAGGAGGGTGAAGAAATACACCACGTCCGAGGGTGCCACCCTCCCCACACCCCGCTGGGCGCTGCGCCCGTGGCCAACTACGGCAGCGTCGAGCACCTACCCGGCGACTGGACACCCCCCGAGGAGGCCGAAGAGGGTTCCCCCTCAATTCACAACGACCCCAACTCCCACTCGACTCTCCGTGCCCTCGTCCTCGTGCTGTCTCTCTCCCTGCACTCGGTCTTCGAGGGGATCGCGCTGGGGCTCCAGCCAGACGGCGCTGCCCTTGCGCAGCTGCTCGCGGCCATCGCCGTGCACAAAAGCGTCCTCGCCGTCACGCTCGGCCTCAACCTGGCCCACAGCAGGCTGGGACGGGTGGGGGTGGCCGCGTGCGGGCTCACGTTCGCGGCCATGGCCCCGTTCGGGATGGGGCTAGCCATGCTGCTGCTGCTCGGCACCCCGCAGACGGGGGCGGCCCTTTTGGAAGGTGTCCTCCAGGGGCTTGCCTGTGGCACCTTCCTCTACGTTACCTTCTTTGAGGTGCTGCCCCACGAGATGAGCCACTCTCGCCACCGGCTCCTCAAGCTGCTCGGTGTGCTGCTGGGGGTGGTGGCTGTCACCGCGCTCTGCCTCTCCTTCCCGCACTCCTGAGGACAGACGACACCCGCCGGCACCTTCGCCACGCGTGCCGCCGCCGCTTTCCCCGCCCCCCAAAACTGGAGGCTGCACCGGCACGTCTAGACGGCAATGCGGTAGTACCGGCGGTTCTGCGTCGCTAAAGAAAGCCCGCAAGGGACGAGGGCTGGACACAACCGCTGCGTCGGCGTCCGGCCGGGGATCACGTTCTTGCCGATTTAACGCGAGTTCCGGCCAGACAGTGCGTCTAATCTGTGCCCCGCATTCGTCTCCTTTAGGTGACGCCAGAAATTCGGCACAAAAGGCCAATTCATGCAGCACCGTTTCCGTAAGTTGCGAAGCTTGTGTTGAGATATGACTCCAAGTCACCGGCACATCCGTGCTTCGTATTGAGCGTTGTGACCAGTTGAAGGAGTAGCTTGGCACGCACAATACGAAGCACAGATGTGCCGTCGACTCATGGCCGTATCTCGACGTAAGAGGACGTAGGCTTTGTAACGTAAGAAAACAGTGCTGCATGAACCAGCCTAAAAGCTCCATTATCTAGGAGTAGTTGGCCATACTGGTGAGGGCGTCTGCAATGTTGCATGCGAAGTCGCGCCGGGCTGCGTTACGTCGTCTGCCTTCCCCGAACAGAGGGACGTGCCGACTCATAAACTGAAAGCCACTGCCGTGGCATGTGTCGACGAAAGAGGAGTTGTTGTGCCCGGAACAATTGTCGGAAGCGAAATGATCTGCCCAAATGTTAATTTCTAACATCACTTTTGTGGCGAAAGCTCGTATGCTGCGAGGTATTAGATATATAATATATGAGCTATATAAAAAGAACAAAAAGCAATATTGTGATACTTTTGCTGGAAGCCAGTAAGCAATATCGAGAATCTAAGCGTGAATGTTTCGGGAGTCTGCGGGTAACTTCGGAGTAGCCTAAACTCTTGTTTTTTTATGGATCACAGAAATAAAGACGACAGCAATGCTTGCATCCACTCACCTTTTCTACATGCGCTCTTGGGTCAAGTGTTGGGTAAAGTATAGCTAAAAAGTACTTGAAGTACAAAGTAAATTGGAGGTTATGTACTTCAGGTAATGTAGTAACTACACCGGGTGCAATGTACTTGAAGTAAAATGCTAGAAGTACAGTGTACAGAGCGTGACACTGTTGGCGCGAACAAGTGATCACCGGTTTTTTTCAGTTTTTCTTTTTGAAAGTAAGGGATGTCGTCCAAGTTATTATTGCTACAGAAAGAGCTCATTTAGTTCTAAAATGTAAGCGATAGAATTTCGTGCTCGCTAATACTATTTAAAAGTAAAATGCGAAAATGCAATGATGTCGTGTTTGCGCTAAGAGTGTCGCAATGTGTACTTCCTAAGCTAAAGTACTTTTTAACAATATTTCATGGTGCCCTTTCATTCCCCTATAGACTATTTTTTATTAACATTATTTAAAACTGGTATACATTGCCCCAGAGTATATGGGGAGGCATCAGTTATTTTTGGGAATGGCAAATGTTGGATAAAGTCAAGTGGCCACAGGGTAGTTGTTTTACTGTCGCTGGCAAACTAATTAACACAGTCAACTTATAAGGCACGCAGTTTATTGGTTTTGTAGCCATTGTTACTTTACTCGGAGAAATGACCGGATGACGTCTCGAAAGACTAGTGCGTTTTCCCATGATGATGTGCCATTTTTTTGTTGTAGGTTGGTGAACTCTTATACTCGACCTCAGAAGCTGTGTATAGTACTGGGAAAACCAAAGACGCAAGCACATGGTCCTTGAAAGGGGTCAATTGTACCGGAACCAAATTTGGGAAATGTACTTTGAATTTGAGTCGTACTTGGCCCTGGAAGGTGCCAGAAAAAAAAAATACTTTCAGTAAAAGTACATACATACACGGAGAATGTACTTCAAGTAAAGTAAAGTTTTGTAGACCCACTTCAAGTAGTACTTTAAGTACTATGTACTGAGAGTACCTCCAAACACCGACAGGGGACACCAAGGTGTATGGCTGGTAGTGTAGGATTCTAATCGCACCAGTTGGAGATGTGACACCTTTCCCTATACATACTCGGCCAGTGAGTAGATCCTGTTGGTCGGCCTGCTTTTGAGTTTCCCTTAGCAGAGTATGCACCAAGCCAGTCGTTACTGCAATATTTCTCGAACCAGGAGTAACTAACTACCTCTGCTGGCAGTGTCGGGAAGTACTTTTTGTACTTAAAGTACTACTTGAAGTAAGTTTAGAAAATCTGTACTTTACTTGAAGTACATTCTCTGTACTTGAAGTATTTTTTTTTAGTACTTTCCGAAGAAAGTATAGCTTACGACTTCAAAGTACATTCCCCAAATTTGGTCTCCTTAAATTTGTATCACAAAATGATGCATTGTCAACTCTGAAGAAATAGTGGGAGGGGTATTTTAGTTTCACCAGAAACGCGAGCAGGCGACGCAGTGCTCTGTTTGTTCTGGGGACGGCTTTCCTCTAGATTTTCAAACTCGCTACTTCTCACTTGGTTAGCGCAAGCAAGGAGGTTTAAGACATTAGGAGAGGTCAATTATTCAATGCGACACCCGAGTCTCTTGTGCGGAAAAATTGAGAAACTTTAAAGTCGAAGAAAAAGACAAAGCAGGAAAATGTCGCAATGTTTTGAGACATTCTCCTGTGTTGTCTTTTCCTTCGACTTGAAAGTTCCTTAACTTTTTCGTACAACAGACTCGGGCGGAAGCTGAAGAGATACTTGAAAAAAAAAATAAAAACGAGTTAAGAGGTGAATTCTAGAGTATTTTTATCCCATGAATCTTAATATCACGTTTGTTTTCCCTGAAGATGTAACTAAGCGCGAAAAACACAAGAAAGCTCCGACCAATCGTTCTTTCTGCCTCCAAGCGCATACAATTGCAAGCTTGCCAGGTACATTTCCATGCACCGACACCAGATGTGGCGTATTTTACTGACTTTTTTGAAAATAGCAAGAGCGCGTGCATAGCATCTATAGGCACCGAAGATGCGTGAGAGCGGAGATTCTGAAAAACTCCTTTTATGACGAAACGCTCCAGGAAGGAGGGGCTTCAGCAGTACTTTAAAAATGATTTTATGCAGCCTCTGTGCATGAAACTGAAAAATAATCTCGATATTCGTAATTTTGGAGGCCAAATGAAGACGATTCAAGAGTTTTTACTCAAATACAGAACCACTTCAGCTTACTTTTCATTATTACCAGCTCACCTGCACACTCACTCTTTTTTTGTTAAGGAGAGGACACTCGTCCACAAGAGGATTGCTTGCGGAGGCTGATGTCATTCTCTCTCCTAGTACGTTTAAAACCCCCCTGGGTGCAACAATCCAGTGCAAGTGGCACCAAATTCAGATGTCAGGGACACTTCCGAATTTGGCACCATTTCCGAAAATTACCTTGTGGCCACTTGACTACCTCCAATATTCGCCACCATTTCCAAAAATAAGTGGCTCACCCCCGATTACCCCTGGGGAAATGCATACCAGTTAAAAAATGAAATGTTTACAAATCTCTGTAACGCGAAACTGGAGCGCAGCTCTTGAGGAGGGGAGGGTATGCCCCTCCTCTTCCTCCCCTCCTCCTGCCGCTGAATTTGTTCATGGGCGACGTGACACAAAGTTGTTGCGTCGTTTTCCCCGCTAAATTTAGAGGGGAAATTTAACCCGCTAAACTTAGCGGGAAAGTTTCCCCGCTAAGTTTAGTGGAAAAGTTTTCCCACTAAATTTAGCGGATGAATTTTCCCGCTAACTTTAGCGGGGAAATGTCCCATAGTGCAATGCGCGTAGTTATGGCGATGCCACTCAACCGGGAAGCGGGCGCCCAAGAGCTGCGCTTTAAAAAATCGCTATGAAAGATTGTGTTGAAAAGTACTTGCACTTTACTTTGAAAGTAGATTGTATTTATAGTACTTTACTTCCAAGTACATTGTACCCAGTGTACTTATTACTTTTCTTGAAGTACATCACCTCATTTATTTTGTACTTTACTTTCAATACTTTTTAGATGTACTTTATCCAGCATTGTCTGCTGCAACACTATCCCAGCAGAAACAACTGGGTTTGAGTATCTCCAAGGCCTAGTCCTTCATTTATGCCATAGCATGCATAGATTGGCACACTCTGTCTTTTACAGAGTGTGCCGATCTATGCTGGCTGACTGGGTAAACGCTTCAAGTGCTCTTTTATTCAACAAGTCTGACGAGACAACTTGGTTATAGGCTTAGAGACAGGTTGCAGGTAGATTTCGGATTTAGGGTTAACCCATTTATATTGGGGGTTCTCAACTAGAGTGCTGGATCTAGCCACTTTTAAGTTCCTTGATTTTCTCCACTTGCTTTGCCTTCCACCAGCACTCCAGCAGTGCATAGAAGCAATTGCTCATTTTGTCCATTTCAGGGGTGGAACTCATGAAATGTACTTGGGAGCAGCCACGGGAGCAGCTGAAACAGCTGTTTTGGAGCAGGTTGGGAGCAGCTGAAACTACATTCTGGAGCAGGCTAGGAGCAGCTCAGATCAGTTTGCATTGCACTTCAGCTTGTATCTTACACAAGCACGAAAGCAATTTCAATCGTGCTTAGCAGCAGAGATGAACATGAGCGGTTAGGGACCTAGGTAGATTGGATAACAGTGTAACAGATGCGAAAACTTGAAACTTTGTGAGCCTTAATGAGAATCAAACAGCAAGTACTCTATGTTTCTGAAGATAGCGTCCTTGATATTTTCTGAGTGGCTTTCAGACGCTCAAGATGCAAACCAGCTCTGCTTATCGCACAACCCACATGTGCTCGACATAGTAATTACATGTGCGAACCACGTGACGTGCGTAAGCAACGGACGTGCAGTTGCACGGAGGAACAGGGCAACAAATTTCGAGTTTATCCTATTGTGCAAACTCGATATCGAAGCAGCAGACTGCGATTAACGAAGTTATCGTATTTGAAGCGATAAGCAGGAGCAAGGTTAAAGTACGCCGAGCAGATAAGTAGAGCTGCTGACCGGCAAGGTTTCGGATCGGACCGCGTTTCAGTTCTATCAAATCACGATTTATCTTGCAAGAATGCGGTTCCAACTCCTAACGATGAAGCACTAAAAGGAATATTTTGCTCATTTGCTTTCGACTGGATGACGTCTGGATCCCGGGCCGCAGAGCCTCATGCAATCTGACGCTTAACGACTCGACCTCACCTCGGCCTACTTGCCCTACCGCTTATGGTTGAAGAGTAACAATCCAGTCGCAGGTGGTGTAGCGCTTAGAATCCGAGTTTTTTCGCGCGCTTCCGACTCGGGATAGACAAGGGGAATAAACAGAACAACGGATTGCAAGGCCGACCAGGCTAAACGCCCTCATTGTTGACAATCGAGTCGATAAAAACCGAAACCAAGACAAAATATAACTTTTTTTTTTGGGCGGACGTTTTGCGATTTGGCGCATAATGGCGCAAGGTATTGGCTTTGGCGCAGTTTCTGCAACATGGCGCAGGATGGCGCAGACACATCCGTCTGGCGCAAAATGGCGCAAATGGCGCAGCCGTTCCACCCCTGCCATTTTTTCTTTGTTAGAGTCGAAGGGCTGTCATCAAGGTAACTATAGTGGGGTGGAAAGTGTTCATTTCGAGCACCAACCAAAACGGTAGAATTTCATGCCCACCAATACCCTTTTTAAGTAAAATCCGAGACAGAAAAAAACACAAAACTTTGTATTTATGCAAACAGTGTTATGCAGCATACTTCTGCTCCTCATCTCTGCCTCTGCCACTCGAATGCTTTCTCTCAGTCAGCCAATACACACGAGTCATGCTTGCCGATTTTACTGAAAGACCAGGTTCATTCACAACCAGATTCCCCAGCTTCGAGCTTTCCCAGTACACTAAAAACAGTTGCATAATAACACTCTCTTCGTTCAGTGCTGCTCTGCGGGTAGTGAAGCACATGTTTAAGAGGGGGCCGGCCTTAGAAGGTGACCACTTTGGACTTCTTCGTCTTGGGCAGCACTGGGAAGGGCTGGAGGTTCTCGGCATCTGCACTCTGCGCGAGGTCCGCGACGCTTGCGAACGCCTCCTCCCCCTCCTCCGCCTTCTTCTTGTTCCTCTCCATCTCTGGGCATTCCCGCTTGAAGTGGTCCACAGCTCCGCAGAAATTGCAGTGCCCGCCTGGAACAGAAGAGACTCAGAGGAGTGCGTAGCTCGCACCCACGTTACATCGGCGGCCATGTTGGTGGCCTTGCTGCTGAGCATGTACCTTCTACAGCATATATTTCGCGTCACCGAACTTGTTTCTTTCGGCATCAACAAGTAGGAACGATAGCCAGCACGGTACGATGATGTCAAGCCACATTTGCTGCATCTGCACGAGGACTCTGACAAATGTCGTAAGGGCAGGAGCGTAGAAGGCAGCATGCAAAATGGTTTGCATGCATAAAAACGAATGAGCATCTTCGACATGTAAACAAGGCCATTCCCAGTCTGACTGTTAGTTCCCACGCACCTTTGTAACTGGAAAGGAAAGTAGCAAAGGTGGCAGCATCTCCGCACTGTTTTCAAATGACTGGGCACTGATTGAGCTTGTCCAGAGAGCTAATCCACCTGTCCTTGAAATTCTTAAAACTCGGACATTCATTCGTAGAATTTTCCTCAAAAGTTTGCTTTTACTGAAGAGGCAGCCCTCAGCTACTTGCATCGAGGGCTGTACGATTTTATGTTTGACTAAAAATAATCAGTTAGGAAGCCACAACAAGTTGAGTCAAGCCAATGCCGAAAGGTTTTTCCCCGCTACTTTGATTCCGGTCAAAAGAGGGTATGTAAAAAGGGGGCAGATGGCACACATGGAGGCTCCTAGCAAAATCTGCAAAATCAGAATGAATCTTTAAGAAAGGATTACATCAAACAAGAGTAGTATTTGCCATGGTTTGACAAATGTAGACATAGAAGAGGTAAGGTTCTTCATTTGCCACTCTGGGGCCCGTATCTGTCTCGACCTATTGTGAAGCTCCCTTGAGACAAAGCCCATTGACGGAAACCTTGAAGGGTGGAGAGAGTGGGGCATCCTCGCACCCTTCAAAGGCTTCGTGTAGATGGACACGGTTGCTCACCCCTTGGGTAGGCACCCTTTTCATTCTGGGGACACTTGCGGCTCAGGTGGCCCTGCTGCTGGCAGATGAAGCACTTGGCAAATGGAAACTCTGCAACCGACGGGATAGAAAAAGGCTCCAATAAAATCGTATGCAGTTCAAAAGAGCAAAAGAATCTGCGGTCGAGCATGTTGCAACTAGTCGCTCATCGCCACGAACATTTTAGGAGCTCGTGTTGCAGAAAAGCTGGCGCTGGCGTCGGTGGGACGGGAAAATCAAGATTGGTTGATAGGTAATAAATTCGAAGAATTTTAGGCAGAGCAGGGTCAAACCCGTGACCTTTCGGTTGCGAGCCAGATGCGCTACCAACTAGGCTACGCAGACACGATGCACGGCTTGAGAATGAGCAGGGGTTTACATTTAGCTATCACGTTTCACTCTTAAAGGCGAAGCTTAAGCATCCTCCTGTCCTTTTTCCTCACCTTTATCATTAAGGACGTCCTTCCCGAAGCTTTATGCAGTTCCCTCCACACACAGCACATGTCTGTGGCAAGTGATGGTCTTGCTGACAAATGATGGGATCACAGAGAGCCCCGGAGGCAACCTTCCTTGGGTTGGACATCCAAAAGCTTGTGCTACGTCATAATAACTGCCTTAATTTCGTATGGTGATTATGTGGAGAAATAGCTGGAGTATGTATCTAAATTTTGTGTATATTTAAAGGTTTTTTGCCACTTGTTTTTTTACCCAGTTCATTGGAAGTTGAAAAAAAAAGTCGGAGGATGCTTCAGCTTCGCCTTTAAGAGTGGAACACGATAGCGTTATCCAATCCTTGGCCCGTTTGCGGCGCATTGCCTCTGCACGCCTAGCCCTTGTCTCCGCCTTCTCGGCTTCAGTCTTGCATGGCTGAACCCGTCGCCGAGAAGGAGCAGACGTAGATGCGTTATCCGCACTCGTAGAAAACAATGACTCAGAAGAGCGCCCCAGACTGGTAAATGGTACTGCATCTATCACACAAGTATTCTCTCCCAGCGACCTAGCGGAGGCCCCGCGGCAGGGTACGCATTCTCCACAGACGAACGACAATGGCAGGATCGCAGCGCCACTGGGCGGACTCGGCGACGGACGGAAACTTTCCGCTCCTCTGTGATGGATGGAAACTGTACGCTCCTCCAGACAGACGAGCCTGGGCCATGTGGCTGTGATGTCATGACCCTATTGACCAATCGGGATTTTCGCCGCCATAGCAGCTTTTCTGGCACGGCACTGAGGCCGATGTGCCAAGAGCTCCTTAACACCATCACGTTAAAGACAAGGAACAGCCATTGTAAAACATTCCAAGTTCCAAGCTGAGCCAGCATTGCTGGAACCCCAAGGCTCCCTGCACTTTTCCGGCCCAGACGCAGAGGGGGGGGGGGGGGGCATCCTGACCATTGCTGGCACTGGTGCGCACGGCACACGCTGAAGAGAAGTGCTCGGTGGAGCCGCACTTGAAGCAGATGCCCACAGCCTGGTCGCTGTCCCCCAGCATGACTGGACAGTCCTGGACCCGGTGGCCTGGCTGGCGGCACTTGAAGCACAGCTGCGGCCACACGTGCGGCAACGATCGTGTTAATGCAACAGGTGGCAACAAACAAGGTTGCGAAAAAGACTGCACGAGAACGACACATCTCTCATTCTCAACGGCGAATTCCCAGTGAGATGCCGCTGGTGCTTCCCGGTAGCAACACAATATCTATGCCCAGGAAAAACGGACCCTCATCCTTATTTTGCACTAAGATTTTTTTAAACTGTGTGTATGCCATGTTCAACGGTAAATCTGCATCCTCACTGGGGTGATTGCGTAGTATTTGCACTGTGCTTGGTTGCAACACTGAGGTAACTGGCTCTTTCGAAATCTACATACTATACCGTAAAATACCGGGCAAGCGCCCACTCAAACTTTGGAGATAATCGCAGAAAAATAGGGGATGGGTGCTTTTCCGGTCATCAATTTTAGATGTAAATGTACTGTGCGTATTTTCTCAGATCTTAAAAATTTGGGAATGAGCGCTTAATGTGGAATGGGCGGATGCGCGGTATTCTACGGTAGTGTTGCCTTGTCCGAGACCTGTCTCGTTTTGTCCCCAATGTTTCTTTATTGCGCATATCAGCTGCATTATCACGCTTGTTTTACAGCTAATTGTATGTCGGAGGAACTTTTTGGTGCCGTGGGCTGAAGTTCCCCCTCAGAAACTCTCCAAAAGTTTGGACACACGGTTGAAGGTTTTTTTACTTTAGACTTTGGAAAGGCTATGCGGTCATGCTTGGCCTCACTTGATGCTTGTTCAAAGATGGATGCACATTTCATACTTTCCACTTCTGTTTGCCTTTCTCTTCTCGCTACTCTTCTCATTTTTTCACCCCAGGACTGTTCTATCCTGTCCTCCGAAAAGAAATTGAGCAGTGCCACACCTTCCTGTCTTAGTCCCTTTTTTGCTACCATCACAGTTTCGGAGAGGAGGATTTCCTGCCTCGCAGAACATCAAGGCTGTACACTGGTTTCTTAAAAACCAAGCCTTGCACACAAGACCTTACCAGACCTGCCTATTGAACTGCACCAGACTCACCTTTGCCAACTGCCTGCGGAAGAGCAGCTCCTCTTTCCTGCGCATCTTGCGGACGGCCTCCTTAATCTCCTCTCCCGGCAGCCCCTTCTTGCGCATGGCCTTCTTCAGCATGTAAATCTTACGCTCCACCTTCTCTGGAAGCAGCAGCAATCCCTTGGCTTCTCGTTCTCTGCGTAACCGCTGGAGCCTCTCAGCCTTGGCTCCCTGAGGGACACTGTCTGCATCTTCCAACTGCCCCTGGTCAACGCCAGAAGTCTTAGTGCTTGCCCCTCTACCCTTTTTCGGCTGTGACCGTCCCGGAGCAGCCACTGTTGACAGATCTTCCAATTGCTCCTGGTGTGGACTAGGTAACTTGGCTGTTCCCTTGCCTCTGTACTGAACTGGAAGCACCTTGGAGCCTCGTGAGTTTGACTCGCTCTGTTTAGTCCCTGCTGGTGGACCCTGTCGTTTCTTGTCACTTGGAGTTTTCTTTCTCTTCTTGGCAGCAGGACTGTTGGCTTTCTTGTCAAGCAATGGAACCTCAGCACCCGCAGTGACCTGCTGCGAGTTGTCCGTGGTGCCCGATGACACTTCCTCTTTCTGAAGCGGGGCTTTTCTTTTCTTGGGCAGTGTTCTACCCACTTTCTTCTTAGAGGCTGCAGGTACCTCACTGTCAGCACTATTCGTCTGTAAGCTTGAGTTTTCCTTGGGCATTTTCTCCAGTCCCGTTTTCTTGTTGCTGAGCTCCAGTTTACCACCGGAGGTCTTGGCAGGTGCCGCAGTGTCCTTCGTGGTCACATCGGCTCCTGGTGGCTTTTTAGGAAAGCTTACCCGGTGAATGCCTGCTTCCCTGGCCTTCGGCTCTAGGTTGTCAGGCCATCTTGGCCCTGCAGGGCTCAAAACGTCTTCAGCATCATTTTCCCGATGCTGAGCTTGGCGCTGTGCCACAAAGTCTTTCCACGCTGTCGCCTCCTGTGGTTGTCGCTCGTGCTTGTGCGAGCTTTTACTGCGGGCCCAGCGAGTCATCTTTCTCTGGCCTGCGCAGAAAAATAAAGGGTCAGACCTAACGAGCTCCAGCATCTAAACTTATGGTTCGGGACATTCAGGGTAGGGGTAGCGACTTACAAGTATAAACCATCACAATGCATGAAAACAGCAAGATTGTAGGTAGCACTAGCAGTTTTCATTGTATTCTTTCGCATTAATGTGGCATAAAAAAAAAGCCAGTAACACCACCTGTGACTGCCATCATTAAAATAATCTCACGTGTTAGCAAAGAGTGAAGGTGTTTTAAAGATTTGTGTCAGAAGAACTGGCTCACACTGCCTTAGACACCTTCTGGTCAGGTTAGCCTTCAATAAACATAGCCTCTTATCCATGCAATTCAATTCAGACAGGAGACATTCTTCCATACACAAAATAATTTAAGAAAGTCAGTCCATAAAATAAAATATATGACCACAACAAGGTCCCTGCAGGCATCTGCAAGAGCTGTGAACCTTGGTTCCTCCGCTGGAAAACTGAGTTGCAAGGACTTTGAAACATTTTTAACTCGTAAAGAAGTTGGGCTGGTTTAGGCGAAGGAAAATAATTGCTGGAGGCCACCAGGGGTGCAAAAGTGCTCTTTCCCAAGCTTGCATGCTGGTTCTGATGACACTTAGTGCTTCTCATAAACTGTGTTGTTAAAGAAAGACCGCCAAGAGCTGCTATTAAATTGCTCGTCACTCTGCTCAGCAGATGACCGGTTTCGTTGCCTTGTTGTATAACCTTCAGCCATTCTTGAGAAATCATTATTGCCATTCAACTCGAGGAGATATTGAAAGGTAGTTGCATACCTTGCTTCTTTACAGTATATTTTTGAGTAAGTCAATTTTAGGTGCTTTTATGCCTGACCATTAGAGGGCTCCTGGCATGCCCCAGCAAAGTATTGAGGATTAATTTGGACAACATGAGGATCTTTTGATGCATACAAATGTCAGCTACATGGTGCCTTCTCTGCAAGAAGCCTCTGCCCAATACAAGCACCTTAAACAGGATTCGAATTCACCAACTTCAGGTGCATAGACCGGTACCACTTAAAGGGGTACTCCACCGATTTTTTGAGCTACCTCAACTAACTATATTTTCTGACTCCCCGGCCTTTACTCTCTCCGGTATGCTATTTAGAATCGCGAAATTCATAATAGTTATTGCGAAATCGGCAAATGAAAATGATGCAAAAACCAACATTCAAATATACGCGCGCTTTTCAGGGCCGTGACGTCAGTGGCAGGCAGGCTTGTCAGTCCAGCAAGCAGCCAAAAAATAGAATATGCCAATCATTTGTTCCGTGCTGGAGCGCGGGTACTGCAGCGAGCTTCCCAAGCATTATTTTGACACCATGAAACTGCTTCGAATCAGTTTAAAACAAAATCTACAGCCCAAAGAGTGAACCCCTGCCTTCCACTGACGTCACTTTTTCATTGTTGCCAGTAGAGACTTCGATCTTGAAAAACACGGTGAGGACCAAAACTGTAAATTCAATAACTTCGCGAAAAAACAATATTTTGACCTAATATTTGGGATACTATTTTCGCGATGTTTGTTGGTTAGTTTAGCAAAATTTCAAGCAAATCGGAGACAATGAAAAAATCGGTGGAGTAGCCCTTTAACCCACCTAAGATCCACCAAGGTTGCTTGGGAAGATTTTTGACTAGAGATTACAAGCCAGAAAGTAGTGTGCATACCACACATCTGTCACAAAGCTAGACCTGTTGTATGGAGGTTTAGATAGCAGGAAGTTATTTTACTCGAAAAATAATGTTTCACGTTTTTACAGTACTAGGGAAATTTGGTCAGTGTGGTAAAACTCCCAACTGGGGCTCTTTAGTGTACATCATACAGTAGCAATTACAGAACCGCAGTGGCTCGACGTTGCACAGTCTCAGTCAGGTATAAATGAGCAAAGGTGAGAATTGCACTTATAGTGGCCAGAGCTTGATTGTGCTTATCTATGCAGAGCTCTGGAGGCTACAAGAAACCATTTATATACTCATAGTTGTGACTATGATCAGAATGTCTCTGAAGCAGTTGACTACACCCCACTACCTGCAAAATTAAGATTTTATTGTCCCAGTATGTCCAAACCTTTGTTGGCCGGTTTAACAAACATCCAGATGGAATTACATTGTAATACTTGACATATGGGCTTCCTAGGCGATACTCAAGAGAACAGCATTGATTTCTAAATAATCAAAATGAAGTGGAGTGGCCCTTTAACTAAGAATCTTACCTGGTCATCCCACATATGAACCCGACTAACATTGCTAACATCATCACTGGTTATCTGCATCGCAACTTTCAACAAGCCCTCTGTAAAATTACTAGCCTGGCTAACATTACTTTGATTTAGGATGGCAATGCGAGCTAGTTGGCGCACACTTCAAAAAATGGAACACGGCACATAAACTACTAGGACACAGGAAAAGCGCTGTCCTCGTCGTTTGCGCGCTGTGTTCCATTTTTCGAAGGGCTACTTTGATGCCTACTGAAATACGCATGCACTGTTTAGGGCCCTCCCTCCCCTATCAATCTAATCTCCTCAACAAAAAAAAAAAAAAAAAAAGCTACAAGCGGATCAAAACTGCACGGTAAGGTTGAGCTATGCTCAGACCAAACCTTAATCCCAAACTTATTTAGCAAGCCTCAATGCTTGTCTTTTTCACATTATTCAACAACTCTGTTCTCATGCAAGCTCACCATGTTTAATCCCGCATTAGTTCCGTTCAATGAGACTAGGGATAAACAAAAGTCACTCATTCTCCTGCGCCCATATCGCTACTGTGCAATCTTTGTTTTGTATCCAGACACCAGAGGATTGAAATGATCTGCCCACTGACCAGTCGCCCCTCGTTTCAGGACCGCCACTGAACAAACCACCTGCCGACGTAATAATCTTTACGCGACACCCCGTGACCAGAGAGTCACAGGGTGTCACGAAACAAATCTGCAATGCGACCTGCGTCAAGACAGCAGAGCGGTCTGTCTTGCCAGCGGTCCTGCCAGTGTTGCCCTACAGCTTCAGCATGCCATTCTGCTTCACCTCAAGGTGGTAGGCAAGGAAGGCTACCAGCCAACCGAGAAAATCCAGTGCCGGGAGTGTGCCAACTACCCAACAGCATGGGGGAGAGTGCGGCACATGCCACAAGTCACCTGCCTCCTCGGCACTCCCCAACAAGAGGCGGTAGACGTCAACCATTTAAAGGGAAACTGAAGCGGTTCTCCATTTGAGAAAAAACATTACAATGGCCTTCATTCTACCTCCAGGATCGGGAATATCAAGATTATTTTTCAATTTGGTGCACGGAGGCTTCAGAAATTAATTTTTAAAGTACCGCCGAAGCCCCTCCTTCCCGGGGCGTGACGTCACACTAGGAGCGTTCGGAATATCTGCTCTCGCGCATCTTCAGCGCCTGTCAAAGGTATGCACGCGCACTCTTGCTATTTTCAGAAAGGTCAGAAAGAGACGTCACGACTGGTGTCAGTGCGGGGAAATATACCTGGCAAGCTTGCCGTTGCACGCGCTGAACACACGAGCGACACGCGCTTGGCGGCCCGAAGATCCTAGTATGACGTCACGACTGGTCGAATGTTTTTTTCGCTTTTTCTCGCTTTTAGTTGCATCTTCAGGGAAAACAAAAGTGATATTCAGATTCACGGGATAAAAATACGCTAGAATTCACCTCTAACTCGTTGTTTTCAAGAAGTGTTTCAGCTTCCCTTTAAAACAAACTCGTGCAGACCAGAGTCCGGTAAAAAAACAGCCTTTATACACATCGACAGTTACAGCGCAACAATGCCACGGATTAAAAAAAACAAAAAATAACATGGTTCGTAAAAAATTTGTACAATAAATTACCGAGCACGCACCATGCTGCAACTGGTACACGTACACCTTTTTGCTGCAAAGACACTTCCCCGTGCCTACCGCAACTACCCACGAATCACCGTCCCGTGTGGCCTTCGAGGTCATCACGGCTGCCTCGGAATCTCGTCGGAAAAGGCAGCCAATACTCCGTTTCGCTCCGAATCAAACCGAAGCAGTCGCTACAACCGGAAAGAGCAGATTAGCAGCTGCAAGAGTGCAGGGACACAGCACTCGTCTTTGCGGTTATGCCATGCTTGGCTAAACCAATCGCGCGCAGAAAAACATGCAGGGTCACGACGCATTCGCTGTGCGCAATTGGCTTGGTCTGTGAAAGAGAACTCGCGAAGGCGACAAGGGCCATGACGATGCAGTTAAGTTGTTGCTTGATTGGTTCTTTGGAATCGTAGTGTCGGCTGTGGTCGGAGACAAAGCGAAACGAAATACAGTCCTCACCACTCCGTTCAATAGGGCGAGCTCGCCCTACGTCGCCAAGCTTTCGTCCTCGAAACTGCGTAGCATGTCCCATGACTTCTGCAACGCAGTTGTCCGGTAGCGAAAGATTGTACCCGTGGCGTTTCCGATTGGCACAACACTCTGCGGAAAGACCGTCGGTCACAGCTGAAGGGAAAGGACAAAAACGTGCTCGAGATGCGTCTTCCGTTTGTCGCCGTCTTCCGGTCGACGGTCTACGCAATCCAATGCAATATTACCCCGCAAATGATGCCCAGTTCGGCACCACCTTGTCAGTATCTATATGAAAAGAGCACTTCCAGCTATTTTCAGTATTACTTCGGGAACAAAGGACAGGGTAATAGGCAGACGCAGAACCTACTTTGAGTAACAATAGCGGGTTTGAAAGATCTCTTTGTTGAGCTTGGCTCAAATAAGTGCAGAGAAACCGGCCGTATCGTGCTACATTGACAACTGCAAGACAGAGTGCATTGAATATTTAGAATGCTTTACAGTATTTTTGGCCGTCCTTAACCCCCCCGAGGACTTCCACGATAAAAGAAAAATATTGGCAAAATAAACTTTTTGTCTTCATTTTGCTAATATTCTTTGGTACCACACATTAACTCATCAAACATTTTTGTGATGCCATCCCCAATTCGGTTTCTAAAGCCAAAAAACTACCTCCGATGTTTGGGGATAGATGGTGCTCCCTTCCATGCGATAAACAGAGCAAGCATTTAAAGACAAGCTCTCCTAGACCAACCGAAGAGCGGTGCGCCTATCGACGCACGCCTGCCCCCCCACACGCACGCACCCCCCCCCCCCCAAGCTGCAATCAAAACTGCAGAGTGTCACAAAATTTTATCGCCGAGACGGCGCGGGGCTTTGCTACCAACACAAAAGTGCTTGCACTCTAACAAAACTGCACAACGGCATCATCTGCGGAGTATAGTGGCAACTTTCAAAACAGCCATTGAGCCCTCTCACTTCCACTCTTGGCACACAGCGAGTCGCACAGGGCCTTTACACCTCCACGCAACAGTACGGTCACTGAAAGAACAGAGCGCAGGCTGTCTCTAGAAAGGTAGCCATCGCGTCGGCAGCTAGTCATCGAAGTCCTCGCAGCCCTCGTCGAGAAGCGGCGCCACCGAGGGCACGTGGCAGCTGCCCCAGTCCACAGGGCCCGGGGGCGCGTAGGGGAAGGAGGAGGTCACCAGGTGCTGTCCCTCGGTTCCCAGCGTGGCGCCGGGCCGGGCCGAGCAACGCTGGGCCAGCGAGAAGTACTCGTCCGAGGGCAAGCGCCGGTGCCGCAGCTGAACAGGCTCCACCCCGTCCCGCCGGTGCTCCCTGAGCAGACGGACCTGGGCTGCGAGGAACTGGATGTCCCTGGCCACACGCACGTTGTGCAGGAACAGCGTACCCGGGTCACCATTCACCACCTCTGCCTTGGGTACCCACCGGAAGTAGCACTGGGTCCACACCGAAAGGGCCTTGACAGTCGCATCCATGGAAAGCAGGTCTTCGTCTTCTGACGGCGTGCAGCGGCGGTCTCCGGAACCGCTGGGGGGCAAGGGAGGTGGCACCGGCCTTCCGGCATTCAGCAGCTCCCGCGACCGCCGGAGGAGGTACAGCGGGTTCTGGAAGAGTTCCAGGTCTTGTGCGGAGAGCCGTGACTCCGGTCCAGACCAGTCCCAGACGTTGCGATAAGCCCGCGTGCGCCGCGCGTGGCGCCGCTGCCGGTTGCTGTTGAACAGGAAGGCGTCATAGATGCCCACGTGGGTACAGTCCCACAGGTTGGTCAGGTACGTCTCGGAGAACTCGAAGGCAGATGGGAACTGGCGCGCCATTTGCCAGACGCAATCCAGGAAGAAGAGAAAGACCGGTGCCGCCTCGGCCGCCCGACTGTTGACTCCGCCGAGGTGTCCCAGCCGGTCCGTGAAGGGGTGTCCCCCGGCGACCCACTCCTTGTCCACCAGCATCTGGAAGCCTGCCTGGGTCCGGCAGTGGGGATCCAGGAGCACTTGGACGAGGCTGGCCACCACGCAGGTCAGGTCTGCACCAGTCTGCTCGCGCAGCAGCACGTGGCGCCCCTTGTCGGTCATTGCCCGAGCCGCCCCCAACGCCACCTTGAGGCATCCCGACAGGCACTCCAGCCAGCGGGTGGCCTCCAGGGCGCCATAGTAGTGCGCCTCCTGCTCCAGAAACTCGGCCTCGTCGGCCGGCATGCACAGCGCCTGCAGCTTGTGGAAGCTCGAGCCGATCTCGCGCACGAACGGGCACTCCAGGTCGAGCCGCACCAGGTGCACGTCGCTCCCGAGGCACTGCGACAGCTGCCCAAGCCGCTCCAGCTCGCCGGCCTCGGAGCCAGTATCCGACGATGCGCCGCGCATTAAGGCTGCCCCGTTCCCGTGGCTCCAGCACCAGGCCACGGCGCGGCGCTCGTGGAAGTAGTTGGCGAGCGTCTCAAGCGTGCAGTCCAGCAGCCTCCTGGGCACCACGAATCGCTTGGGCATGGCGTCCGACAGCCGGTACTTGGCGTTCAGCTCGGTGACGCGCCACAGCGCCGTGTCGGAGTCTCCGTGCGCGCCGCAGCGCTTCAGCTCCGCCTCCCACTCGGCGGCCGACTCGAACGGCGGCTCGCGCGTTGTCGAGCCCGGCGGGCAGAAAAGCATGTCCACGCTGGGCACGAACGCGTGGCAGGCGAGGAATTGCAGCACGCGGGCACCCTGGTCCCCCTGGCAGAACTTGAACGAGAAAGTGAAGAGGCGCATGTCCTTGCAGCGCACCTGCAGCACTTCGACGGCGCGGCCGGGTGCCGCAGGCGACGAGATGCGCTTGCGGCGGCCCGCTGACAGCTCGTAGAGCGCGTCCACGTTCAGCAGGCCGATGTCGTTGGGGCCCAGCACGCGGTTGGCACACAGGGGGGATCGCGGCGCCCGCTCGGCGCTCGCCTCCATCGTCACGAAGCTCAGCTTGAGGCTGGTGCAGAACAGCACGCCCGAGACGCCGTTACGTAGCTCGCTGAACGTGTTGAACTTGAGGACGTGACTTACTTCGCTAACTACCACTTCGCCGTCGTACAGCACTGGCCGGAGGGACGGCATCGCGTCCGCCGCCGCCGCTCGCCGGCCCTCATCGTCGGCACCGCCGAGGTCCACGTACGAGACGAAGGAGCTGCCGACGCGCTTGAGCCTCGACTCCGAGCCCATCGGGTCGTCTTCGGCGTCGTCCGGGGACCCCGCGTTCACGCGCAGCACATTCCGGCGCGGTGTAAGCCGGAATGGGAAGGATTCCGTCGAAAGCTGCATCCTGCCGCCGTCGCTGGGGGCGGAGGCATCTAGGCCTACCAGCGGCGGTGGTTGCTGCTGCCGCGCGCAGGACCACCGCAGGCTCCGACCACCGTCGGCCGGATTCGCCGGGACATCGCTGCTTTGCCGTCCGCTTCTGAGGACCACGCGCGCTGACTGTTCGCAAGGGCGGCTCTCTTTTTCGGATCGCGGTACTCGCATATAGAGGAAAAACGGCTCAAAAGTGCGCGTGACCCGACGGAAAAAAAACACGATCGCGCTGCGCGGCCGGAGCGCACATGATTGTGGTAGTGCAGCTATTTGCCGCTAGATTCCGCCAGTTACCTACCTCCTGTTCCTTGTCCCCGTCCATACCGTGGATAGCGTGCACATCGTGCTCCCAACTTCAGACAAAAAAAAATCAGACGCGAGGAAATTATCAGAAATATCTACAGGGAAGGCAACATAGAAAGAGCTGCGTTTCCTGTCGTTTCTGGATCGGACATGTCATGCATCCGATCAATCACCGATCAATGCGAAGTTCAATCACAGCTGCCACAATGGATCAATCACCGATCAATGCGAAGTTCAATCACAGCTAGCACAATGCTTAGCAGGGTTGTCTTATTGAAACTGAAGCAGTGTTTAATTGATAATTACGGTTCATCGAATGAACCATCATGAAGAGCTGACAGGCACAGAGCGAACAAGAACGGAAATTCTGCAATGGCTTGTTCGTGCTAACAGTGCCGCGCTATTGTTTATCACGATCGTTATCGTTTATTAGGACCGGTGTGGATTAAAAAGACGAACACAGCTATGGCAAAGGCTGCTGGTGTGCAGCGAGCGCCACAGCACACCTTGCCGCCGAACATGTGCCAATGTTTACACCTTAGCGGTATCACGTCACGTGCCCGCGTCGCTGGCTGAAGGAACGGCTATGACACTTAATGATGCCTCGCTAGCAATGGTTTCCTACAGCTGCTCGGGGTTCCCGTTGTTTAATCATGGAACGGGTAGAAGAACAGGCCAGGCTTCCGCACGGCGCATTTCGTAGGGGCTGCGTGATGCCGCGACGGCCAAGCAGGGCGATGGAAAGGAAGTCAAGTTACCTGCAGATCTCCTGGTATTTCAATTAGCCACTGCAAGGAAGCTGCCTCGTCTCGTCACCGACAAAAAACCAAAGCACGGTCGCACCACAGGCACACGGTCATGGCACGCCGAAATATTTGCAGAATCGGTCAAAGGCAGCAAGCAAAAACCGCCAAAAACAACGGTTGGCCAGAACGAGGGTCGAAAGCATAGCCAATCATAGCCAAATCAACCCGTTGTGAAATTTTCCGCCTATTCGCCCCATTCCGTACCTAACATTGATCATCAACAGTGCGCAGCGTCTCCGGTGAATAATGTTGCGTGTTGTTTTACAAGAATAGTTCAGAAAGTAGTCGCTGCGTGCAACATGGGTAGCGCTTTCTTCAGCTGGTGATCTTTTGGGACAAAAACAGGTTCAGTTTTTGCATGAAAGTTTTGATGAAAATAATGTTAGCTATTTAAAATAAATATTATGTAAAACCGTGATTCTGAGAAAAAATAAGGACAGATATGAATTTGTTGCGTACAATAATTTTCTTACGTAAGCCCGCTAAAGTTCGGTAGGTTTCGGTGTGTCAGTTGTTGTACAAAAAAACTAAACCTTTGACAAGTAAGAGATTTTGTCTTACTCTATTGAGTATTTGATTAACTTTCCTAAATATAGTTTGATAAATAAGCGCGATATAAAATAAAGACGCACTGGCACTATATCTCGTGGCGAATGCAGCATCACTTTCACTCTCGCCCGCAAGTGCAAAAGCAAAACATAGTCCGGTTCGTCGGCCGCTCGCGTTGTAACTTGTATCCCTTCGCGAATATGGCGCTGCCCTTCTAAAGGGTCGGGTGTTGCGGTCGGCCGAATGACTTCAGTGCAAGGATCCCGGTTATAGAATGGATTCAAATAAAGGGACGCCATCGAGGATATTCGCACTTTCGCCAATAGAAGCAAAAGAAGAAATAGATGAGGTAACGAGCCAGCGATGGCCCCTCGTTGGTGAACGCATGTCTGTCTCCTGCGTACGTGCACAAAGGCGCCAATTTTCGGTTCCACGCGCGGGGTGTCGCCACTGTCGACTTTCACAGAGTATTTTCACTTTTAATCCGCCTAAACTGGGCCGTTTTGTTTTACACCGAAAACGTGCTTGCTCATCGTGAGACCGGGGAACCGCGCGCCCGTGCGCATTGGTCCACGCCGCCCGCGGCCCACCGCTGCATGCTCCCGATCTTGGCCGCGCGTACCACTCGCGCTGGGGTTCTCCGACCGATCGGTCGGCGGTCGCCAAACTTTTTGGGGGATCTGAGTTACTTCAGGTTCGTCAAAAAGCCTGGGCCCTGCATCAGCGTATTCGTCGCGTCCGCGCGATGGGGGCACGGGCCCCACTCGTGCGAGCTATCCGTCGCGATCCGCAGTTACACGGACATGGTTCCCCTGGCGCAGCGATCGAGAACAGCTCCGCAGAGCCGAGCCGAAACCCGTCGAAACTGAAAACACAACAGTTTCAAGGGGCGCACAGAACGGGGGGACCCCTCAGGTGCACTCTAGAGACGCTTACCTTAGAGCAGCGAACAAGGAAAGGCAATCGCTTCACCTAACGTCACCCCTACATCGTCGTTTCTTGCCGGAAATCGAGGCCGACGGCATGACGCTAACCACTGTAACGAAATATAACAGGAACTGCACAGCAGGATGTAGGCCCCAGGGCGTGGCGGTATGGCATATCTGCCACCTCTGACTTTTGCATATTTCTTTTGCAGAAACTGGAACGCAGCTTCACTTACCTCCAGTCACTGGTCAATGGCGTGTCAGAAAAGGAGGCTCACGATGCTCTCAATGCTGCAGTAAGACCTCCTTCGCTCGACGTCTAATGTGTTCCTCGCTGCGAGCTGTCGGGCATCTTAGCATTGTCGTGGCGCTGCAACATGTTGCCCAGTGACAAGGGGCAAAGAGGTCAACAGCGTGACACCAATACTGCCCACCTCTGGCTGCAATGCATTAAAAAGGGAGTGTTCAAAGAAACAGGAGCCAAAGGGAGACCCATGCGGCAGACAAGCACTTGCTCGCAACCGAACGTTCATATTTACATTTCGTAAACTAAAAAAGAATCGCAACCCCTTCTGCTGATGCACAAACCGACTCTCCCAAGTTTATTTTTATGTTTTGTAAACAGGAAAAGTCGCGACCCAGTGCGCTCGTGCACAAACCAGTTCCCCTAATCTAATCCTTCATGTTTACGAATATAAAAATAAACATTCAGTTGTGAGTGAGCGCTTGCTTGTCATATGTTTTTTTTTTTATCCCCGTTTTCTCTTTAGTCTTTGTACAACGCATTCACCTCAAGAAACAAACCTTTTTTCACCACATTCTACATACAACTCTATCGCTAAACTCAAACATGTGCTTCAAATGACCACCATTTGTCGGCCTGGTTTGATGTGCAATAGCTGCATTCTCGTTCCGAACGAATCGGTAATTGGAGTGCCACTGTCTATTCACTCTTCTCCAAAAGCCCTATTCGACAGCTCGTAGCTTTCGGAGGTAGTTCTGCTGCTTGAGCACGTGCTCAGAAACACAGGCTCGATACTCTCTTGGAGGAGTGAGCAAGATGAGGGTAGTGTGTCGCTGTACAGGTGGCACAGGTTAACACATTTTCCAAAGCAAGATGTGTAGTTGAACGAGTCTGTGCATGATCAGAATAATGACCGTAATAAAATCAGCATTGTGTTTGTTTGTGTCTTCTACTTCTCCTTTTGTTTGTTTTTATGCTGTTTTGTTTATTCCGTCTGCTGAAGCTTTGCTTGCCCAAGGGCAGGTTTCCCAAGATGTGTGAGAACTCGCTCTCTGTGCCAGGTGTGCAAGGGGGCCCAGGCGCACGACGACATCAGTTCGGGCTTCCTCTACGGGATCTTGGTGGACGGCACGAATGCGGCTAGGGTGAGTCTCCTCTTTCTCATTTTAACCCCGTCTTGTGAGGTGTCCCCCACGTATAAATGGAGACTTCCTTCTCAAAAAGGAAGCTGAAGCGGTTTTGTATTTGAGGAAACGCATTTAAATCGTCTTCATTCGACCTTCATGATCTCGAATATCGAAATCATTTTTTAATTTAGTGCATGTAGGCTGCAGAAAATAATTTTCAAAGTACCGCTGGTGGCCCTCCGTCCCGGAGCTTGACATCACAAAAGGAGTTTTTGGAATCACTGCTCTCGCGCATCTTCAGCGCCTATCAAAGCTATGCATGTGCACTTTTGCTATTTTTATAAAGGACAAAAAAGACATCACGACTGGTGCCAGTGCGGAGGAATATACGTGGAAAGTTTGCAATTGCATGCATGGCCATTGAGCGACACGCGCTTGGTGGCCGAAAGATCCTCTTATGATGTAACGACTAGTCGGTGGTTTTTCGTGTTTTCTCGCATTTAGTTACATTTTCGGGGGAAACAAACAAGATTTACCTGATAAAACTACGCTAGAATCAACCTTTATCTAATTTTTTTAGAGAAGCTTTTCAGGGTGTTATGATAATCCCTCCTCGCCATTCTTTTTTTTTTTTAAGTGCCATGATTTTAATCATAACTGAAAAGAATATTACTTGGGAAAAAAATTTTAAGTGTGTTCGGTGTCACTTATAATTAAAAAATGTATCAAACAATGTAAATATTGTGCTAAAGGTTGCCTTTTTTCTTTTATTTTTGTTAAGATAGTTGTTTTTTTTTTTTACATGTTTTATTTAAGCTCAAACAAATTTTGTTGTTTAGTTTAATTTTTTAGTTTTTTTAGCTGAAGTTCCTATTTTGCTTTAAGGTTTGGCATTGTGGTAGTCGAGGTCAAGATTGCTTCGAAAATCAATTCAGAACTTAATTCATAGTGCATTCGGAGCCTATGCGTTGAAATAGTGAGCATACGGGTTTGCTCGGTAAAAGAACAAAAATCCTATCATCCCTTCAAAGCGCATTTCACCATGTTGAAATCTGAGACCTAGGAACCGGCAAAGCAAACTCATTTGGATGGACAGATTTTAGTAACAAACCTACCAAGTTTTTTTTTTTTTGTTTTATTGTTATAAGGCATGCACGCACTTGCACACAATCATATACGGCTGTCCAATTCTCACCTTCAGAGTACAGCCTAGAGGTAAAGTGTTGGCTGTTTGGTTCCAAAATTTTTGTCAGGCAATTAAAATTATAAGCACCTTATTATTGAGGCAAAACAAGGAGACATTTTTTTGGCTAAATATGCCCTGTAACTCTAGCAAACGGAAAAAAAAGGCCTGACATTATCTTTTACAATGATAAATGACGGGGGTCTGCTTTTCATATGCCTCAACCAAATAGCCAGATGATCTGCTTGCCCGGATGTGAAGCTCTTCCGGGTTTTTCGTGCAACCTACCGCTCCAGAAAAACATAGGGTATTGTTTTTCTGGTCGCTAATGTGTGTGTCTGGTTGCCCGCAGTACTACCGAGACGTGACGTTCACGGTGCGCGACGGCCTGCAGCACCTCATCAACACCCTGAGTGTCCTGATCTTGGAGAAGTACACCAAGCTCCTGGACACATGCAGGGCACAGGTCGGTTGGGCCACCTCTGTTTGGGGCGTCACAAGCGAGGCATTATGTGGGCATAGCATTCTATCGGCCCGGCATTCTTTTGGCCCAGCATTTTGTTGGTCTACCATTTTCTTAGCTCGTCATTTTGTCGGCCCGGCATTCTATTAGCCCGTCATCTTGATGGTCCACCATTCTATTGACGTGGCATTTTATTGACCTGGCATTTTGTTGGCCCAGCATTCTGTTACCTGGAATTCTCTTGGCTCAGCATTTTATTGACCGGTCAGTTTGTTTGCCCAGCATCTTGTCGGCCCGGCAATCTATTTGCCAGGGCATTTTATTAGCCCGGTGTTTTGTGGTCCAGGCATCTTGTTTGCCTGCCATCTCTTGGTTGAATGCAGTACACTAAAAGTATGCTAATTTTGTTCGTTTATGAAACACTCCATAAAGTATACTTTATAATTTGATTCGCCCGGGCAAGCGCCCATGTCTAGACAAACCCAGTTTTCAGTGAAAGTGCGGTGAGCGTTTCCCCAGTATTTTACGGTAACATATATTTTTACTTAACCAATAGTATATTAAACATATCCATTTAATGGGCACACCTTAGTTGCCAGACTGAGCCCTTGCAGAGTGCACACCTTTACATTATGAAATACACTAAAAGTATGTTAGAAGTATGCTTCAAATATTGAAAGCACTGTAAAAAACTTTTTTTTATGTGGGCTCAATATTTTGTCAATTTTGGAGATTGTCTATTTCAGATATATTTTGCAGCCACAAAATTGTGTGATTCTGAGAGATATGCATTTATTCGTTATCAAGGGGTGACATATCTGCGAGCAAATTTTCAAAATATTTTTAAATCGCAAATTTTGTGAAAATTAAAAAAAAAAAAAAAAAAATTTGGTTCTTACAAGTATTAAGTTGTTTACAGAAAAAATATACTTTTAAGTGTACTTTTTGGTTTCATAACAGTACAAATTTAGTACACTTTTAATGTATTGCTGATTATCAAGGGATTTCATGGGCCCGGCATTTTATCTGTTCAGCATTATGTCGGCCCGTGCACTCGTCCAAACAGAACATATTTGCGGGCGCAAAACTTTGTGATTCTGGGAGATATGCTATGCATTCGTTATCATGGGGTGACTTATCTGCGAGAGCTGGGTGACAATCTCAAGTGAGGAAAAATAGGCACAGTAAATTGAGGTTGCCGATCGAGAAGTGAAACTAGGAAAATCAAAATATTGAGTGTAGACAAGAGAGAGGGTTTTGAGGCTATACTTCTCACACTAATAAAAGAATTTATGCTTTTTTACCGTACCATTAATTACACTTTTTAGGCAATTTTCGCCCACTAGTCGTAGGAGGAAGTTGCCAAGCTTCATCTGCCTCGCAAGGTGCTTCTGAATCACGACAGTCTACGAAGAAAGAAATTTGATGATCGAAGAACACTTCAGAAAAAATATATGATAGAGGGAAATATCACAATTATTTACCTACAACAGCAAGCTACTTTCGTAAAAATGTGGTGGAGGACGAACACCATCTTTCGTGCATAACACATTTGTACCTGGTGTCAATATGGATGTGCCTTGCTTGACATCACTATGGACGTATCCTGGTCGCTCCTAGAGCCACTGAGTAAGCTACACCTCAGGGTGATGTCACCTCAGCCATCTTGGCGCCCAAAATCGTGGTGGTCAGTTATCTGGCGTTTTACTTGAAATAGCAGGGAACGCTTTTTGGCTTCCAGAAATATTAAAATGGTCTGCGATGGAACAGAGCGATCTCACGCGAGCTTCCTGACAGCACATCTGAAGCTCGTAAAGTTGCGTTTTTGAATTTTAACGACTACCAATAGATTTTTTGCAAGAATCCTAAAAGGCTGCGTGCAAATTCCCATATGCTCCTTGCCTGACAGCATCTACCATGTGCCACGCGAGACTGAAAAGAGTGAAAAAGAGATAGAGGCTAGTGTAGTTGCTCGTCCACCTACGTCCCTTCGTCTGCGCTTTCTTCATCCCCTCTGTCATCTGCTACGGCCAGTTTTTTATAGACCATTCCCTGCATCCCTTCTGGCACCGCGGACGGCGCTGCACATTTTGTAATGGGCCTATTAAACCCGCTCTGCACTAGGCACTGAAATGGTGGCGTTCATAAGATCGGGGAACGGAGAGCCAATGGGCAGAGCATAGCCGAGTTCTAGTCGCTTCGTGGCCATGCCCGTGACCACCCGGCCGTTGCAGCTCATCTGGCTGATGAAGGAGCTCATCAAGAACTCTGTGCCCGGGGTGGACAACCTGTGCCAGAGCCTGCTGCGGCAGATTGCCGGCGGCGACGTCTCTCCAAAGAACATCTGGCTCGCTGAAGCGATGCTCGACATCTTCCTTGAGAACAGGCAAGCTTTCCCCTGCACAGCGAGTCAAACACAAAATAACCAACAGAACTCAGCTATTCGCGACTCCAATTCAGTATAGGTGGCATCACTCATTTACCGGGCATAGTGAGGGTCGGAGATACCATTTGCTGAGCCTGTCTGGTGTGCTGGCTTCATTGAGTGACATAAGTTATTTCTGGTAATAGGAGAAAGCTAGGGTGTTATGAGCTCAGGTCACTTCTTTGTCCTGAAAACAAAAAATGTGTTTAGCGTAATATTTATGCCGGCACGGACATTCTAATTCTGGAGCGAAACCGAAACTAACCTCTATTTTGGATTTAATTTCTCGGTATAGATGTTGTTTTTGGATTCTTTCATAACTGAAGATGTGTCTCACAGTGTAATTATTACGCTAAAGCAGTTGTTCGCAGAACCTTTATTTTCTGACATACATAAATATTTTGAAGATTTCAGTGTCCCTTTAAAGACGGTCTTTCATACATCTTAGAGGTAACATTGAATATTGTATTTGTTGATAAAATCGGTGCTGATATTCATGTGTCCTTGCTGCCTTTTCTTGCTCAGATAATTGTCATGTGAAATAATAAACTGCGGGCCTGTTAATGAATTTTAGTGCTTAGGTGATTAATTGTTTTAACATGATTCCCAGCACAAAAATATAGAATCAATCCAAATTTTACAAAATATTACCAGGGGTAATGATTTTAGTGTGTGTGTGTGTTTTTATTACATCCAGTTCTTGACTGTTTGTCTCTCTTGATAAGAATGGCAGAGCTTGATAAAAAAACAAAATGAGACCTTTCTGGAAAGACTATTATGGTTAAATGGCATATTTTGGGGACCTACATATATAGTTTTTCAAGCTCTAACATAATTTGTTGCTTATGATATAACTTCAACGGTGCGAACAAGTATGGCAATCTAAACTGTGCAAATTATCATCACTGCTGTGAATTGCAGCCTTTTTAATTAACAAGTTCAAAAATAAAAATAGTATAAATCAATGAAAACATTCTGGCTAATCTAAAAAGTTAATCTAAAATTACATTAATTGGGGATAAAGCATACGGTACTATAAAACTCACGACTTTTGACAATCGACAAAACTTCCAAAGTCACCGCCAATTCTACCAGACAAAATGCCTAAAAAAACATTTAGTTTTTTTTTTAATTACAGCTTTTTTTTAGAATGTTTATGTCCTTCAATTTTAGGCACCGTCATTTTGCCAATTTCAGCCTTTCCAGTTCGAAGGAATGCCTAACCGCTTGCACATCTGCATTTCGTTGGTGTTGGAAACCGGTGAAAGACTATTGAGTTTAAGTATTGCATACATGAGTGAATGTAAGCACTCTGTGTTTGCTTTAGCGTTGCGTGTTCCACACTGTGCGTGCACGGAGCCTAAAATTGCAATCTTAAATTGGAGCAACGACGCGCATGCACAGCATAGAGCACGCTACTCTAATGCACATGCACAGCGCTTGCATTTGCTTCTATACGCAACACTAAAACTCTTTAATAAGGTACAATCCCATACCGGCTTTAGCACTACATTGGGACAGTGAAGAGTGTTGTTTGCATTCGAAAATGACATTTCGCGAGCCATGATCGTGAGCAGTTGTGTCGTGCCCGCTGAGCAGGAGATCCAGGGTACCCTCACTAGAGCGCTTTCCATTTCCGCAGCAGGAAAATTATCAACGAGCTGGAGACGCGAATAGCCTAGTTTGTGATTAGAGTTCTCTGATGGCATAATAATAATAATAATGTTTATTTAGACTGAGTCTCTACTGGTGGGAAAAAAAAGCGACCTAATGCTAGCTGATGTGGCTCCCACGAGCTGTTCATATCTCTCAGCAAAGCTAAGAAAAAAAAAAAAAAAAAGGATTTTGCGCCTAGCTTACAAAATTGTCACACTCAACCTGACTCTGTAGAAACGGCTGCTACGTGGCGCTTACTGTTAAAAGCTGCGTGCTGCTACAATCCAGCCCAAAGTCTAGGGCAAGTGACTCTTCTGGGCACTTTCCCTAGACTCTCTTCAATGGGGTGTCATGAAACAGTTGAATGCCGAGTAGACACCCACTCAAGATTGTTTGCGTCACGGTGGGGGATTCATGGTTGCTCAAACCGAATTTTATGTCTCTGGCATGTCCATGGTCATTGCGGAGCATGCGAAGGCAATTGTACTGTGCTCGTCAAACTTATACAGAACACTTGTGGAATATTGAATGCAGAAAAAAGATAAAATATGGGAGAACTGCGCATATTTATGTGAACTGAAGGTATGCTACGGACATAGTGGGACACAAAGAGAAATAGCTTAGGGCTAGCGCCAGCTATGCACGCACACATGGAAAAGAATAAAATAGAACAAGCCAAGAGTAGGCTTAGCATGTGTTCCAGATAAATTTGCTGAGCACTGTACATTGTCTGCCCTCAGTTTGTGTCTCCCCCGTGGTCCTCCTTGTTCTCATGTCTCCCATATCATCCTCCTCACTTGTCTACACCATTGTTCTGGTCACTAAGACCCTATGATACGGTGTCCTTCTCGATGGGCTTTATGCCGACCCTGTTGAATGTATGTGGCCGTGAGCCTTTGTCATCTTCTCGTCTGGCTGTGCAGCACGTGGTTGGCGGGCCTCCCCGTGCTGATAGCCACGGCGGTGTACACCTTCCTGCGCCTCATTGTGGACCACGGCGGCCAGCTGTTTGCAACACTGCGGCAGCGGGAAGTGGACTTCTGCATCTCTATGCTCAGGGACAAGGTGGGCCTCTCCCCATTAATTGATTGTGCGACTGGTCAATTGGGCCATTGGTTGATTGCACTGTTGTTTGATCGTGCCATTGTTCAATTGCTCCGTTGTTCAATTGCGCCATTGGTCGATTGCGCTGTTGGTCGATTGCACTGTTAGTCGATTGCGCCATTGGTTGATTGCACTGGTGGTCGATCATGCCATTGGTCGATCACAGCATTGGTCGGTTGCATCATCGTTTAAACACATTATTAATTGATTGCGCCATTGGTTGATCACACCTTTGGTTGATTGTGCCCTTGGCCAATCACGCCTTTGATCGATCGCACTGTTGGTCGATTGTGCTGTTGGTCGATCTCACTGTTGGTCAATAGACTGCTTCCATAAACCCCTGCATGCAACACTGCGGGCGTTGCACTTTGAGAACTAGTTGGCCAGGGAGGAGAGTGGCATGGTTTCGGTTTCAATCGACATGTCGACAAGAGATTATACACAGAGAGCGTGGACTATTTATTAGTGGCCGTTATCTCATGTTTCCTGGTCCCGAGAACGTCATTTCTGGTTTCTAAACTAACCTAAATGGCCAGACCACGAAGCTTTAGCACAAGCCCGAGACATATGTCTTGCTAACACATGTTTGTTGTATTTTTGTACTGGAGCCTTTCTGTTAGCGTTTCAAGGTATGTGAACGAACCAGTGCTGGGGATCTCAACGCTGCGAAGCTTAGGGATTTTGCTTTTGTACGAGTCAACAAGCTGTAACAACCAATAACTATGCGTGCATCGAGCTCGCACCTTTACATTAGTGTTGCTGGTCAGGAAGTTTGTTTTGTGCGTCCAGAGACGAAATGTAACTTTTTGCAATTATTGTTTTTTTCTTTTAATACGCCTGAGTATGCGAGGTAAAACTCTGAGGCGTCATTGAAAAACTCATTTTGAACACACTTTTTATCTCTTACCTGTACTGACCCACAGCACTGCATAAAGTGAAGTCCTCACCCGCTTGCATTCCACTAATATTCAACATCGCGTATGCGCATAAATTTATCCTGTTCGCACATACAAACTGTTTTAAGAAAGCAAAAGTCGAGCACTTGTGTGAAGAGTGTCGCACCATTCGCCGGAAGTGCGCCGGACGGGCATGAACCCCTATGCGGTGCACCAAACGAATGAAATTATTCAAAGCGCATTTGACAGTTGCTAATGACCATAATATTTGTTATATGCTTGCTTTTTTCCTGACTGAGTATGCCGAGATAATTTCAGACACACCATTCAGACACAGATCTTGGGCGTCAGTAAATGCTCGGCTAAAAAGGCTTAGCGAGGAGTAGGGGACGCTTGTTAGGGCCTCCGTCGTATCAAGCCGATCTCAGCGTTTGCGAAAACTTAATCTCCTATCAGCATAAAATTTGAGTGGGAAATATATGATGACACGAGGAGGACATCATAGTAACTTTTGTGCAGTAGTAAGGTCGAATTTATTGCATTTCCTTAAACGTTCATGCGTCAACGCTGGGCTCAACTTTGATACTCCTGTGAGGATGTTGCTTGCTTTTCGCCCAATGAAGTAACAAGAAGCGGACGTTTGGTAAACTAAATACGCGTAAGCCTCAAGGTGACCAAATTTCAGTTGTAGTTCACTGGTACTAGACGGGATTATTGAAATTGAGCTCAGAGATGCACTTGTGGGGTGAGGTGGCTAAGCCACGTCTTACTACGTTTGCATACGCACGCAGAATATCCCAAGTTTTGGGAACCAAGGAGAGTGCCCCGGCCTTCGTTTTGTAGCGCTCGAGAATGAGTCTATTCCTGAAAAGTCAGATAATCGAAAACGCAGGCAGCGCATTCGGTCACAGTATGATAGCATGAAATGAAGCTGCACAATCGAAACCGAAACTGAGTTGCCAACTAGTTCCCAGAGTGCACTGCATGGTATTTCGCCGCGATGGAGCGCTTTGATTTTGGAAGAAGTTTATTGCACCATTGGTTGATTGCGCAGTGGGTTGATTATACCATTGATCTATTGGACCATCGATCAATTGTGCCGTCAGTTTATCGTACCATTGGTCGATCACGCCATTGGTCAATCATGCCATTGGTCGATCGCGCCATTGGTAAAAAGCGCTATTGGTCAATCAGGCCGCTGGTCGACCGTGCCGTTGGTTGATTGTGCTTTTGGTCGATTGTACGCTTGGTTAATCACGCCCTTGGTCACTCACGTCCTTGGTCGATCGTATTGTGGTACGTAACCTGGTTTCCCCTCGGGGGTGGCTCTTGCAGTTCACAGAGTGTGCCATGATCGGCCGCGATCTGATCCGGCTGCTCCAGAATGTGGCCCGCATCCCAGAGTTTGACAAGCTCTGGAGAGACCTCCTGAACAGCCCCAGCACCCTGTCACCAACCTTCACCGGTGAGTGCTGCTTCGCCCCTACTGCTTTGCTCCATTAGGCTTGCAAAGGTCAGCTGAAGTCAATGCTCTTTAGCTTAAGTTTTAAGTTTTATTTTATTTATTTCTTTTTATAAAAGAAGAAAAGGAAGTGGCAGGGTGTTCCCAACTGTTGGCCGTTGCCACTTGGCAATTTTTCTGCTATACAGTATAGACCACTTACAACGTAACCGCTTATAGTGCAGGACCGGGTATAACGCGGTTTTTTTAAACCACCGGTTCGCCTCCCATAGAACTCCATGTATTTACATACCGCTTAAAATGCAGGCGCGCGAAGGGAAATACCGGCTATAGTGCGGTTTTTGGCACAGCCCGCCGACCGCGCCGGCGACCGGAGCAGCGGGCACGCTTCCCTGTGCGACACTAGATAACGGCGCTGACGGCGCGGGGCGAGGATGTTGCTCGAAGAAGTGGGGAGAAGCGAAGAGAGAGGCTTCAGTCGCCGTAGCGACAGAGGGACGCACGCACGTGTCGTTCACGTGCGTGCGTCCCTCCGCTGCGTTGGAAACAAAGAAACAAACAACCGCACCGACAGACCAATCGCAGATCGAGGAGAAGTGTTCGCGCGCGTTGCGTACCGGTCGCGGGCCGGCTGCTTCTCCGCAAACATGGTGTCGGTTGTGATCGTCGTCGTAGACGGAGTTCATCTCATCGTTCTGCGTAAAAGCGCTATCCTTGACTGTGAATTTTCGTTGTGTGTCGCTATGATAACCCAGCACGTACTAGAAGGGAAGATCCACCTACTCGTGCAGCGATGTCGTGGCGGCGCTCTCAAGACGGCAGAAACGCCCGTGTCGTCGTGTTTGTTTACTTCGACTACAGTGGTGATTTCTAAGCATTTGTGACCTCAAACATCGCCCGGATTTCTTATTTGGCACATTTCATGCGTGTGCTGAAGTTCAAGGTATTACTGGCGCATACCGTATGAAGGATGCGAATTTTCACGCGTTTTCATCTTCGGAGAAAAGTGATTAGGGTTAGCAATCCTGAACGCTCGCAACGTCCGTCCGCAACCCGCGACGCCGTTAAAAGGCTGCGCCAGGCAAAAGCCGCTAATTTCTTTCAAAATGTGTGACACACTTGAGACATAACTGTACTAGTCTGGTGAAATAAAGACTTTCCTCAAACTAAGCTTTATTTTTTATCTAACATAAAATAAATTCTTTTACAAAGGTAAGTTGTCTCATGGCATGTATTTTGGCCTGAAAAATTGATGTTTTGGTTATAACGCGGTACCGCTTATAGTGCGGATTTTCGCGACTCCCGCGACATACGTTATATGCGGTCTACACTGTAGTTGTTAATGTGGGCGCAATGGAAGTACAAGAGATTGGTCGTATGAAATGTACTCTTTTTTCTTGAGTGGAAATGACCTTTGACTACTGAGATTGAATTTTATGTTTCACTTGGAGCCTTGTCTAGAAAGAATGATCAATGATATAAATTGATGCTTGGAGTATGTACCTCAATCCTCAGTCACAGCTCACCCAAAAATTTCGAACCATATAGACATGCTACGGATGCTAATGCTAACTTTTCTCTTCTATGCAGGCGTGCAGCAGCTGCTGACGCAGCGGACGTCGCGGCGGTTCCTCCAGTGCCGGCTAACGCCGGACATGGAGCGCAAGATCAACTTCCTCACGTCCCAAGTGAAGTTCGGCAACCAGAAGCGCTACCAGGACTGGTTCCAAAAGCAGGTGGGTGTCCCGCGAACCGAGTACGGGGCCAGGACTCTGACTGGTGTGTTTGCCACAGCCTTGTTTGTGGTCCGTCTGCCCGAAGTCGTCGTAGAAGTGTCATGCCGTTGTCTTCCACAATCTTGGTGGTGGCACAGCGGCAGAAGTGGAGACAGTAGATGCTTGTTTCGCTGTAGGTCTCCCTCCGGCTTGACAGTTTGCTGCAGCTTAAGCGGCCAGAAGTCGGGACGCTGCGGCACTCGCGTTCGCTCACACTTTTTGTCGGAACTTCCGCAACCGGCTGCCGGAGTCGTGACGTCTGACCGTATAACACGCTGGCTCCCATATCATTTATTTGTTCCCACTTTGGGATCACTTTCGATGCACTGGCAGTTCAGATCAGTGCACCGTTTACAAACAAGTCTGCATTTGCCCATACTAGGTGTGGGCACTGCACGTGCAGAAACCCGATTCGCAATAGATGAATCTGATGTGTCATGAGACAGCAGCCAGCTATGTGCCAGGGAATGGAATTTGTTTATTTTCCAAGTGCCGCCACTCTCCGACGGTCTGAACTGGACGTTCGGGCGTGCCATTAGACGCAGGGTGGTAGGGGGGAATCGTTGCCAGTTGCTACAGAAGCATGCCGACAGGACACTAGGCACGCCATCAAAGATGTGTCCTAGGCACTGCGCCCTCGACTGCTGGCGCCCAAACTGGGGAACGGAGTCACACGCGTCCTCCCCCCCCTCAGTACCTGAGCACCCCGGAGAGCCAGTCCCTGCGGTGCGACCTCATCCGCTTCATCTGCGGCGTGATCCACCCGTCCAACGAGCTGCTCTGCTCCGACATCATCCCCCGGTGGGCTGTCATTGGCTGGCTGCTGACCACGTGCACCTCCAACGTGGCTGCCTCTAACGCCAAGCTGGCCCTCTTCTACGACTGGCTCTTCTTTTCCCCGGACAGAGACAACATCATGAACATCGGTGAGAGTGCCACCTCCTCTCCCCCTGCTGCATTCTTCTTCACCCTCTCTCCCCTTTTGCTTCGACGTCCGAATGAGCAGACGGCGACGACGATTCTTCTTGGACTGGAAGGACTAGCGCAAGGGATCTCAAACTTTTCAATCTCGAGGAACCTTTATCTCTTGATTGATAGTCAGGAACCCTTCCTGGTCGAAGCATTGATATGATAAAGCAGTGCAGAGGACTACGGACCTTGTAAGCAGTAATGTGCATACTGGGCAGTGTTTGACTCATAGCTATGTGCCAGTAAGTGGCACAGATCAGCTGAATTAGTGTTTAAACTGTACAAATTAACTTAAGTGCAGGGAGGATCGGCGAAATTTGGGAACCTGGGGAAACCCTGGGAGCATTTTGGGTGACCCCTTGTTTCCCAGGAACCTGGTTCGGGAACCCACGCTGTCAAGCAGTGCGGGAGTTTACAGACACTCTAAGCGAGAAAGCAGGTAAGAGGTAAGAAAGCAGGTCTGGCCCATGGATGGTATGTATTATTGAGTGGCTACAGAGCTGCTCAAAGAGAGCTTAAACTTTCCAGAAACATTTCACTTAAGGGGGGACACTACCTTGAATTGCACCTTTTTTTTTTTAAAAATGCATATTCAGAACTGCAAAGTTTTCGCATGTATGGATAACAAAGAACACTCTCACAAAGTCTTGTCAATGTGCACTGACGAACAATGTTATAAATAACTATTCTTTATATGTTGGTAAGGTGTGCTGCACTGCACAGCACTCGTCATCCACAAGTGAAAATAGCTGAAAGCAATGTCAGTATATCAGAAGAAGTTTGAGGAAGACATCGCCTACACTGGTGGAAAGAATTTTTGACATTTAAGACACAAAAATAAATTTTTAAAACTTCATTATGAAACTTCAAGTGCATTTATCTCAGCTTCACTTTTTAGTGTCAAATATCAGTTCAGGGAAGCTATCATTTCATAATCAAATTATGCGTGCAGATATATTTTGGTTTCTCTATATTGAAATTTTCTGGAGAACACTACTGTGAACTTACTTTCTTAATTTTTATGCACTTTTGTTATGAAAAGTTTATATTTCTTTTAAATCAAATGTACACCAAAACAAAAAAATTTCCATATTTTTTTTTGTGAATAAATTTTTATAATTTTTGAAATTTCTTTTTATAGTCGTCTGAAGCAAGTATTCTGGTGCATGTTCCAGCAAAAAAACTGGCCATTTTCATTACCCTTTCTAAATGATAGCTTTCCTCAGCAGATACACTTTTTTATTATAAACTTTTATCTAACTCATCGTGGGATAAATTTATAGGGTTGAAAATTTTCACAGCATCCTTGTCCAGTGCTATGAGTACACCCTGCAAATTTCATGCAGATAAGACAGACGGTTCAAAAGTTAGCCTTCCGGAGTAGTGTTCCCCCTTAAGGTAAGGAGTAAGTCGAAGAAATTGTGGAACCCTTGAAATTGCTCTGGAGAACCCGCGTATGCCTGCGAACCTGTGCTCTGGTACGTGCATCACTGTTTTGTGAGGTCTGTAGGCTTCCTCTCCGCCTGCTTTATTGCATCAATCCTGCGTCCGGAAGGTGCTCCCTGGCTGTCTGTCGTGAGACGGAGGTTTCTTAAACATTGAGCGTTCGAGAACTCCTGGCCTAGCATAGGAAAAATGTTCCGCGAAAGTAGCTGCACATCATTTTTTCTTTCTGGGCTTGGAAAATTTTTTGACAATGTTATAAGCAACCATTTCTCATAGATAGTACTGTCATGTGTCGTTAATATGGACTTTGTTAATATGGACAGCTTGCATTATGAACGAAATTTGGCAACCCATTTTTTCCGGTGCATTTCTGCCCTGTTAATATTGAAACCCGCAGTCTGGACTATGGATGGCAGCTATTGGGGGGATAAATCGGGTAAATATGGGTATTTTTGTCTTGTTATTATAAATTTCAACACCCCAGTTAAAAAAAAAAAGAGTAGAGGAAAAAAAGTTTTATAACTCTCTTGAGAGATCAGTGAACCCAAGAGGTCACAGTGTGCACCCGGACGTTATTTTGCGGGTCTTGAGAAAAGAGCTGCATACCAAAAGGCGTTTTTGTTTTGAATTTTGCGTAAAATGGATCGTTGCTGCTTGCAGTCTTCTCCAACTGCTTGGGTTGGAGAAGAGGGGAAGGAGGAACTCCCGTCTACTTTGTTCGTCTGTGTGTTTTGACCCTGATTCGTCATTATGATTGATTCACACTACGGTCAATTTTTCTGGGGAATGGAGGTGTCCATGTTAACGAGACGTGACTGCACTGTACATGCATTTCATCGTGCGAATACTGCAAAACCTTCGCTCTAGTGAAACACGGTTCCAGAGTCACCTTATAGACGGCGCCGGCGTGTCAGCGTGTTCTCTCGTCGTAAGAGACCACGAGAACTCGGTCGTTGGCAATCGCGAGTGTGCGAACGGGCCTCGACAGCACACGATTCCGGGAGGCCGTGTCCAAGTTGCCAATCCGATGCGCCTGTTTCCACGCAGAGCCCGCGATCCTGGTGATGTACCACTCGATGCGGCCGCACCCGGCCATCACTGCCACGCTGCTGGACTTCCTCTGCAGGGTAGGAGAACCCCGCCTTTTCCAACAGGTCATTCGTTTTGTGGGGGGCTAAACTCATCAGAACGCATCCAAAGGCGGACGTCCGAAAACAATATTATCTGTTGCGCCTGTCTTCGTTTTTCTTTTTTTTTTTTATTAGAAAGTTTGGCAAATTTTTATTTAACCAGAGTCCAGACAACTGGTAAATGCGAGTGCCAAGTGAGTTGGTTGTGCATGTCAAAACAATTTCCTCTAGCTTTCTTTCACTCGTAAAGAAGTCGTTTCGTGCAAAAGTGAGCTAATTATTTCGATTCTGGGTAGATGCATTAAGATGAGAAATAAGTTAGACTGCATAGGCTGAAATAAATATAGCGCCACTGCGGGACTTTGAATGCAAAATGCGTTCTATGAATTTTTTTCAATGAAAAAATTGTCACAAACAAGCGTCCTGACGAGCGACACGTTGGGAGCATCGCAGACAATAATGTAAAACAGAAAGATTATATGGAATGTGGGAGCCCCGGCGGGGCTCGAACCTGGGGCGAAGACAGTGGCTGTTGGACGCAACGGCTATTGAGCTACTAGCACAGCTGGTTTGGAAGGCTGAATTATTTTATTTGAATAGAAACGTGCCGGCGAGAGTGGCAGGTTTCAGTTCAAAATATTGTAAGATACCAAGCATCCTCCCATTCTACAATAAGCTCCCACCCATCAATTTTGTAACTTTAGAAAAATACACAAAGGACACATCTTTGCATATTGTTGACCTAAGAAGTGCCATAGTTTTACATGATTATCTCCAAATATTGTGTGGGCACTTGCACGGGATTTTGTGGAAATAAAATAAAATAAATGAATAAAAACGAAACAACAAAGAAAAAATATCAAAATAAACCAAAACACATATTTGAAAAATAAAAACAATAATAAGAAATAGATAAAAGTAATGAAAAATCTAGGACAAAATACACACGGAGTGTGGTCTGTGCGGGACACAGTCTGCTCCCTGGGCTTAATCAGCATGATCAAGACTGTTTTTTGGTTAGCTTTTTTTTGTGAAGTGGTGTTAGTGTTTGTGTGTGATCTTTTCGGTAACTACAGGGCATGTGGGACTAGCCTGAAGCTGCTCAATGGGATTACATCATTGTTTGAGAAGTTGCAGAGGTACAGGTCCTCCATAAAACTGCTGCATGTGTGGATGGACAGATGGATGGATAAATGGGTGGATGGTATTGGCCTTCAGGCCTAAGGCTGCCCTCTGCATCAGGTGGTTGCTTTCCACACCTAGCAAACCACGCGCAGTGTTGGTGTTGTTGGCATGCCGAAGGATGATCTCTTTGGGATTTGAGCGTTGCAGCTCGTCTGCCTGTTGCTTTGGAGCTGTGGTCGAGGAGATTGGCTGCAGCAGCCCCGTCTCTAAGGCTGCGCACATTTTAGGCTTCCTTGTTTTTAGACCCCGCTTTTTACACCGACCTCCCGACACGAAGGGTTAAGCTGTCGGGATCAAATCCGATCCAATGTGCGTGCAGATCATGTCCAACTTCTGCAAAAGCCTGGCGGCCCAGGTCAAGGTGGGCATCTACACTTCCCTGCGGCAGATCTTGGAGAAGCGGGTGTTGGCGTGAGTATGGTCCCCGGTGGCCCCTCTCTGCCGAGGTTTCCACCTCCACCACCGCCCTCCTTGGCCACGCAGGTCATTGTCGCCGCTCTTCGACAACCCCAAGCTCGACAAGGAACTCAGGGCCATGATCCGGGAGCAGTTCACCGAGTTCTGCTCGCCCGTCGAAGGTGACGGACGAGCGCTTGTTCCGTTTGCTCCAGGATTACTTGTTTATTTATTTTCCATCGAGGTGCAAATTGCATAAAGATGGGAGTGAACGTGTTAGTTAGTTTGACTAATGGTGCGGTTAGTAAACGTTTGTTAAAAAAAGAACATCAGTATTGGCAGCAATTGAAGTGGGAAGGTTGTTCCAGTCATGTGATGTTTGAGGTTTAAATGAGACGCTAGATGTGGTGAGTGTAAATTCTCGGTATGCCGACTTTATAAATGTGATCAAGTCGAGCTGAGTGATAAGATGGTTTGAGGATGAGTTTCTGGCGGAGAAATCGGTTATGATAATAAAACTTGCGAAAGAAACACCCACGAGCATTTTTACTAGAATAATTCAGTTGGGAAGCTCACCCTTGGAATGCAGACCCCTCGCATCCTCCGAAACCGAGCCACTGGAACCCAGATTCAAGTGGAGTGCCGCCCTTTTGCAGTCATTCCGTTCCATTTGTGCCTTTACAGTTCATTGGTTAGTTAGGGGTACATCTTCTGTTTTGAGATGAAGGAGTCTAAAAGCTCATTTCGCATACACGGGTACAATCTTTTTTTTTCCATTTTGATATGTGTGATTCCTGCAGTGGCCACTGCGGCAGAAACAGATGTGCTACCATTGCACTTAGTTCAGTTCTGAAGTAATGGTTAGTGCCAGCTCTCCAAAGCAGGCTCCTATGGCAGTTTCCCAACTGAGTTGTTCTAAATTCTAATAGCTTAGGTTTGCACCAACTAGAATCTAGAGTCTCCGACAAAACCTTGGTAAGGTATTTTTAATGTCTTGTTTGAGTCCGACAGCTTCTTTCTTGTTCTGCGAATTTCGTAAGTGCCGTTTTTTCTTTTGCGAGTTTTGTCGTACGAGCGTCGTAATGGGGGCCCACTTTTTTTGGCCCCCTGCCTCTCTGGCTTCGTTGTCTGAAGTAAAGCGTACATGCATACGAGATTATGCCTTTCTTTGGCACCTTGCATTGGCACTGTTCAACATTTTTTAAGTGCAACCTGTAGTTGGAACAACGTCGTTTACTATCTAGTCATAGCGTTGGCTCACAATGGTTCTCACTTTGCGTGTGTGCAGGCAAAGTGGAAGACACGGTACCAATGCCTCCGGGATCCATGATCCTGGATGGCAACCACAACTCGGTGATGAACTGCGAGAACGAGGCCCAGTTTAGTGAAGACGAGGACGACATCCCCCTGGGTGAGGCTGTGCTGCCCGGTCGTTGTCCAGTTTTTGTTCGGCAGTTGTTCGATCGTTGTTCAATTGTTTTTTAACTGTTGTTTGACTGTTGTTCGGTTGTTGTCCGGTTGTTGCCCGGTTGTTGTTTGGTTGTTGCTCGGCTGTAATTCGGACAACTGAACGCCTCTGGTGTTGCGTGACATGGTGCGAGAGTCCATTTGGGAAGTGTGGTGAACGGTGGACCAATAACGGTGCGACTTTTCAGGCAAGCTCCGCTCCAAGGACATCAAATTCCAGCCAATCCGTGAGCCGAGCAAGGCGGAGCAGATGGACATCTCTGAGCATCTGAACCAGCTCGGAGGAGAGATACGCAAGAAGATCCTGGAGCTGCAGAATGAGAAGTGAGTGCCCGGGCAGTACGCTTAGTTCACGCGACTACGGAACAGGCTTGCAACGGCCTGTTCCGTAAAAATTACAAAAAAAAGTTGCAAAAAGTAGTACTCTCTGGAAGTGCATATTTATACATAGATTCAAAGTTTCATATCCAGGCTGTTTGTTAGCATGTTTTGAAAAGCTTTTCCTGATTTCTCAGAATTAATTTCTTTGGTCACGACGCAGAGTTTTGCCCACGGTATCTTTGGATCTAGAACTTGGACCTGAATACTTCTTGGGGGGTTTAATACCTTATAAACCAGAGGGTGTAACGAGACTACTATTTCTGGAAAATGTTAAGTACAACATTTTCTAATTGGTGAAGACTTTAATGATTCATTTCTAATTAGTGCAAAAACATTTCAACTCGTGATAATTTTTTTAGATTGATGCTATACCGTATTTACTCGCGTATAGGTCGACCTGTTTTTCAAAAATCGCCTCATCAAAACTGGGGGGTCGACCAATACGCAAATCCCGGTATTATATTTTTCAACTTTTTTTTTTTTTCGGGGGTCCCGAGGTTAGGGGGTCGACCTATACGACGTATCGACCAATATGCGAGTAAATACGGTAATTAAAATGAAGATTTTGTTGCACTCTCTGCTGCTTGTAGAATATGGTGACATACATTGTTTCATATTTGTTTGAGGGGAGTATTGTAAAAAAAGGTGTTGTATTGTAAAGAAAAGATGTTGCCCTTCTCCTACTCAGTTTCATTTTGGTGCACCCATTTTCATGACGTTCCTGAGTTCTCAGACTCCAAACCAAAGTACTTTACAAAGCTTCTCCATTGATTGATCATCTCTCATCCTCGGACTTCAGCTACGAGAAGCATTGGAAGTCTGAATTGGAAGAGCAGATGTGCTATCGTCTAGGCCACCGACATGCAAAGCGACCATCTTGCATGATCAGTGTATCACGTGCACGCAGCGTCTAATTTCGAAAATATAAATAGCCCCAGCAAGACAATAAAACAGTGGGAATACAACTATAATCTCCCAAAGACGTATAACAGATAGGAGAACCTTCTGGATTCAGGGTGTCTATCACGAATTGTCAGGGAAATTTTAATTACCAGGAAAAATCAGGGAATTTTCAGGGATATTGTCAAAAAGCGAGCCCTGTCAGGGAAAATGAGCCGGAAATGCCATTGAATGCCCTGAGGAAATACTTGGGGACTTGGGGGCAGAAAAAATAGGCTACAAATTCTGCTTAGAGAAGAGCCTGGGCGCTGCTCACGCGATGTAGAGTGTGCTACCCAATGCAAAGTGAACAGCCGACTAATCCAGTCCAAGCCTTGGATTGGATTGAGGCCACGACACTGGACTAGATCCAGTCAGAGCTACTAGATTTAGTAACAAATGGGAAAGCCGCAGACCCCAATCCAACCCAAGCCTTAAGCCGAAAGTATCCGAAAGTGTGCATCTGCCGCCATGCTGCCATTCGGTTTATGACGTGCGTGGTTGAGCGTCGTGTTTTCATTGTGTTTCCGGAAGTGGCCTCTTCACTGACGATGTCGGCGGCAAGAAAGTGCTGGTTTAATCCGGGCTGGACGAACCCGAATATTTCGGAATATGCACGTTGGATTAAGCCCGTGCAAAATGATCTTCACAGTGCTCAATTGCTCAATGCTTTGTGTTGTAATGGTCTTATATATTTACCCGCCTCTACAGTGGTCAGGGAATTTCACCTGAAATTGTCAGGGGAAACCTGGAAAAGTCAGGGAATTTCAAAATAGTAATAATAATATGCTAGATACCCTGGGATTGCACTCAGTTTTGCGTTAGGTGGGAACTTTCAAATGTGTGATTTCCGCCGTATCTGTAAAGACCCCTTATTTAGGGGCAATGCGATGCAATGCGACACATTGTAGTTTGGCCTGATGCCTGACTTGCTCCTTTCAGGAACAGCGAGGTCCAATGCGAGATAGTGGAGGGTCTGCTTCAGGAGGTCCTTCGGGAGGTGGGTGGTGTGTGGTGGCCATCTTTCCGGCTGGCGGGGCTAGAGAGTTGTCCTTTGCGTTACCCAGGAGGACTTTGACCAGGACACGGCCACTTCCATCGGAACCTGTCTGGCGCAAATCTTGGACAACGAGTTCACCAGAAAGCTCTTTCCCCAGGAACTCGATGACGAGTGAGTGTGCGTTTTTACTTGCGCCTAAACGTCCCACATGGTAGAAGAAATATTCTATCTGTTGCTGTGAAACCATGAAGCAGTTTACTAAAATGATCCACCAAACCACTATGCTAGCAGAAGCTGCAGACAAGACTCAGCTTAGTGAACAGCCGTAGCGGTTCACTCATTCTTTTCTAACAGAACCGGGGCCCGTCTATTTTCACCTTCTTCGCCGATTTTGTACCGGGCATTTGCAGGCAAACGTAAGACAGATTGCAGCAAAAGATGCTTCAATCAGATGTGTTGGTCAAGGCTGGTTGCTCCCCAAGTTGAATCAAAGAAGAATGTGACCATTTCTCGCTAGCTGGAAGTAGTCGTTCGCGCGTGCAGAGAGCTTTTCTCAGAAGACTTCCATTGTAAAGTCTATCATATTTTTATTTATTTATTATTTATTTATTTATTTAGGAATACTGCAGGCTAATTGCGGCTCAAGCAGGATTGGGGGTTACAAAAGTGGAGTCAAAAAAGCGCAACACCTGGTAACCCGTAAAATGAGAGAGGGGAACGGGAAAGTTATGCACAAATTGTAATAAAGCACATGTAATAGCTCACAACAAAGTCGGGAGGGGTGGCGGTAGTGGGGAACAGGAAAATAAAACACAATGCAAAGAGTTACACATCAAACAAATGCTCAATCGACTCCAAAACATTGTCAGATATAAATATGTGATGAGGTAGGTTGTTCCATTCTGTTATGGTTCTAGGAAAGAAGGAGTATTTAAATGCATTTGTTCGAGCGAATACTGGAGTTATTTTATGCGGATGGTCAGGCCTTGTGCGCCTAGTCGAGGATGGGTGAAGAAAGGACGACGATTCAAGCCGGAGTTTTTTAAACCAGAGTTGATAAAGAAATTTTAGTCTAGCTAGCTTCCTTCGTGATTCAAGAGAGATGATGTTGTTACTTTGAATTAAGGCAGCAGGTGAGTCATGCGGGTGGTAGCGATTAAATATAAAACGAGCTGCTTGCTTTTGAACATCTTCCAGTATCTTGATATCTTTTTTTTGTGAATGGATCCCAGACTGGTACAGGCGTATTCTAACTTCGTTCTTATTAATGTGTTATAGGCTAAAAGTTTCACATGAGAAGGCACGTGCTTAAGCTTGTGCCTTATCATACCTAGTTTTCGACGGGCAGCTGCACAAGCGTGTTCAATGTGTGAGGACCAAGATAAGTTGCTAGAAATTGTTATACCGAGATATTTAAAGCTCATCGTCCGAGAGATGTAGTTATCACCAATAAAGTATTCATACTGATGAGAGGACTTTTTGTTAGTGATGCACATTTACAAGGACTTTTCTTGGTTAAGCTTCATCTCCCAACGATTGCACCAGCTAGAAACTGCATGAAGACTTTCGTTAAGAACAACTTGGTCCCTAGTAGAGTTAATATCCTTGAACAATAGACAGTCGTCCGCAAATAAACGAATACTCACGCTTTTATCTATACAAAAAGTGAGGTCATTAATAAAAACTAAAAAAGAAAAGGGCCAAGGACACTCCCTTGCGGTACACCCGAAATTACAGGAAGAGGATCAGAATAATGACCGTCTACATCGACAAATTGTTTTCGCATTAGAAGATAAACTGAAATCCATTGAACAACTGTGCTGGGGAGGCCAATCTCATTTAGTTTGTATATAAGACCGGAATGAGGAACTCTGTCGAAGGCTTTACTAAAATCAAGGAAGATGACGTGGACTTGACCAGGCCTACCTACTATAGAAGCAAAAGAATGAATAGTTGGAATGAGCTGAGTAGTAGTGGAAAGTCCCTTTCGGAACCGATGCTGAAAAGGCGAGATCATTTCATGTTTATTGAGGAAATCATTGATGTAATTAGAAATTATATGTTCCAGTACACAAAGAAATTATACGTTGCAGTACACAATTATACACGAAGAGCTGGTGAGTGAAATTGGGCGATAATTCGTTAACATTGTACGGTCTCCTTTTTTAAAAACGGGTACAACCCGAGCAATTCGCCAATCTGAGGGAACAACGCCACATGAAAATGACATCTGGAAGATAACAACAAGGAATCTAGAAATCCACTCAGCGTAACGACGAAGAAATGCATTTGGTATATCATCAGGACCATTTGACGATTTAGGTTTGAGGTTAAGTAGCATAGAAAAGATACCTTCAAACGTGATTAACTTTGAGCTTATTTCAGTTTCTTCGTTAAAGGAAGAATGTCTAGTGTAAGACTTCGAGAACACTGACTGAAACAAAAAATTAAACTCCGTAGCTATTTTTTGTTTGTCGTGAACCAACATTTCCCCAATTTTGACATAATCGACAGTTTTTTGTTGATTTGAGCTGAGGTGTCACCAGAACTTCGCTGGATCTGTCTTAAGGAGTCATTTGAGTGTATTGGAATGATAGAACTGTTTACTTGTGCGAATTTTAGCTGCTAGTGCTCGCTTTAGGCATGGGAGGGAGGAACTGTGAACTCGACTTCTACGGTTTGTTTTTACTTTCCGTACTAGATGAATTATTTCGCGTGTCATCCAGGGGTTTTTGCGGCGCACATATTTACTTTTATTAGGAATAAAGTTTCGAAGACAAAAATGACAGATAGATTTAAATTTATTCCACAAATAATTAACGTCGTTCCCAGAAAATGTATCTAAGGATAACTCAAGGTAATCTAGAACAGATTCGTCATTCGCCCTAGAAAAGTCTTTAATAGTTTTGCGCTTCTGGGCCACAAAATCATCCGAGCTGCCCATGAGGCAGCTCGGATGATTTTGTCACGTTGTTGTTTTGTCAGTTGTCACGCGAGTCTAAATACCAACAGTAATGCCGGTTTGCCATTGGTGGGAAATGGGGATTTAGGGGCGGAACCCTCACAGAAACGGGAAACTTCACGGTCCGTTAAAAATTTATCTTTTTTTTTTTTAATCTTTCCGGAAAGGTCCATCGAGGAGTCCATCGGAACGCCCCTCTTCGTCATATTCAGGTATGTGGTTGCCCTTCCCTCCTCTGGGGGACGAGCCCGTGGGCTAACTTTCGGCGTGCAATCAAGAAAAGTTTCAAAAGTTATATTTTTAGATTATATGTCTCTGCCAAACTTGTTATTGTGGCGAGGGCCAGTGAAGCAGGGATGGCCGTACTTCCCAGTCTGCAATGTTCGCTTAAGTCCTGTTATAGCTAACTAGCCGCATTTACGCCGAGGTCATCATTGATCCGAACGCTACAATTACTAGGAGTGGGCTGCCTTTCGGTGTTTAAGGGAAGACGCAAATGTTGGGGAATCTTTTTTTATGAGGGGGGCGAGTTTGCCGCCGTCAGTGCGAGGGCTTGCTCTGCCCATAACACGCCGTTGCACGGAACTGGGGAAAGCGGGGAAAAGGGCCCCCTCCCTTCCCTATCCAGGGCAGCAATCTCTGCCCCCCCACAATGCGTCCCGTCTCTTCCAGGAACCTGTGCCAGACCCCCGAGGAGGACCCCAGCCGGCAGGCCCAGCTGATGCTACTCTGGGAGCTGGGTCAGCACCAGCCCCGGCTCGGGTACCGGCTGCTCTACTTCCTCAGGGCCTCCTTCCCGGGGGGGACCGGCGGGGGGAGCGGGAGCGGCTCGGGGAACGGCCAGCCCAGCTACACGTCGTACCGGGACTACGCCCGCAGCCACCATGCCCTCAACTCCTGCCTGCTGCAGGACCTCAGGGTGAGACCGCCGCTGGGAACTTTCGCAGGACCGCAGTGCGACGCCGCTTCCATCTTAAAATCTGCGCCAAAATTCGTGTCGGCGACAGTCGTCTGCTTTGGCCCTACATCCGCTGTGCCTTTCCATTCGTGGAAGTGGTGTTCTCTGTATCCCTGGAGTTCTTGCACATTGGGATCAACTGCGCCGGCCAAAGTGGTTGGAAACGTAACGAAGCGTCGGCTAGCGTTAAATTTTCACATATACCGGTCTTTATTCGGACTTTGAACGAGCCGGCGCTCGGGACGCCATCTCGTCGTTGGCCAAAAGACCCCTGGCAGGTGCCGTCCTCTGTCGGCTCCAAAGAGTGAAAAAATGGAGTAAACATGTATTTAAGCGTCCCAAATATGTCCCCGATTGCACTTTACGAGTTCTGTCATCGACTGAGCTGTCTGCTTGCTTCTGCGTTTTGCCAATGCCAAAGACGAAGCTAACAAGGAGTCCCTTACATGCACTCAAATAGGGCAAATGGCAGAATGTGTCATCGGCGAGGCCGGAGACGGCTTATTGACGTCGCATTTTTGGGGGTTTTCAGATACGTCGCTTGGTAGCTTGTCCGGAAGTGACGTCGGGAGCGAGAGCGCCGTCGGCAAGTAGAATGAACTATAGGGGGCGCTTTATCCAGCTTGTCTACCGCAGAGCTCGGTGTTTACCCAACATGAGGCCTGTGGACCGGATTCTTTACATCGTCTCCCTCGATCGATTGCAGGGCACAGATTGCACACAAGTGCTGCGTCGGTGTTTGTCTTGGACTCGTGTTCAATTGGGGTGCAACCGATTGAACAAACAAACGCCCGCATAGCGTTGGGTTCTGAGCTTCTGATGGTCCTTATGGCCACCATATTTGACTTTTACTTTGTGATTACCCAGTATTCTGGGGAAACGGCAACATGTTTTTTCTCACTCGTGCTATGATAAACAAAAAAATAAAAGTAACGGGCTGCTCACTCTTTTGACGTTAAAATTGTTTTGTGGCTGCTTGAAGCGGGGGACCGCAGTCGGCTCACCGTAGACGCTGGGCTTATGCTATGTCATTTTAATTCCAGCTCTGCCAGGAGGACGACGTTCGCCTTTTCTGCTACCTGGTGCCTGAAATATACACACAGGTAGGTCCGGGCCCCTTCTGGATTCGAGCACTGTATAGATTGACACGCCATTTACGAACAAGCCCGTGTTTGCCCACACAAAGTGTGGGCACTGCACATGCGCAGAAACCAAATTCGCGTGAAGCGAAGCGTCTGTGCATGCGCAGTGCCGTTGACGGCGCCACCGCAGCTGCGTGACGTCAGCTCCGCGCGTTGGTCTATATGCAGGAAATGAACCTGATACGGGGATAACGAGAAAGCGACAGAAAAGATCAAGACCGGACAAGGCATGCTTTGCCCTGTCTTCATCTCTTTTGTTGCTTTTCTGTTCCTGTAACTTACCATCACACTCCAGATTGTAGGATGCCATTCATTGTTCAAAAGATTCTTTTTTGCCAGCGCTTTTGCAGCTGAGGGAGAGGTAAAAAAGGGGGCATCGGCTAATTGCAGCATCACACAAACGAATATGATGCCACGATTGGCTGGTGCCTTCGCCAAGATTTGGCGGCGTGCAGCCGATGGAGAGGAAGGCCGAGAGCGGGTGAAAGGGATGCACCGGCCGATCACAACTTCACATAATTGAATGCGACGCCGTAATTGGCCGGCACCTCTTGCTCAATAATGGCATTGTGGAGCCTGGGGAGGGAGAGGCTGGGAGATGCAAAAAAGAAAGCATGGAAAGGGGGAATGTCGTAACTTCTTTGTATACGAGGGTTCTACTCGAGATCCCTTGGACAGTCGTGAAACACCGTGAACGTGCTTTTTCGCAGTTCCCCAATGTGGCCATTGGCAACGCGGACATTCTGAACCTCATCGTCTCCTGCATCGACGCACTTCAGGCAAGACATTGTGACGTCTGGCATGGACGGTTGGAAAGAGTGGATGGCGATTTCTGGCACGTCCGACAAGCACGCTGTCTCCTTCCCTTGGGCCATGGTCCATGATGTGTGAAGTTAAACCGGGCCAACTCTTTGTGTACATGCAGCGAAGTGCATGCTGCAAATGTAGCGAGTGTTGTAAGCCCCAGGGCGGTGAACAGTTTAGCCTCTGCTGTACTTCACTCGCCCCTTAGCTGATAAAGCAGGGGTAGCAGTCGGGTGATGAAAGGGAGGGGGTTGAATGGTCTGGCAGGCGTGTCACTCCCACTGCACTGTTAGGTTAGAAGTGAACAGAGTATAGTCAGTTCGTCTGATGGCCAAAAAGGGCAACTTTGGGCAGGTCGTGCCACCGAACGATTAGGCATGAGTGCTACATCACAGTTTGGCGGGGAGCTTGGACGCTCAAGTTTGAGGTCGAGTTCAACTATTGCGACTACGAGCCGTCTCAGAGTTGCGAAAATTCCGCAAAAGATGGCGCCACCCGTCACACCAAACTACATTGCCAAGTCGGTATCCACTCCTTTCGACTGGCAGCTTGTGGGGTTCTAATTTAGGGGCACTCGCGTAATCCGTTTCCTCTGTCCGCTCAGCTGCAAGACCTGGTGTGCCACATCCTACAGGGGAACATGGTGATGTTCCGCAAGGACTCCTTCATCTCCATACTGAGTGAGCAGAAGTTTTCTTCTGAGGACCACTGGCTAGAACTGTTGACGTACAGTCACGTCTCATTGTCATGGACAGCTCCAGTTTTGTGAACGGTCGTTTATAATGTGAGTTGTCCGTAAACATGAGTCGAAAAGCATGTATTTCTCCGGTTCGTCCCCAAAAATTTTGCCTACATAGCGGGGCGTTCGTATTAATGCGACATGAGTGTACATCGCACAATACAGCTTGAACGTGCCCATTTTTCTGGGTTTTCCTGCATGACTAGAAAGCTATCATCGAAAAGTATGAGTGACGTAGAGCATGCGTATGAGCTGCATTACGTTGGGGGGGAAAGTTTGGTATTCCACGTTACCCTAATGCCACCAACATGAAATAGAGTCATTTGAATTCTCGGTGTGTGGTGAGTAGTACAGTTTAAGTTCCTCATTATGACGGAGATTCGGTTATAACATACCGAGTTTTGAAGTTAGTTTACTCCACCTACCTATGCCATTTAGCCAACTTTGCTTATTATAGATTTTGTTATGAGTAGGGTTCTGTGTTTTCAGGGTTTATTTTTTTTTTCGAATTCGGGGGGTTTGTCTTCATGGTCTATTCCTTCCAACAGATTCAGTTTTTCTCGTTGTCGGAAAGGAATCAATGTTTATTGGGCCTTATGTTGAAGAAACGGAACACAGGCATGGATGTCCCAACGCTCCAGAGAACATGCGCTTGCCCAGAATACTTGGAAAACTTCTCGTCATCAATAAAAGGAGGAACGACATAAGGGTCTGGTTTCTGAAGAAAGAAGTAGCGTTGCGGACAGTTCAGTGGGACTGTGTTTTCAAGGTAAACGCAAAATAGAATTGTAGTTGAAGTTTTGTTTTTCTCGGGAAGCTCAGATTTTTTTCAGCAGAGGAAAGCTCCAATTCGGGCTCCTTCGGTTACTTTTTGGATTTATCGGTATTTACTGAAAACACGGAACCCTAGTTATAACATATTTTGGGATAAAATGAACTCTATATCAGGAAGTTTGTAAGTAGTTCACCATCCCGTTATAGCGGACTCTTCGAAAGCAGTCGTTATTTTGGACATACGCGTCATTGGTTTGGTGGCGGTGGCATCCCCTTTTCGAATTGCCGTCACTGTGCTCTGCACCTCGCCGGCCTCGTACGACCCAGAGCGCACACCAGTTCTTTCACTACCTTTCAAAGTTCAGAAGTTTCAATAAGCCAGTTCTTTTCTAGTATTCTTTCTCATTTTGTCAGTCTGTCTGATTAGAACAGACTTCAGTCATAATCCACTTCAAAGTCTGTAGCAAGAGTATCTGCATTCTGCATGCTCCTTTTACAACAGCCCAGAATGTTAATCACTGTCAAGGTCTGCTATAGTAACGAGCTTATACTGTATACAGAATAGGAATGTACTAAAATGTGATAGTCAGCTTAACTTAAACGGGCACGTAAGGTGCCATATATTTTATTTACGTGCAATTTCCTAGTGTTGCTCTCTTTTAGAGTTCCCAGGGTGCAATGAGGCTAGCGGGAAAGTCTAGGGGACTCCCCCGTGGGAACATAAGGAATTTGACTGTGCTCGAGACGTGCCCTCTTTCTCGTAGACGCGAGCCTGGAGTGGGAGACCTTTGAGCAGTTCTGCCTGTGGCAGCTGATTGCAGCCCACAACATTCCCGTCGACTATGTGCTGCCCATCCTGCCCAAGCTCGAGTTCCAGGGTGAGCGTCCTTGCCAGGACCCCAGACGCACGCTTTCCCTCGTGGCATGGGCCTGTGGAAAGCGGGGCTCTCGCTCCTTTTAATGCAGAATTGCAGTCTAATGTAAGCTCACTCAGATTTTGTGTTTGTCCGTGGTCGACACGACACGTCACGCGACGTCGAGTGACGTGACGTCCTGGTGTCATGCGACCGACGTCGCGGTGTCACATGTTGTTATTGTGTCGACGAGGTTTTGGATCTAGCAACGAGTGTTAAATTGTGGTGTAACGTGACATCACACAATGTGACCACGTCATGCGACATCGGGTCACGTGACGCTGCAACTTTATACCGTGAGGTCATGGTGCCACTTGACTTCACGACTTGGGATTGTGGCTTAACACCGCGACTTGATGCTGTGATGTCACACTGATCATGTTGCATGACACCAGGCTCTGTAATGTCACATGATTATTCAGAATGTGCCAATGAAAGAATGTAATGAAACTTCATTTTTTCTCACACATTGCAATTCTGCATACGACAATTTGATTGGTTGGTCAATATATGGCTGCCAATTTTTTTCTTTTCCCGCAGCGCATGCGGAGGCCTTGACGAGCATCCTGCTGCTGCTCAAGCAGGAGAAGTAAGTGGGACAACCCTCCCCCCTTCCTGTAAAATACCACTCAAGCACCCACCTTAAAGTTGAGAATTATCACTAGAAGTAAAGGTGTTAGGTTTGAGAGCGGAAAAGTAGAAAGGGCGTGTGGTAAGGTAGGCCTTCGTTTGATTCGATGGAACAGTATAGGGGGCCTGGCAGAACCCCTTTTATATAAAAGCAGTGATGCTTCACTGATTTGTGCAGCACATGCTGATAAAGCTTCACTGCTTTGCACCAGCATGCCAGGAGAAGCCGCTGACACGAAGGAACATATCGGTTATGCCTGGTTTCACTTTAAAAGGGCACTGGCAGGTCAAAATCATATTTTTTTTTATTATCTGGAACGATTCAAAACGATGCCTGGACATTACCCTCAAGATGAAAACGATGCCTGGACATTACCCTCAAAATTTAGAACATGAGAACTCAGTATTTGTGAAGTAAAAAAAAAAAAAAAAATCCAAAAGCTGAATTTGATGATCCCGCGCGATCCGCGCCAGTGCAGTGACGTTAAAGATTGAGTCGTCTTGCAGCTCGAGTTTCTCTCAAGCCTCCGCGTCGTGTTCGCCCTCGATCAACCGCTCCGTTCATGCCGCCTATCGCTGTGAGCAGACGAGGCATCACTTTCGAGTCTGAAGTTCTTTTAGGGCTCTTTCAGTGATCTCAGATTCTTTGAAATGGTGTGAGGTCGAAGAGAACGCGCAGTGGACTTTTGTGAGCGAAGTGAGGGGCCACGCCACGCCAGTTCTGCCTGAAAGGCTGCCCCAGCGGTGTCACAACCGAAACTACGGTACACAGACACTAAACCCAGTTGTTTTGACCGTTTGACGATTTCCTTTTTGAAGCACTTGATACATCATCCCGACTGCCCAGGCCCTCGGCAGAGCTGCTCAGGCACATCCTGTGTCGGGACGTGAAGGGCAGCGACCTTTTTGTGGTCTCCATCCTCAAGTACTGGACCCAGGAGCACGAGGTGCAACTCTCGGAGCTCGTGGGAGCCCTCTTCGTCAAGGCGGGGTCCGCGGCCAAGCGGAAAAGGTGGGCCTCCCCGCCCGGCTCTATTCCCGTGCCGGGCTCACGTGCGGAAAGCCATGACCTGTCATTTGATCATTCATTCTTTTGGGAATTCAAATTTTTGTCAAGCCTGTTCTAACATTTTTATTGTTTCGTTTTCTTGAAACATATTTGGGACACGCAAATGTAAGAGACGTTTTTTGTTTTGTTTGCTGCGTGTATCTGTGTTTTTTCTACAATAGACCCTTCTCTTAGGTCGGAATCGCCTAGGGGTAGTATCAAAAGCTCCTACATTGTCGCTCTAGCAGCGGCGATATGGGGACTAGGTCGTCTAGATCAAACGTCCTCGACTTCTTGAATCGAAGGTGACGTAAAAGGACCGGCTTGTTAGAATCCATTTCCTACTTTTGGCTTTAGAAGGCATTCGCTTTTCCTGGTGTGGGGAGGCTGCGTAGCACCTCCATGAGAGCATTGGGTTTGGCTCTGTACAAAGTGCAGTGATGGAAGTGCTGCGCCAATTGCGCCAAATTGCGCCAAAGACGCAATCCTGCTACATGTAGCGCCAAATTGTCATTTTACCAAAGAATTGCGCCGAGCCTGCGCCGAGATGAGATGTAGCAATAAAATATAAAGATTGAAGTCTTATTAAGGCACATGGGCGGTACCGCGGTATTTTCCACGCCGCAACTGTTACGCAAACCGAAACTGCGAGGGCGCATTACCATTATCATCATTGAAGGGAACAACGTTAACAACATCTGAGACCAAAGCCGCAGAGGCTAAGCGAAGCGTCATCCCACTGAGCAGCCTATTTTAAAAAAAAAAAAAAAAAAAAAAAGGCCGAGCTTGTGGATGTTCTCAATGTTGGCCCGCCCTGTCCCCGTGCGCTAGGTACCAGCGAAGTCAAAGCTAGCGCGAGCCCAATGCTCTGCGCATTCCTGACTCGCGCGTGGGCTCGTGCAGTGTGGGCACCGTTACGGGCTCCATGCGCGCGCTTGTAGCTTCGGCTGCGCTCGCACCGAAGCTGAAACGAAGTATAGTTGAGTTGCACCAAACTCTGGATGTAGTGATGGTAAGGCCTCACCGTGCTTTTCGGAGCACAAAGCACTGCGCGACTCGCGCGACTGCGGTGTCTGCTCCGCGGGTGTCGCTTCTCTGCAGCGCGTCGGTGCATGCCAAGGAGCGCACTCAACGGGTTAACTCGCCCTGATCCGATCGTGACTTCGCCAGCACATCGAAAATGAATCGGAATTTTTGAAGCGAATATCAGATACTGCAATATTTGAAGCTGCTGCCCGAAAGACAACTCTAATCTGAACTAAAACATTCCACAAGAGTGAGGGTCGTTAGATGCTGCTGCAGATACCTTAAAAGAAGTGCAGGCTGATAAAACTAAACATCCTGTACCATCAGAACTCAGTGTGACATATTTAATTGTATTTTTTTTTTATCTGACGAGCAGATAAACTTTATTTAAAAAAAGTTTTTTGTGTGTTTACTTTGTTGAATTTTATATATCCTGTCTTAAAAAGGCGACAGGCGCTGTGTTCCAATAATAGAGATGGGCTTTATATAGCAATGCAGCATTATTTTATTTTCAAGTAATATGCCAACTTATGCCGGACCCTGCTCCAAAAGGGCCCCCACCTGCTCCAAAACAACATTTTGCCTGCTACAAGGCCTGCTCCAAAAGGTCAAATGGCACTTCCATCACTGAAAGTGGCTAAACTGACTTTTGAAAAGGGTCTATTGCGTGTACTTGGTGCGAACTAAGGAGGGGGGAAGAGTCTATGCAGAAATTTTTTTGGCTTTACCTCTCCACCGGGCTTGGTTGGGAAAATTAAAATAAACTTCAATTCAATTCAAAATTTGATGATTCAAATGGAAGCGACCAATCCCTTCGAGATTGAATTCACGGGGATCCACCGTAGTACCACCGAGGCCTTCCTCGTTCACAAACTTCTGCGTCACGCAAGCAATTGCGCGAGGATTACACAGAGACGTCAATAGCATGGTGCATTCGCACAACTGTATTTGGGGAGCAACTTTTTCTAGCAACGAAGACAAAGCTACACATATTCGTGTGCTCGGGCACGTCGGGCGCCGATCAAAGCTTTAAGGGACTTCGTGTGCGCTGTCTTATCTTCTGAAATGCTGAAAGTTTAAGGCATTCAGGTATTTTGTCCAAAATGTGCGCATTGGCTAGTGGTGCCGAAAGTGTTGGCTATATTAACTGACAAGGCGAGGACAGGAGCCACGGCTGTAAGGAAGCGGCCATAGCGTGTTGTATCGATATACGGCTACTGTGATTACGTAGAAGGGGAAGAAGCAGAGAAACTGGGCTCGTGCGATTGGTTCCCTCTCAGTTTGATGCGCTGCTGTCGCATCCTGGTAAAAGCAGCCAGGGAGGAGCTTCAGTTGTTCCGCTTCCCGGGTGAGCTTCCTACCCTCGACAATGCTTCGGCGTCTCGCGCACCTCAAGAAAGCGTGGGTAGCCGAACCTTGGCGGAAGGCACGGAGCACTTGCTGGAAGTCGGACGTTCGAAATACATGCACTGCCGTTGTCGCTCCGTGGGCGACCACACCATATGCCGGCATTCGGTTTTCAAGGCAGCGTGTTTGGTTCCGTGGGGAGTAAAGTTGCGCCTTTGCGTCACACCAAACCGGAGTGGTGGAGCCCGTCTCTGAAACATGGTTTTCCCTGGTTCCGGCGCGAGCAGGCAGCCCTTGGGCAGCAAGAACCAGGGCCCGGCCCCGGAGCAGACCCTGGCTCATTTGGACCAACTGAGGCAGCACTGCAGGCAAACCTCCTGTGAGTGCCCCCTTCCCCCTTTCCACACTGCTTGAACAAGCCACGCCCACTTCCCGCTCGAGCCGTGGGCCGCATTCCAATCGAGCCGCCCGTAGGAAGGCAAACCGGGGAAATCGCTGCTGTAGTCTGTCGCGGGTTTAGGATAGCACAACTGGCCCCTCTCACAGAGTTCTTTGCTTGCCCTGATTTGTTGTCTCCTCCTCTCCACTCCCCTTCTTCCCAGCATTTGGTGCTTGTCCCAAGTGTACGACAGACTACCGTAAAATACGGAGCAAGTGCTCTCCAACGATTTGGAGATCATCTTAAAAAGCCGGGGAACGGACACTTGTTCGGTCCAAGAGCAAATATGCAGAAGCGGCGCATGTTTGGATGGGCTTCGCCGCTTTGCACTGGTGTGTTCAGAGAAGATCTAGTGCCGGGCAAAGCAGAAAAGCATCTCGGTTAGCCAGGTGAACACTCGACATGTCCTTTCCTTGTTCTTTAAAACTAGCACGTGGGTGCTCATTGCGATGCGGATGCGTGGTCAGCATTTTACGGCATGGCACTCAGCGAGCTGCTGCGGTTTTCCTGTAACGTAAATTTCGGTGGTCAGAGGAAGCGAGCGGGACTCACGTGATGTTTGTAGAACTCTGCCGCGATGACGCTTCGGGGAGAGTAACTTCGTGCTTATTCCCGCTAGTGGAGTGTAAAAATGTGTGGCGCTAATTGAGATGGCCGCCTCTCTGGTTCCTGCAGTCTTCAGCCAGGGTGCCATCCAGGCTGCATTGGCCCAAGTGCAAGCATCCTCCACAGAGGCACAGAAGACCAAGTGAGTTTGTTGGACGTCTGGAATCGCGTTGATCTCTGGATGGTTTGTATTGTCGTCCAATGGTGGCACCACGAGGTGCCCCTTTAGTTGCAGCAGTCCCTGAATCGGAACTGCCATACTTTCTCCCGTGCACATTTCTAACAAAGGACTTCCTGTCAGCTTTTTTCTTGCGATTTATTGAAGGAGGCTGCTGTTGTGTGTTGCCTGCTTGTCTGCCGAGATGGCAGAGCATTAGAAGACCATTTTCTTAGGTTTTAGAAAACTTCTGCGACAGAACAAATGAAAGTCTGGAAAAGCAAATTGTCCTTCGTGGAACCTACGTTTAAACCCTGTATTGCGTTAAATATCCGAGCTTTTTGAGCAGTGTTTTAATTGGTTTGGCATGGAATTATCGAAGTGGCAGGTGTCACAAAACAAGCGTGTTTCTGGGTTTGGCTGATATGACGGTTAAGGACCTTAACCGTCATATTGTCGTATAAAAAGCTAGGGCCTCTAGTTAAGGTATTGACCAAAGTTTATCGCCGTCTTTTGGTTTCTATTTTGCAACAATAGTATGGGAGCCTAAAAAGTGAATGAGGATCTTTCTAGTTAGTGAGGGCTTGGATGGGTGGATGAATAAATGCATACATCTGATCTGAACACTTTTAATTGGGCAATGGCTCGCGTTGTGTAGCCAGCATTGTTAAAGTGACCTTGAAATTACCTTTTTACTTTTGCGAAACAACTTTTATATTAAACCTTCGATGTTCACTGGACGCCGAACAGGCATCTGTTTTTGTTTCGGTTTATTAACTTTTACATGAAAAGGTACTGAAAGATTGAGTTTTTCTTCCTCTCCAACTCACCGCAAAACAAGCCAGAGCATAATTTTGACGGTTGTGGCGTATTATGGCACCGGGCAGTAGGAGAATGGGAGCATAAGGGACAAGTTGGCAGTGTGCCAGTAGGTTTTACCACAAGGTTTTACTGCGCTGATGGCGCCGATGCCACCGACATATTTTCTGAACTGGCGCTTTTCATCACCGCGATAGCCATGGACACATTGCAGCTGAGGGAAATTCAGTGAGATGTATTGCGCTACAGCGACAGCATGGGACTGGTCCCATACGGCTGGTACGAGGCGCAGCAGGTCGTCAGCACGACAGCCGGTTTTCCACCTCCGTCAGCCGTTTCCGCGGTATCTCTAAAAAGAAGGGAACGCGCTGTCATTCACTGGCATAGCAGAAAATGCTCAGGGTTTTCTATGGGCTCAAGCTTTATTAACTTTTATTTTCTCAGTATAGGCTCGGAGGGCACAGTGGATGAAAAAAGAGAAGAGCAAATTTTCAGCCTTTCGACTTTGTTGAAGAAGGAAGACCAGCAAAGCTGTTATCCTTACGACGTCTAGTACGATGCCTAGAGGACGACGTCTAGGACGACCTCAAGGACGACTTCTTGAACGACCTCAAGGATGACGCCTAGAGGATGACATCTAGGACAATCTTGAGGACAACGCCTAGGACTACCTCACAAACGATGTCTAGGACGACCTTGAAGACGTCTAGGACGACCTCGAGGACAATGTAAAAAAAAATGAAGGAAAAAAAAAGTGCTTGGTTCGGTGTAGCCACATGACTTCCGCCTCTCTCCTCTCCACTTCTCCAACCTCCGTGCGCAGGTTTTGGTTTCGGTTTCGAGCAGTTGCGTTTTTTTGGCTTTATTAAAGATATAAATGACTCTGTTGCAAAATACTAATTGGGTAGTCTTCCGACACCATAATAAATCGCATGGTAAAAAATGATTTTTGGGGGGGTGTTAGTGTTCCTTCAATATTAAAATCGGTGCACCCCCCACCCCCTTAGCAACAGTTAACCTCTCCCTAATACTGCAAAGCAACTTAATTTTAGCAAGGTCCTAATTTTCGGGGCTTTAAAGACATGGCAAAACATTTATCTCTTGATTGCATTTTGCTGGGGTAACGGATATGTAGCGTGTAACCCCAAATCGCAAAATTTCGTTCCCACGAGGCATTCGCAAAACCCACACTCAGTGATGTGATTGCTGCGCCAATTGCGCCAAACTGCAGCAAGGGGCTAACCTTGCTACATCCTGCTACATTTCACCGAAATATGGCTAATCTGCGCCAAGCCTGCGCCAAAGAAGCAATTTTGGTTGCCTTTCAGAAACGAAACTAAACTGAGAACCGTAATTGAGCATGTGTAAGCTAGGTCGCACAAGACGCCACCCGACACAAAGTACCCTGTATCAATCGTCTATTTGGTCTTGCATGATTTTTCCCGACGTCTCGCGTTTCGTGCACTCGTCGTCTCAGGAATCTCGTCTCGCGTATATTCTTTTTTTTTTTAGCGGTAGACGCGGGCGTGTGCGGACTCTCGGACGTTAGTGTATCGGGTGCCAAACATGCCGTCATGCTGTGAAACAAAACCATGTTTTTGCGCGGCGGGAGTTACTTTTTGAGCTGAAGCGCTCGCGCAACGTCGTGTGTTGCCGTCCCCACGTCGCTGCAGATATGGCGCTTTCTAAACTGAAACGCATCGACATTCCTGCTCTTGTTTAAATCATACGCTGCTATAAAAATCCCTCTCTAACTCATTGACTGCTTGGTGAAGTTTTGATTACTTAGGTTTTTCCTGGTGGGCTTTCTTTCGAGAGGGACCCCGGTACGTGAAAAATCTGCCGCGAAAGAAAGGTGGTGAAGAGAAGTGAGCTAAAGCAAAGAAGGCAATGTCTGCACGCTGAACCCGCACAGCGTGTTTGTTTGTCTCGAGTTCAGTCGTTGCACGAAGCGCTCCAAGAACTTTTTTGACCTTGATTCGCAGTGTCTTGCATCGATACGCTCAGGTTCTTTTCTTCTGTGTGTTTAGCCTGTACCTCGCCTGCCGGCCTGGCAAGCACGAGTCGCTGGACTGTTTATTGTCGTATGCTGGACAGTTACATTTTGCATACTATTTTGGGAACCATGCAGTTGGCGACGGAGCGCGGAGTGGCATGGTTTCGGTTTCGGTCGAACAGCCGTTGTCTCCGCCCGCGCGACGAAGCACGTGTAACAGCAAGCCTGCCGAAGTTGCCCTTACGTGCATGTGAGCATGATTGCAACAGAGGCACCAGCCGGGACGCTTGCAATGCGTTGTTTTACGTTTGCTTACTTTTTTTTTTTATAAAAATCTGCCACGTCAAGAATTGGTAAAACGATAGCAATTTTTTTTTTACGGAATTGCTTGGCAACGCCTACAGCACTGTGTACTTGTGGGATGTCTCAGCAGCAAAAACACAAGCAGCGAGTTCCGCCCCAACACGTCAAATCACGACACAACACAAAGTGCCCTTCGTTTGTCCAGCACTTAAAACGAATATTTAATTTTCTAGGAATATATGCTCCAAAAGTCAGTTTTTCTGCTCCGAAACACTGTTTTGGCTGCTCCAAGAGCCACTTTTGCTGCTCCAAGACACTGTCCTGGCTGCTCCAAAAGCGACATTTGCTGCTCCAAAACACTGTTTTGGCTGCTCCAAAAGGTGCTCCAAAATGGCTTAGGCCAATCACATCACTGCACACTTTGCAAAATTTGTGAAATACGGAGCCCCCGAAAATAAAGTCAGTTACGACGTACAAAACAGTCCGATTTTGCCTTTTAATGGTTATACCTAGGAATCCGCGTTTTCGGTTTTTATTTTTTCGAAATTTGGCATACTTTTTTCGGTGTTTGTTTTGAAATTTAATTTTCGGGGTTTTTTTTTGGTGTATATTTAAAAGTTTACCGGTTTATGTTGGCGAATATGAAAGAAACAACACCGGATCAGGTGATCCTTGTAGCTGTGATATTTGTGATCACTCAAAAAATAATGGCACACATACATACGTGGTCTTGCTACAACGTCCGTCGGGACACACCTCGAGATTGCGGTATTTGCGGGCGTAATCTTCAGCATGCTTCTTTTTCCTTCCCATTTTGACAATGTGATCGTCTGAGGTGATGACCATACAAAACCAGCGGAATGGCAAAAAAAAAAAAAAAAAGAAAGAAAAATCCATTGTACATATGTTTTTTACCACAGGGAATTTTGAGAGAGTTAAGAAAGGTATTAAAGGCTTTCCTCTATGTCCTCTGAAGCGCATGAAGCAAAAAACCTTATACTAGCCCACATCCAAACTTTTTTTTTTTTTAGTACCAGGAACTATGCCCGATCACAGAAAGGACACAGATGTCCTGCGAAGGCCAATCCAAGAACTCTTTGGTTGCATGTTGAACCTTGGAAGAAGGCAGTCATGAAGACGTCATACAATGTCAAACCTTGCAAAACCCCCTCTCTCTTTCACCCTCTGTTCGCCCACCCACCTCGACGCGGCCCTGAAAAACTTGCCTCTTTCGGTTAAAACCGAATTTTAGAAGACGGATTAGACATACTTTTATCGGTTTAAACCGAAAATGCCGAACCTGCAAACTGACCTTTTTCGGTTAAAACCAAAATTCCGAAAATGAGTTTGGCGTACTTTTATCGGTTTAAACCAAGAACTCCGAACCCTAGTTATACCACTAAAAATTTTGTTCTGCGCAACAGAAGTGCCAGCGAACTTTGTCCTGCTGTTGCAATTCACGTCCGGCATCTGTATCTCTTCCCCTAGGTTCAGTGACCTGTTTGCGCTGGCGGACGACGCGGAAGAGCTAAAGCTCCCGCAGGCGTTGCCCAAGGGCTCCAGCGGGGCCCCCTCGAGGGGAAACCGCGGCGGTGGCAAGGCGGGTGGCACCGCCAACACGTCTCCACAAAAGTCCGCCCGCGTCAAGCCGGTGCTTGCAGACTCCGACAGCAGTACGGAGAGCAGCGAGGTAAGGCAACGCTGGCGAGACACTGCCATCCTCCTTTTTGCAAGGGACGCCGCAGAAATTTGGGACGTGCACTGTATATTCTGTTTCATCACAAGTTTCACTCAATGACGGCTGTTTGTAACGGAAAGCAAGTCGTCTACTTCCAGCGCAGGAGTTGCGGTAACGTCAGAACGACACCGAGCTGTGATTGGCTTTGAAAGGAAAATGGGTAGACCTCAATGCTAGATGCTTTGAGGTCTACCCACTAGTTTTTTCGATCAGCCAATAAGAGCTCAGCGTTCTGACATCATCGCAACCCCTGTGCAAGAAGCAGACGAACTAGTACTCCGCACACACTGGCGCCATCTATCGGTTAGCTGCGGAATACTCACAGTTCCAATGCATTTCTTAGATTTATTTTGGTGCTTCATTCTTTCTTTGTTTGAAAAACTTTTGACAGTGTTATGACGTATAAACAACCATTTCTCGTAAATAGTGCATGTACAGTAAACTTTCGTTAATTCGACCTCGACGGGATCTTGAAATTCGGTCGAATTATCCGAATGATTGAGTTAAAAAAAGGACAGAAAAACGGTTAAAATTAAACTTCCTTTTATTGCCCAAAGTACTCACGGATGGTCTGCTGCCGTCTGTGCTTAAAACGCGTGTCCAAAAGCATGCTCCGGAGAGCTGCGTGACTAAACGTCACGTCCCCAACAAATCGCGCACATGCAAAAAAAAAAAAAAAGAAAGAAAGTTTTACGAGCCGACTTTGGCCCCGGGCAGCCAGATTGTTGGCGACAGAGAAAAATAACAACAAAAGAAAAAAAAAAGAACTTGTGCTTTTTGGCGTGCAAGATGGACCGCACACGTTGCTACAGAAAAGTCTTTGGAGCATGCGCTGAGAAAGCTTTACAAGCCGACTTTGGTGCCGGGCGGCCAGACTGTCGGCTACAGAGAAAAATAACAACAAGAGGAAAAAAGAACCTGCGCTTTCCGGCGCGCAAGATGGACCGCACAAGATGCTACAGAAAGCGCTTTGAGAGCGCGCGCTGTCTCCGTGCCCGAGCGCGCGCTGTGTTCTCTGCGCTACTCCACGCCAGATTGGTTGCGCTGGCTCGTGTCATTCGCTACGGTCCATCTCGCCGGCGTAGAGGAGCGAGCGCATATTTGCGCACGTTTGGCTTTGCAGCAAAGGGCCCGTGTTTCGCTGTACGTTGGTGGTTTTTCTGCCGTAATGCCGCGCAGTGTGAGCTCGCGCGCATTCGCTCGGGACGAATTATCCGATGTGGCCTTTTCAAGAGTTCAAACTATCCAACTTTTCCTCCCATAGAAATGTATGGGCGCTCGTCGGGACTTTTGAACACGATCGAATTAAACGAAAAGTCGAACTAACCGAGGTCGAACTAACGAAAGTTTATTGTATTTGATCTCACAAATATTGCAAAACCATCACTTTAGTGAAATGCAGTTCTAGGGTCACCTCATAGATGTTGCCTGCGTGTCCTCTCGTCGTAAGAGAGTGCAAGAAAATTGGGTTGTGTGTGTGTTTATACAGCCTAGAACTTGGTCTGCCTCACAGGGGCGACGAGTCTCCCAGCTGTAGATGAGAAATTTAGCCAGTGCGGTACAGCCGCTAGCCTGGGGTCTTTATTGTGCATCACGCAGTAGTGATACACGACCGCACGCCGGTACGATGCTCATCCAGATTGAAACGGGCAGGGGTGGGGCTCGAACCCAGGATCCCTGGGTTCTGCAGCGCGAGCTTTCGCTCCACGTGCTCCGAGCTGGTGCGCGCTAGACCACTCGGCCACTGATCCCCTGAGAGTGCAAGAGCTCGGTCGTAAGCAGATGCAAGTGTATGAACCAGTCATTACGCCCCATAGACGAGAAATTTATCCACTGCAGTATGGCCGGTATGACGCTCATCCAGATTGAAACTAAATGTGTTCCCTGCAGGATGAGGAAGCGGCCAAGCCCAAGCCTCCGCGCAAAAAGAAGAAAACTGCCCTCGTAACGTCTGACAGCGACTGAGCTTCGTGGAGGACTTGCTTTTATAAATATGTACACATCGACGGCACCTTGTGACTGAACAAATGGAAGACTGGCGACGCTGCGAGAGAAGAGGCCATTGCTGGGCTGCCAGAACACCAAGGAACACCTGTACAGTGGGCGCAACGAAGAGCGACGTGCGAGAATGTGTGTGTCTGTGTGTGTGTGTGTGTGTGCTTGCATTTGTTCACTAGGACAAGGCACAGTGCTGTACTGAAAGTGATATCTTGTAGGTCTTAGGAAGAAAAACTGCACTCGGGGTCGAACTGTTGGACTACATTAGGTACACGGGGTGGAATGTTTCGTCTGCTCTTTTTTTTTTTTTTTTGTAAAAAATATGAACGATGTTGCGGATCTAGTGAGCATTCGGTGTAAATAGTGCCCACAGTCTGTACAGCGACTTGGGAGCGGCGTGTTTTGTGTCGAAGCAGTCCGTCGTTGACTGTTCTTTAAAAAGGAAATAAATCTTACGATCTATTTATAATATAAATTGGGGTGCATTGGCCCCACTAGGGGTGTTTCACATCGCCTGCTGCAATTAGAGAGCCTCAATTAAGGGTGTGTTCAACTCAAACCATGGAGAGCATTTGCAACTTAATGACGGCGTTAGAGATGGCAAATTATACCCTTTTTCGTGTGTAAAAAATGCATGTCATATCGGAACAAAAATGGTGTTTAAAAAAGGTGTTGTTTTTAAGCCTAAAATAACCTGTAGCAATGCTCTCTAGTTTCAAAAAGTGTTGCACAGCTGCCGTATCAAGCCAAATTAATTACTATAGTAAAGTGGTCAGTTGGGCGAGTTGGTAATGATTGAACATGGTTTCTCTCTATTTGTGCGCAATTTTAACCATGTTAAATTAACCACTGTTTATTTATTTTTCTATAGATTTATCTTACGAGTTTTTCTCTATTCAAGTTGCTGCCACGTCCTCTGGACGGGACATAGAGATCGAACGGGATGCCCGTTTTATAAGCTCTAATTCCGACGATTGCAGTTCTACCGTAAACATATGTGTACTCTAAACCAGTTACCAGATGGCGCAGATCGGCGCCCAATTCGAAGGGTTCCGGGATTCGGGCAGTTTCGAAGTAAAGTAGACAGGAGGCAGTAGTTTTTATCTAAATTTCTCAATATTAACGTAAAGTATATTCAAAATATAATTCAATTTTATCAATACGCACTCGAATCACCATTGCAACAGACGTCGCCAGCGCCGAAGGCGCTGTTGCGCCGTCTATTGCAAAGATTGAAAGTTTCCTCCGCATGTTGGTACTTTTCGAACCGACGAAGCACGGAGTTTGCGAGAGTATCCAGCATGGCTGACATGAACGATCCGCCTCCGTTATTTTCTTCGGAAGGCGATCTAAATTCGAAAGAGGACGATGACATCTTCGCTTCCACTGTCGAGGTGAGTGCGTCCCAGGAGGCCGGGAACAATACCCTCTTCCTTTCATTCCCGGCTGGCTCGCGGACTGTGCGTGAGACGACGACGTCGCCTGGGGGCGTATTCCACCTTACCACCGCCGCTTTCCCGTTCGCGTGTTGTCAGCACCTCTAGAAATATGGCCCTCCTCAGAATCCGATGTTTTTCCTAGCAACGCTCAACGCTCTACTCTGATTTCGGGTGTGTGCCTCGACCCTAGTAGCGTCAGCGGGCTTTGCTATCTCGGGGAGTCGCCGCTGCAGATCCCGACCGACTCGCCCCGCAATCGTCCGAAACGAAATTTATGCTCTCATGTAAAGATTCATTCCTTGCGCTCACGTAGCTCGGGCACTCGCGCAGTGGGTCGTTGGGGGCGGGTTCCTTGTAAGACAGCTGCTGCTGAGAGCTTGACGAACTGTGCTCAAAAACCCGCCCCCAACTGCGGCCCGTGACGACGAGCCACTACGCTCGATTTTTTCCGAGTCCTGTTTTTGTTTCGCGCTAGCGGTCTCCGTAATTCTGACTCTTCCCTTTTCTTTTTTTGCGCGTGAATCTCTTTGCAGCAGCACAAGAATTTCCGGGAGGGTAAGTGGCGCCGACTTCTCTTTACGGTTTCTTCGAAGAGTATCAGCTGTGGGTTTTTGCAGAGGGAGTGGCGTAGCTCGTGCCAGAAAACGCGGTGTTGCTCGTGAAAAAGAAATTTTACGAAAATGCGACGATTGTTTCGAACTCTGAGTACACCGGGCGGCGCTTTTGAAGAGTGACTGGGCTGCGAAATGCTAAATTTACCTCTGTGTGGAGTACAAGCTGCGCGAGTACGATACACACGACGATCCGGCTTCTTGTGCCAAACCGATGTCTGATCTCCCCGCGTCAAAATATAGAGGTGGGCGGCATGTGACATCTTAAATGTAGGCGGTCAGCTGGACTGGTAGGCTACAAAACCACTGCCACCCACCATGGGGTGAATCCCGAATTAATAAAAAAAAAACTCGACAAGCTTTGCCTTTAAAACCCAATTTTGTACGTGCATTTCTTCTTTTCTTTTTTTTTTTCCCTTCTAAGTGGAGTGGCACCTGTGGTGACACTTTACTTTAGCAGAACACTAATTTTCCAGACATCTATGAACAGTGACGGCAGAGTAATACGTCTAAACCTGAAGGGACTTTGGCGAATGCTATAAGCTGTGCGAGTCAGTCTGGCACCAGTTACGGGGCTAACTCCAATGTTACTAGATCAACTTAGTTCTGGAACTCTCCACGTACAGTTTTGGAAATGGCTAGTATATAGTAACTGCAGTGTACTACTCCCTAGAATACATAGGTTTTAAGGTACAGCGTTTTAATCATAGCATCTAGATGGCACTTTGAATGATGGATGGTGTCCTTGGAAGGGAGAGAAGGGGTTTGCTTCTTCGCACTGTCTAGCCGTTACGTCTGAAAGAACCCGAAACAAAAATTAAAGTTACGTCCGACGTAACTTTACCTCAAGGTTTCGAGTTACGTCCGACATAAGCCAATATGAAAATTAAAGTTACGTCCGACGTAACCCAAAATGAAAATTAAGGTTACGTCCGACCGAACTCTAATAAAGAGTAATGTTACGCCCGACGGAACCCCAAATAAAAATAAAATTTTTTTGTCCTGTGTAACCTACGCTTATGTTTCGCTTTACAGCCAATACATGATGTAAATACAAAAATATTGTTAATTATTACTATGTTATGTCCGATGCAGCATTCGTTAATCGGTTAAAATCTCAACTCTATCCGCGATTCTCAGAAAGCGTCGCAAAATATTGTCTTAAAGGAGGGAAAAAATTGTTTAAAGAAAGGGAAAATACGAGAAAGGAAAAAAAGTAATGTGACGGGCATCTGTACCTGGAGGTACAGATGGAGTCGCGAATTTAACCAATTAATGAATGCTGCATCGGACGTAACGTAGTAATAATTCACAATATCTTTGTGTTTACGTCATGTATCGGCCCGGCCGTAAAGCGTAGCATTCAATACTGTTGGGTAGGTTACACAGGACGTAACTTCAACTTATATTTCCGTCGGACGTAACTTTCATTTTGAGTTTTGTCGGACGTAATTGAAACCTTGGGGTAAAGGTATGTTGGATGTAGACTTAGGTTTTATCTCGAGTTCCGTCGGACGTAACTTTAATTTACACATTGGGTTACGTCAGACGTAACTTGAAACCTTGGGGTAAAGTTACGTCGCACTTAACTCTAATTTTTATTCTGGGTTCTGTCGGACGTAATGCTAGACACCGCATGCATTGCCTCTTTATAGGAGTTCCACAACCGTGTTGACCTACCAATGTTGGGTGTCTCTGGGGGATACTGTAGCAGACAAACAAAAGAGCTAGTGGATAGGGTTGTAGATGGATGAAAGAGATTGTGGACAGAATAGTTGCAGATGGATAAAAAAAGGCTAGTAGTCTGATATAGGTACAAACGAACAGAAGCAGTAGTGGTGAATGTGTGTAGAATGGATGTGAGTGTCTCGGTGGAGTGATCCCTTCTTGGAGCAGACTAGCACCCTGCGTGTCTGCGCCCAGGGCCGATGGAGGGTCCGGCTGTGGAAGAGGTGAACCTGGACGAGGACGAGCCCCAGACGCAGGCCCCATTGTTGGGCTCGGCCAAGCTGGAGTTCCGGGGCTCGGACGAGGAGCTGTCGGCCCCCAACCCGCCCCGGGGGGCCACCACCCTCTTTTCCCCGGATGCAGGTGCCAAGCCCCAGACGGGGGGTAAAGAGAAGGAGGTGCGCTGGGGGACCTCCAGTTGTGGGATGGGGGGGTCTCTTGCCTTGAAAGTCCCCTACGCAATATGGCATGAATGTCTTGTCCGGTGCCATTATAAAATGGAGCACAAAAGAAAACTGGGATCGAAGGAAGACTCACACGAGAGTACCAATATTTATTTATTTACTTGCAGATACTACCATCCCTTGTAAGGAATACACTAAGAATGGCGTGCTATGGAAAAAAAAAAAAATCGCCCTAATCGGGTGCTTATGAGATCATCTACCGACATTTAATGCGCTGTGATTAACACTGTTTCATGGATGTGTACGATCACACTTCAAAAATTCAAACACGATGCAACATTTTTGAAGGAGAAACATAATGAGCGGTTGTTTATGAGCAACGCACCTGTGGAGTGTTTTTCGGTAGATGCACTAATCGTTAGTTTGCAATACTCATTCATCTATGGGAGAGTGCAGTATAGAAAAATAGCCTGTTTTTTGTCAAATTTGTAACAATAACTGACACATATCTAGAGTAGATGTACCTGGCTTTAACAATCAAACCCTCGATCAAGAGTGGGTTGTAAATAGCTGTTAAAAATTTATCGGAATGACAAAAAAAAAAAAAAAAATTGCCAGCGACCTTTACGCTCAGTCTTATGACGCATGAAATGCATTATAGGGAATTAGGGGGGGCATTGGTGTGTTACATGATGTACATTTTACCACTAAATTTAGAGGGGGAAACTGAATGGTTCAGGTCATGTGACGTCATTTCCCCCGCTAAATTTGGGAGAGAAAATGGATTGGTGTCTCAGCCACAAGACGCATATTTTCTCGCTAAATTTAGTGGGCAACTGAATTGGCTTATAGGTCACATGACGTCAATTTTTCTGCTTCATTTAGCGGGGAAACTGAATTGACGCTTTAGCCACAAGACAGGAATTTTCCCTCTAAATTCAGCGGGGAAACTGAGTTGACGTATAGGTTGTGTGCCGTCAATTTTCCCAATGCACATAGTTTACGTGGCGCCACTTTTCCCGCCAAATTTAGCGGGAAAACTGAGTTGGCGTGTAGGTCATTTGACGTAAACTTTCCGCTAAAATTTGCGGGAAAACAAAAATGGTCTGTATGTCCCATGATGTCGAGTCACGTGACATCAATTTTCCCGCCAAATTTAGCCGAGAAACTGAATTCGTGTATAAGTCTCCTAATATCAATTTCATCGCTGAATGTAGCGGGAAACGGATAGACAAACAAAATTTTGGGATTGTGGGTAGCATTAAAAAGCATTTCGCTCTTCATATGTGGGCAGCAGCTCTACAAAGCTGTGCTTTGTGTCAATTGACCTGAACCTGGAAAGTGGTTCTCGTCATTCGACGGGAGCTCTCTTGCCGCGCTGCCTCCATTGCCCAGGGAGACGTAGGTCAGTCACAAGTGCTCTTGGAAGCATAGCTGCAGCCGTCCTTGTGGGACGAATGCGGACTTCCGAAGCCGAGGTAACACTGCTAATGTGTCATACAAAAGATGGCCTCGTACGAATGTCCCGTCACATTGGTCGTACGAGAACTGTCCGCAGACAAGTTTGGAGCGTACACGTCGACAAAGTAAACTTGCGTCGAACATGCAGCAAACATAACATCTTTTGTACGATGCATGAGCGGCGTTGTAGCGACTTAAGAGAACGTCTGTTGGCATGCACGGAGAGGGGACAAAGATGATACCCACGTCCATCGCCCTCTCCTGTGCAGAAGCCAGAGGAGCTGCTGGAGATCAGCGTGCGTGAACCCCAGAAGGTTGGGGAGGGCATGGGGGCCTTTGTGAGCTACCGGGTGGTGACGCGTACCAACCTGAGCTACTTCCGTAAGAGCCAGATGTCCGTGAGCCGGCGCTTCAGCGACTTCCTGGGCCTCCACGAGAAGCTGGTGGAGAAGCACCTCCACCTGGGGCGCATCGTTCCCCCCGTGCCTGAGAAGAGCGTTCTCGGTACGGGCCCTAATCTCTCTCTCTCTCTCTCCTCCCCTGTAGCATGGGCCCTTTTCCAAAGTTCGATGTCGGAGGTTACATGACGAGGTGCCTTGCGCTCTCTCAGAGGGTAGCCGAATGGATGAAGGCGTTTCTTAGTCTCATCCCAGATTGCCCAAGCGGAAAAAACGGCACAAAAGACTGAAGACAAGTAGAACAAGTACATACACAGACACACCTACACACAGCACAGACTTGCAACTGAAAATTTTACTTCTGCGCGATACCGCCTTTGTCAGTTTCTCTGGCAGTCTTACTTCTGTGCCACACTAAAGTGTCATCAAATAGCAGAGGACATACACATCCGTTGCAATGGATTGTGAGAAAGCCAGACGGCGACACCGCAAGGAAAGAGTGTTTTCTCGCCCGGAAGTTGTCACACCTCCCCTGTCAAAAGTAAAATTTTTAGTTGTAAGTCGGCTCCGTGTGTGTACTCCTACTTGTCTTCCGTCGATCATGTTGAAAATTGCCAAAGACTCTTGTAAAAGATTACAAGCTCGGTAGACTAAAAAGTCTCCGGAAAGGGTATGTCTCACTTTTTCTTTCTTGTATCAAGTTTCCAGCCTTTTGCCACTGTCTTGAGTAATTTTCAACATGGTCAACGTCCGCCACCTCGCCTGCACACGCGACACATTCCTGTCATCCGTCTTTTGCGCTGTTTTTTCCACTTCAATATGACCAACCAACTAGCCCAACTCCGTGCCTTGTTGAGAAGATACTTCTGAGAAACTATCCTTCAGGAAACATCTTACGAAATAGCATCTTGTGCTCTGAGGGAAGGTTGAAACAAAGTTTGTCTCGTCTTCGGCACCGGACAGTGAATCTGGGGCCATGAAAGAGTGGGTTGCGTTTGCATCTCTCGACACACATACGGCGTTTACTCGTGTATTAGACGCACTGTTTATGAACGAGGCTCGTGTAGCTACCTTCCCACAGAGCATATATTGGGTCGACCATCATGTTGTTATTTATACACTTGTCAAATAATGAAGTCGAAAAAAAAATGATTCTCTGCGAAAATGCGATCTGTGCAAATGACATGTTTGCACAAAGACGTTATCCTTGACCTGTAAGTCGACCGGCTTTTTCTGCAATTTGCAACAATTAACCGTCCGTGTGCTCCATGAGACAGTGGGTGTGCAGGTTTGTTCTCGTAAATAGCGAGTCTTGTCGCTCGAGTAAATAGGGTACTTCGACTTCAGAGTTGGTTTCTGCCTTTCCAGACATCCGATTTTGTTTGGCAGAGGGACCTTTTTCCCGTGATGGACTCGGTGGAAACCTGGCTTTTAAGGGGGGGGACACTGCCTTAAACTTGCAATATATATATATTTTTTTGTTAAGTCATTTTTAGCAAGTAGTTTTGTCAGCTTTCAAATATCCTGGTGGATGCTATCAGAAAGTTTCACTCCTTTATCTGAAGTATTTTTTCTGGAATAAATTATTCCTGATAGACAGGCCCCATCTAAAGTACAGCTTTTTGAACTTCCAAGCACAATTATCTCAGTTTCTCTGTTTAGCATCAAGTCTTGGTTCAGATAATTATCTTTTAGAAATGAATTGATGTGTGGATCCAGTCTTTGAAGTTTCTGTACTTCAATAAGATGGTGAACTGGGCCAGTTGGTTGGATGGGGAAAACAGCTCGGAAAACACTGACTACGAAGAACATGCACGACAGGACAATGCTGCACGACAGTGTGTTCTTCGTAGTTCGCGTTTTCTGAGCTGGTTTGAAATTTTGCAAGGAACGTGGCTATCTTGCTTCACTCTCCCCTCCCCCCCCCTCCCCCCCCCCCCCCCGCTTGTGACGCCATCGTGTCAAATGCTCGTGATATTCAAATTGACGGGACAAAGTACGCTAAAATTCATTTCTAACACTTGTTCTTTTTCCAAGAACTTTTTTAGTTTTGTTTTTTAATGGTATCTTTTCCAGTAGGAATACTCGATTTTAAGTTGCAAGCGGCCAAAGACTTGTTTCTTGCCGGGTTTCCCCACCCCTGCTTCGGGGAGGGGTCCTTTTTGGGCCCTGTTTTGGGGGGTGGAGTGGCTGACACATACCTCGTCCCAGGCATGACCAAGATCAAGATGTCCAAGGACGAGGGGGTGGCCTCGGAGGACTTCGTGGAGCGAAGGCGAGCGGCCCTGGAGCGCTTCCTGCAGCGCACGGCCCAGCACCCGTCACTCCGCGTGGACCCCGACTTCCGAGAGTTCCTCGAGCTGGAGGCAGAGCTTCCACGGGCCACGAGCACAGCGGCCCTCAGCGGAGCTGGCATGTTCCGGCTCATCTCGCGCGTGGGCGACTCCGTCTCCAAGATCACCACCAAGATGGACGAGACCGACCCCGTGAGTGGAACATGCCCGCGGAGCGCTCTCTGTCCGGCGCTCCGCTCCACCTTTTGAAGGACGGGGCGCGAGCATGGCACGCAGCGCCGCTGTCTTGTGACAGAAACTTTTCAGTTGCTGAATACTTATCGAGTAACTCTGGAACTGCGTATAACTGAGCTGAAGATTTTGCGGTATTTGCGAGATCAAATCTGTGCACTACCGTAAAATACCGAGCAGGTTGCCTACTCAAAATCGGGAGATAATTGTGAAAAACGGGCATGGGCGCTTGCTAGGTCCGACCAGAGCCTTTTATACTGGGAGAGTTCGGCGGTTCTTTGATCCAGCCGCCAGTCTGGCAGCACTGATCAAACAGTCTGGCAACTGTGCGCATCCGCCATGATGTGCCTTGCCGTCCAACTTGATTGCACCTTTGCATTTAATTGCATTATAATTATAACCTTAAATTGCAAGCTTCACCCTTGTTTGGTGTAAGGCTGGTGGCGGCTGATAAAACCCGTTTGCCCTACCGACTCGAGCCGGCAGTCGGCTCGCTAGAGTCCATGGAGCGAGAGACGACGATGAAAATGATGTTCTGCGCTGCGCTCTGCCAGACGTTAGATGAAAAAGAAATGGGGGGCTGCAGTGCCGTTGGGTGCTCGAACAACGCGAAAAAGGGGTTCAGGATGTACCGGTTCCCGCAAGGAAAAGAAAACCGCGCAAGGCACAAGATCTGGGAAACCAAGAAGGGCTGACTGGAAGCCGAGTTCTCGATTGTGCGAGGTAAGTTTATGATTAACGTATGATTAACGTAACAAAATGCTTGATTTTTCAACTTTCTCCTTACGCCAACAAAAGCGCAAACGGCAAAACCTACACGCGTATACATCGCATGTCAGTGTGGGGACCCACTCGCCGGGAGGCACATCATGGCGGAAGCGGCGCCCGCTGAGTCCGCTAGACCTAGCGGGCCGTAAGCCCCTCCCACCCGCCGAACTCTCCCAGTATAAAAGGCTCTGGGTCCGACCACTGAACTTGAATGAGTGTCGTTTGCCCAGGTAGCCGGGCACACTAGCTCGTGAAAACAGAATTTCGGCATTCTCTTCGCCAACGACAAAGCGCCCTACTACACTCGACGCGGTTTTCGCATCAGTGGCACTTGTCACAAAATCAGACGCGACTGTCCCTAGGCCTAACCAGTTTCATGATTTCACGGCCCTAAACCTTCCACTGGCCACGTTCGTTGACATCAATATATCCAACGTTTTTAACATGTCCGAGGACCAGGCAATTCCTTGACTCCAATTTTGCTGGTTGTGCGCACCGCGTCGTTACGCTGTCAATTAGTTTGACAACTTTCCACTTGCAGCCATAACTCGTGCGCGTGCCATGCTTGGTTTGGCTTGGCTTGGCCTGGCCACTTGGCAGCTTAATAGGTTAGTGGCGTTTGGCAACTTCCGGTTCCTTAGGAAATTTTGTTTCACCGTTGACAAGTGATGACAATGAGCTGCAAGCCTGTGCAAGCACGGTTCGGAAACCTCCAGACTGTAGTTTTCAGAACCTTGCTTAGACAGGTTTGCTGATAATCGTCGTCGTTTGTCAACAGCTAAACAAAATTTCCTAAGGAACCGGAAGTTGCCGAACGCCATTGACCTATTGACTCGGCGGCTGTGCAGGAATAAAAGAAAAATCAATACTGACAATCATCGGGGGGGTTGCATTCATTATGCGAATAAATACGGTTTGTCGAGAAAAATTAAGATGCAATTGACTGTGCACCGTCTAGTCTTCGTAATCAAAGCCGCTTCACCCGTGCTTGCATTGGCCATCTCCCGGTCTGTCTGCTGGTCGCAGAGATGATGGCTGCCCACTGCGACTGGGCACTCGATATGTTTTTTGCATAGTTTTGAACTTGCTTAAAATAGATGGTGGGAGCTTGATATGTCCTTGATAATTTTTGAAATGCCTCAAAAGTAGGGGGCTCATTGTGACATAGGCGCACGCTCTGTATATTATGGCGTCTACGAGATATGGTGACTTGTAACATTATCCGAATTATTCAAAGCACACGATGAATGATGTGCAACAAATTATAAACATGTATACTCAGGTGGAAGAGTTCCCACAACTACTGCTGGATGGTGTCGGTGTGCCATTGCGTTTTCTCACTGTAAGCAGTTGGGAGGGAATGCACTCGAGCATACTATGGAAGGTTGAGATGTGCATCTTACTGCAATGCCAGTCAATATTTCCAGTCAAATTGGGCAGGCGTGGCCCCGAGAGTGAATGGCCAAGTTATTGCAATCGGTCGGCGGGCTTTGCTCTGCATGGAGCTCGGCAAAATCGGCCAATTGCTAGGGAGAAAAAAATAACGAAGCAGGCAGCCATTGTAATGCCGGTAGTCAGTCCAGCGATTCCGGGCTTTGCACCGACATGAATGGCACGGCACGCTAGTTTTATTGAAGTGTCACTCATTCCGTTACCTAGGCGTACGGTGCAATTGTCGTGGTTCATGTAACGATCGCGGCGATTCTTGCAGCCGTGCTTGTAAACGTCCGTAGTGGGCTGCCGTTTCGGGCTGTCGCGTCTCGCTGCGTGGTTGAGGTGCGAGCTCGCATGCACGAGCGTCGAGTGACCCTGTCCTGTTCCCCTTCTCTCTCCTGCTGCCAGGTCTTGCTGGCTCAGCCCTCGTTTGCTGTCCAGGTAAACAGGGGGACGCCCTACCCCGGCTCCCGACTTGTGCTTGCTTTCCTTTCTGGTCCCGCACGTGGTTCTTTCCCAGTTTCTGAGCCAGGCCGCTTTGCAGCGCTGAGAACTAATACTGGCTTTCACTTGCGTTCTTAACAAAGCCAACATCTGGCCCGAACTTCCAGGAGCTAAGTCGGCCCAATCTTTGGGTGAATAACTCTGGCAGATCGCGTGTCTCAGATGAGACGACATTGAGAAGGTTGCGTCACATTTGGCGCAGATTCCTTGGAGCATAATTGTGTCTGTAGTCGCTGGCAAGATGTCTCCTCTAGAATCCTAGCCTGCGGCATGCATTTGTTGCCCTCCGCCGTGCTTTGGCTGCACGTGCATGCTCGGGGCTTTTGAGGCGCCGAAGTGTTGTCAAAGATAGGAATGGAGGTGGAGGAACCGAAGCTCCTACCCACCGTTCTCACCTTCTCAGTGACTCTAGTCTACGCTAGCCAAGAGCCATAACCTCGTACCAAATGTTGACATTTCACCTTAGAGCCATGCTTGTGGACGGCTTTTTGGGACTATGCGGTCGAACCTATGGGAGCACGCGTGCCTGCGCATCTCGAGCGCCCGTCAGAGCTGTGCACGCACGCTCCCATTTCCTTTTGAAATGCCCCAGAAAATTGTCCGCGAATATAGCAGTTGTATATAGCTGTAGCCCACCTCAGTCAGGTTCATACCCCCGTGCTCCCAACTTGATCCGGGGAAAATTGACAACAACCTGTCTTCTATATGTAGTTGAGGCGAGGCACGGTTTTTGGTGAACAGATGGGAAGGTGCCGCGGCTGGGCTCAACGTTAGAACCCTGCCTGCTGCACATGCGAAGAACAGAGTCCATCTCCCAACGCCAATCGTTCCCCCGCGTCCTTGCAGTGGTTTGAGGAGAAGCAGCAGCAGGTGGACAACCTGGACCTGCAGCTGCGGAGGCTCCATGCCAGCATCGAGACCATGGTGCAGCAGCGCAGAGGTGGGTGTTGCTCCCCCTTACTCCTGTCACGATGCCTGGAATGAGAGTTGGACCGGTGGGTTCAGCACCTTATACCGTCTGTGCGTCCAAAGCGATGTGGCAACGAATGACGTTGCGGACATCTAGAACCAAGTCCGAGCACAAGCGCAGTGTTCGTTTTCGCGCCTGTCTGTAACAGAAGGGAGGGAGGGGTGCGCCTACCAGGGACGGGGACATCCTGCTTTGACCACGTTATGGGGTGGAAACTGAGGGACCACATTTGGGGACGCAGCAAACAAACCGGTTGAAGACGCGTTCTAGACACCATAGTTTCAGAGAGGTCAAGGCACGAACGGTGGCACAAGGGTGCCAAAATGCAAGATGTCCTCTAATCTACGTCTCCTTCCTTCCGATTTTGCGGGCAAGGGAGGGTGACGCTTCCGAGATAAGAAAGCCTAACTGCCGAATTTTCTTGCAACGCTAAAGGCCACATCAAGGCACAAATTCAACACTGCCGCTGCGTTGGCACTTTGCCGGTATTCACGTCCAGTCTGCGCCTTACGTAGTCTTTAGTATGCGGGAAACGCAGTGGCCGGAGACTCATTGTGGGTACCCTGCCCTGCCCTACCCTACCTTGGCCGCAACCATTGACGAGAGTTCTCCGCGCGTGTGCAGAGCTGTCGCAGAGCACGGGGTCCTTCGCCAAGAGCGCGGCCATGCTGGGCAACTGCGAGGAGCACACTGGCCTGTCGCGGGCCCTGTCCAAGTTGGCCGAGGTGTGCGAGCGGGTGGAGCAGGTGCAGGGGCGTCAGGCCAAGCAGGACTTTTACTGCCTGGCGGAGCTGGTCAAGGACTATGTGTCCCTGGTCGGGGCCATCAAGGAGGCACTCCACCAGAGGGTAAAGGTGTACGGCACCTGGCAGCACGCCCAGCAGACGCTGGCCCGCAAGCGGGAGGCCAAGGCCAAGCTGGAGCTGGCCCAGAAGGCCGACCGGCTGCCCCAGGCCCGCCAGGAGGTGCTTGACTGGGAAGCTAAGGTGGACCGGGCCCAGGAGGAGTTTGACAGCGTGTCCCGAGTCATCCGCGCGGAGCTGGACCGCTTCGAGCTGGACCGCATCGCAGACTTCCGGGCCTCCGTCGTGCGCTACCTCGAGTTCCTGCTTGACACCCAGCAGCAGGTGCGGCGTGCTCCCACTCCCCGTTACGGCCGAGCGGCTAGAGGCTCGCTTACGAATCGACGTTTTTCGGTATGTCGGCGCGCAGTGTTCGGCGTCAGGCATGCTGTGTCATAGCCTTCTATGTAGGAAGAAAGCCCGTGCTTTCGGTGTCGGGACAATAGACAGCTAGGCTGCTATAAAAGGAAGGAGCGGTAGGCAAGAAGGGAAGCATCTTGAAGGCAGTGCCACACAGGTGTTATAAGGCAAACTATTCTTCCCTCATATTTTGCGGGAGAAATACACCGGCTGCTTGCCCTCCTCCCCTAGTGAAAGAGAGCCTGCAGATCGCACCACCACCCACCTATCCTCTTTCTGTCATGTTCTGTCTCCCAGTTTTGGACGCTGGTTCTGGCATTGAAGTGGTGCAGGCTTTTCCCCTTTCTGAGGAGCATGCACAAAGTCCTTGGCGATCTTCGCTGCCACCCAAGACCAGGCATGCACCCTATCACGGCCTAGCGCCCCGACGCAGTTGGCACGGAAATAGAAAAGGTTCCATCTCCCCAACGGCGCAATTGGAGCATACTGAACGCTGCCGGTAGTGTTGGGACGCAGGACTGTAGTCTCGCTGTGCAATGCATCGTAGTAAAATTAACCTTAACCCATGCTCAATGAGATTCCTCTGCTTGCAGCTCATCAAGTACTGGGAGACATTCCTGCCTGAAGCCAAGGCCATCGCGTGATGGCAAGATGGCAGCCAGGCAAACATTCCAGCCTCCTTCAAGGGGGTGTGGGGGCCCTTTCTTCCTCAAGGGAGCAGGGGTTCCGGTGATTCGGTCGGCTCCCTCGTTTGGGCCGTAAATGCAAAGAGGAAAGTCTCGTTTTCCTTTCTGTATGTGAGGCGCCGTCACAAGATTGCCGAAACTGGCCCCGTTTCGAAGAGGCGGTCGTGTCTGAGGTATTGCACAAAAAGCCTGGGGTTCCTTTGCTTACCAAGACGTAAAACTGCGCGCTGTGGTATGCTCCGGAAAGAGGGTTGCACCTCCTCGTAGCTCTCCTTGTCCTTTTCCGCAGTTTTTGTAATTTATCATTCATGGAATAAAGCTTGGACTGTAAATGTGCACACACGCTGCGAGCTTCTTTCGTTGCCTAAATTGAGAAAGCAAATGTTTCAACCTTTCTTGGCGGGCAACAGCTGTCAGTGGCACCTGCAGGATCTGTACAGTTTTCTAGTCTCTCCCAGAACGTTGCCTTCTCGACCGAAAATTATCGCAGGTCTCTCGATAAATGTGTCCTTTTTGTCATAGCCTATAGCTGGTAACAGGCTAAGCACTAGAAGCACCGCCTCCGGAGCACGCTCATTGCCTTCTGCCGGGCTTTGGTTGCACGTGCGACAGTGTTATCAAAGGCAGAACGTTTACCACTAGAAGCGGAGCATAGTTCCTAGCAACTTTGACAGTTTGTAGGTTAGGGCAGGCTGAAGGGAACAATAAAGGTGGTAATACAAAAGTGAAGTCAATGAAATGTAGATATTCAGTAGAGCACGTTAAAAATTAATCAAATGCTATATTGAAGGGAGATGCACGCAATCATTTGTGTATGTGGTAAAAGTTCTGTGTGTGTGGCAAATTTTATTTACGGTTGCGCAAGCTATTGTTTGGTAACTTTTTCCAATGTTTTGACATAATGTAAAACTATTTGAGAAAAATGGTTTGAAAGGACGACAGACAATGTGATGTGTATAAAAAGCTAATGCATTTATTGAGAAAATCGGATGATCTACTAGTGATGGACTGAATCTGTCGAAATTCGGATTCGGAAAATTCGGCAAACTGCTGCGCACGCGGGAGAACGCAACAGGGCCATGGAATGCTAATGATCGCTGTGTGGTCGCCATCGTACAATGTAGTACTATCAGCGGTTGCGTCAAGGTGCGTAGTATGGTAACTGTATTTGACAGCCTTTGTGAGTGGTTTTCAATATTTTCTGCCTCAAGTAAAGAATATTGACCTCAAATTCATGCAGTCTACTGCACAAATGACATGTTGCAGTACATTCTGGATAATGTTACCTTCATTTGGTATTTCCAGTGGCGCACGAGGTAGTTACAAAATTGACAAGTATTTTAAGGGGGGACATGGCCTGGGAGGGTCAACTTTTGAACCAATGTCTCAAATTGATTCAAACTTTCAGTGTGAATTGAACCCCATTGGGATTGATGGCATCTAAAGATTCAGTCTTATCGGCCAACTCTACAACATACTGTGCTGAACAAGCTCCAGAAAAAGTCATTTTATTAGGAAATGTATTTAAAAAAAATATTAATTGCAATCCACAAAATGTTTGGTTTAATGTGAAGTAGAATACCCATAGTGCAAGGTAAGGTAAAAATTAATTGTAGAAAATGCAATTCTAGAGAAAATAACACCCAAAAAGTGCAATGATTTTAACAAATTTCTGAGTTTCAAAATATTCAGTTTTTGTCATGAAGAATTTAGCTTTTTCAGATTTTGAGTACCTTAACTTGTTCCTCAGGAAATTTCTGTCAAGGACGACACTGAATGAAATCTTTACATATCAAAGTGTCTAATGATACATTTCCCCATACCACATTTCCTGCCAAAAAGGGAAACTGAGAAAAATGCATTTGAAGTTTCAACTTTAGGTTTCTTTTCTGCGAGTCCGAGGTAGGCAAAATCCTCTTTGAGACTTCTCTGTTCCCTTGGCAATAGCTACCAGTTTGTGTTGTTTGTAGGCACGCTGACTTTTGTAGCAGGCATTCCCTGACAGATAAACTGGCAAGAACTAAGAGGCAAATCACACTGAGAAGGAGCAGCAAAGCAGGAATAGGATCTGAAGTGGAAGATACTGTAAAGGGGCGTTACTGAAGACGACAAAATATCACGTCACCGGGAAGGACCAATCGTAAACCCTGTTTCAGGTCTCAACCAATAAAATTGCTCATACCAAATTTTCTGAATTTTTTTCTGTTTGGATGTATTGGGTCCTCCTGGCCATTGATACTTCTAAACTTCGAAAGCTTCTATGGGCTAAATCTAGAGTAAATGGCACTTCCAATGAGGGTGAAATGTTCTGGCTAGGTTAAACGAGTATGAAGCAGCACTAAATAAAGAAACGCGAAAAAACTTGCCTTCTGCTGACTCTGAGGGCTGCCGACATGTTGAAAATAATTTATTCTGAGATAAATCCTGCATGTTTATAAATGAAAGTTTCTGAAACCATTCTTTGGAAGTTAATAAACATAAACATCATTTTTTTAAAAAACTTTTTTCTGAAAATTTTGAATTCCGAGGCCATGTCCCCCCTTAAAGCCCTCCTCGCCATTATAGCAGTCCTGTTCTCAGCTCGTGCCAAAACAAAATACTGCTTTTTAATTAGTGTTGTTTCACGGTTTTCATCTGTCTGCATAAAAGTAAACACAGAACTATCCCATGCTTGACGTTGCAAATATGACATTCGTAACTACTAAACGTCTGCTTGTGTCCTAACATCAGAAACTGGAATTTGAGAAGTTAAAAACGAGACATTGCAAATATGAGACGCACAATTTTATGCAAATCTGAAACAAAAAAAAAAAAATAAATAAAATAATATTTACAATAACATTTTCTTCTGGTGAAGGCTCAGCAGCCGTTGCATTCATTTTCGTGCACGAAACTGTGACTCGCAGAGAAGGTAAGAGCAGTGTTATTGCCTTTATTGCAAGAATGTACAGTGGCCGAATTTTTAATATCAAGCGAGTGCCGATTGCCGAGCCGGCCAGCGCCGTGCTGCGGAGGCGTGTGGCGATACAGGAGAGATAAGATGCGTGTGCACAAAGCTCTTTCCGGTGCGAGTGTCATCTGATAGGATATTCCGTTGCCTGCGCACTCCTTATCTGCTGGTACAGCTAACTGCCTCTAAGTAAGCAAAGATCTGGACAGCGCTTGCTTGTGTAATACTGCTCAGGTGTAGTGTAAACCGCGCGTCATTGTGTCACTGTTTATGCCGCGCAAGACGAGTATCACGTCGGCGCACGCTCATCAGGCATTTATTCTACCAGCAGATAAGAGAAGCAGAAAACAAAAATTACATCTCCACGTAATGAATGATGTTGACTGGGGCGAAGCTCTGGTGGTGCTTGGTTGCGTAGACGTTGAGCTGCAGCATGCCGAGCCTTTTGTTCCTTTTCATTCATGTCAGAAAAAGAATGTATGGTATGGAACGTGGTTATATACGCATTTGAGCATTTGACCACAGCGCCCTCTCGTCTATGAACGTTGAGCCAATGCATGCAAAGTTTAATGCAATTATATACGCATTTGACCGCAGCGCCCTCTCCTGTATAGACATTGAGGGGCTACATGCACCGTTTCATCCATGGCATCCCCAGCTCTTGAGTTACTACCGCATCTCAGAGCCCCCTACTCGTACCGCAGTCGTGGCCGAGTGGTTAAAACGATGGACTAGAAATCCATTGGGGTCTCCCCGCACAGGTTCCAATCCTGTCAACTGCGCAAACATTTTTTTTTTTTTTGCCCTGCGCGAGCACGAGCACCAGCAAGATCAATGTGAGCACGGACGCCGGACGGACAAGGCTAGACCCTAAGGAGCTTCACCCCTAAAAGAGAGAGAAGTGGGCGTTGGATGAACAATGATGTCAATCAGCCCCCTGTGTTCCTTTGCTACGAACCAGTGGCTGTGTGCGGTCAACGGAATAGGCTAGCAGACGACGCTCGTACCGGAAAGAGCTTTGTGCGCAAGCGCCTAATCTCTCCCGTTTCGCCGCATGCATCCGCAGCACGGCGCTGGCTGGCCCGACTGTCGACGCTTGCTCGATATTATTAAAAACTTGCAGGCTTGTGCTGATGAGGCCTCGAAACCGAAACTCTGCCCCCTACTTCGCTACCACCCAACCTCGTTGCACCACTTCTGCGAAAAGTCGCTGTAAAATTGCCAGTAAATGCACAAAAATGACACCAATACAGTTATCTTGTAGAATAACACCTTATTTAATAACAACTGTGTCAATATGCGTTAAAAAAAAACCTAAAAACTTCTTCGTTTGGGAAAACAAACTATCAACTTTTAGGTCTGACAACAATGTATTTCTGTTGAATCTCTAAAAACATTTGGCACCGAATTTTAGATTTGGCAAAAGTTTGGCCCATCACTATGATCTACACACATTACTTTGGGGTACAGCAGTAAAAACGAATTAAATGGATGAACTGTACAAATGAGGGGAGCGTAAACTAAAGCAGATGTGTGGAATGATTCTGTGACCCACAACACATTCAGCTGATGAAGTGAATCTATTTAGGCGAACACTACAGTGGATCACTGCTAAAATTATGTGGTGACAATGAATAGGCGGGAGCAGTCGTAAAGCAACCCATATTGCGATAGTGACGGATGGTTGTTGCAAAATACCGAGTTGCAATACAGGAACACACGCAATGCAATAGACACACCACTATCATGTAGAAGCATCACACTCTGATGTTCCTGCGACGCACACAAAGAGCCGGTGATGGGTTGCGCTCGGTGACACTGCAGTTGCGCACAAACTCTGATGCCGAGTTGCACAGAAGAACCAGGTTGGCCCAGTTGCACAACCTGCCAACTGCCGCGTTGTGCCGAATGCCAGTCTTGCGGTAGTGCTTCTCTTGGAGCAACTTTTGCAGCAGGTAGTGGAGCCACAAGACATTCGTGTACGGTGAAAAGCTCTTCCAATCGTTCCTGCAGAGGAAAAAGATGGCTTGATTATATCTGGTACACTTGGAGATGTACAGGATGTGTTTCGACGGAGCTGGGCCCATGCTGCGTGTCTTGTGGTGCCATGCCATCCCAGAGTTGCTTAACATGTCACAGGGAATTGTGACAATATGATGTATGATGTCTGTGATAGGGCTATGCTGCTATAGACCTTTTCATTTTAGTAGTTGCCTCACCGGTGGATAGAGGGCACTGACGCACTCGGCGCCATTAGGTTGCTTCAATTTGGTTGGTTTTGGTTTCAACATGAATTCGGCTATGTTGCTGTTTTACGCTGTTGTTGCTTAATTTTGTGATACGATTATTTTCTTTGAAGCACACAACCAATGAAACGGTGGTATTGAACCACTTTTAAGGACTACGAGGTGTATTTTATTTTAGCCTAAACTGCGGGCTTTTTGACCAACTCCTTTGGTGTATCTGATTATGGTCGGTTGCGAAACGCCTGACTGATGTACGGGGAAGATTACCATCGTCTGCAGCCGTGCCCGATGACCCACCAGTTTCTAGAAAAACAAACTAATAAAGAGACTAACACGTGAATGTGAAGAAGCATATCGACAGCTTGATTAGCAATGTGCTGAATCGGTCAGAACAGATGAACTCGCGAGTTTACTACTCACTGTTTGGTTTTCGGGGCACCTAAAATTTAGTGAACTTCGCAGACTAAAAACGTATCGTGTGGTGACGCAGATAATTTATATAACCAAGTATCATCTCGGCCTTTTTTTTTTTTTTTAACAGTACTCGACTATGTTTTGACAGGCCGAGTAGGAAATTTCTTAATTATCAACCCTTCTAAAGTACTCATGAGCAGCATTTCGCGATATTGGCCTTAGGAAATTATTTTTATATAAACATTTGCTTACTCAAGATATAAGTGACAGTCCCATCAAATTAAATCTGGCATTTTCCTTCCGTAAAATTGGCCAAATAAAATTAAAGGGCGCAGGAGGAGAAATACCTCGGAAAGTTTGGCTGAATTCTAGCGCTAGGCACCACTTCACGGACCTGTGTGAACAAATAGTTATTTGTTTGAACAGATTCGCTCTTTAAATTTCGGCGTCGCCAGCCACCAAAAGTAAACCTCTATTCGCCATCGACAATCCTGGACACAAGTGATTGTTATGAAGACGGCTCTTTTTCTTTTTTTTGGCGTCAATAATTGTGGTCTCCACATACAGGCAAAAGAAATAAAAGAGCGTACGCAAAAAAAAAAGGAGCAAAAAGTATCGTCATTATTGCGCATGAGCCCAACCTAAACCGCGTTTTGGATTTGCAAATAGCAACAACGTTATTTCAATGTGCACGCTATTCTAAAACTCTCAACTGTTAAGTTTCTTACGCGAGAAGACTCAACCTTTGTGGTAAGATTAATAAAGTAAATGGCACTGGTTATCTAAACATAATCAATCAATCACTTAAATGACTGTCGAAATGGGAGTGAGCATGGTATACAATTTTTTAAGCTTCATATGTAAACCGACGAACCAAATGTTTACGTCACAAAAAAAAAGATTGAGAACCTTAAACACAAGTATGTGTGATGTTATGAACAAACAAATCGCCTGATGTTGACGTACCATTACTTTTAGCCTCAGATAAAATACAAGTAAAACGTTCGTTGCCTACCCCCCCCGCGAGTTTCCTCATATAATCAAAAGAAACTGTTTTCGATATTTTGAGAATGTTCCGTCACTATTAGTAAACAAACCTCGGTTTCATAAGGACCTTTGAACCCTCGTGATGTCTTGGTCGTCGAGTAGTTTCCGAAGTAAGACAAGAAAGCATGGTGAAATGCGACGAAAAACACGAATACAACGCATCCGCCAAGGCGCGGAGGGGAGAGCGGAGCATGCGGAGGAGGATGAAAAGGTCTATATGACCGTGGCCCATGAATCAGACTAGCGTAACTTTTCACTAGAAACCCAGCCCTACAACACATTCTGCATTGGTTCTGTGATGATGTCAAGCAAGGCAGGGTCGACGTCATACCCATTGTGCTGCTTCATTAGTCGGTAGACCTCGAACTGGTGATCACCCGTGCCCTCGAACAACGATGCGTCTTCAGAAAGGTCCGTGAATATGACTGTCCCACCTGCGGCATGACGACGTTTCAGCATTGGGAAGATAGGTAGTGAATGCAAACACTTGTCACTGCACTAACTTTTAAAGCGGTAGCCTTATAGGCCCAACTGTGCTCAAGGTTGTGTCTTCATCCTCAAGGTCGTGTAATCAAGGCCATGTAATGCCCATGGCTGAATTGAAAGGTCACATATTCTCGTAAGCTTCGGTAGCTGAGGCCGACGTCCTTCAGGTCGTCCTAAATGCTGACCTCCTTGTCTTGGACGGCGTCCTTGAGGTTGTCCTTAACAACGTCCTCAACGTCATTCTAGATGCCGTTCTTGACATCGTCTTCGATGTGTGCACAATGTATTACAACCGTTTCATTGCCACACCATTTCCTTTCCCCATTGGTTTCACTAATGATGTTCCTGTAAAGCTACCACATTTCATCACGTTTGGTCGAATGAATGTGCCTGTAATTTTTATTAAAATTGCAACAGCTTCGCTATGTCATTCAAAGTGACCCTCACAACTAGCCAAGTGCCATTGGAAAAAGGCGACAGAAACAATAAGACACTTAAAACAAAAAGACAATTGACACTTCTTTCAAAAGAAGAAGTGTCCGTCGTTCCTTTGTTTTAAGTGTCTTATTATTTCTGTTGTCTTTGTCCTTAACCAACACGTTCCCAAGTTTATATGCCATTTGAAATGTATGCCTAATATAACAACATTATTTCCGCATTGTTATTGTATTCCCAAGAATATCAGTTTAGTCGTGAAACAGTTTAGATGTAATTAATCTTCACCCGTCGTGTGTGCACATATCGGTCGTCTCTATAAAGAGAAAAAAATTGTATACTAAGAAAGGTTTCACTGCTTATCTCAATGCGTGTAGTCGCTGACCGAATGAGAGTGACGTGGTGGGTTTATCGAACGCTTGGTCTCCAGCATGCACTATATGCCTTCTGCAGTGCTTCGGCCACGAGCTCAAGGTGCCCTTGACTCCAAAGCATTGTCAAAGGTAGGAAGCTCGTGCTCGAGGTGCGACAACTGAAGCTCCTCCCTCCCACTCTCGCCTTATCGAAAACTTTAGTAGCCTAAATTGTTATATCCTTGGCTACCATTCAAGGGAGATGTGTACATACAGACCAGGCACTGGACTATGCACCAGGGGCAGCCCATCTAAGGAAAAACTTTTTTTTTAACCGGAATTTACCTTTGCAGTTTGTAAGACGTTCTATCGGGGTGAGAGAAGAGAGGGAAATTAGTTTCCATGTTCGGGCGGTTTCGGTGGCAGAGCCGACCGGAACTGCCCAAACGATGAGAACGGCACGTGCCCTTTGCCTCTTCTATCCCACTGAACGGGTTGAAATGCCCGTGGAGGACGACCGGTTTGTCGTCTACTATCGGGATCGTGCACATGCCCTTTCTCTCTTTCACCCCGACAATTTCGTTGGAATGCCCAGATGTATGCGGATGGCGCTGCGGTTGAACAAAATGTTGCCGCCCAGAGAGCCCTCGGTGCAATGGTTCATAGTTCGAAAAGTATGACATCGGCGTTACCGTTACGTAGCCGGGACAAGCTGTAGTCGATGAGGGACACGCTGACGCCACACGTGTCCAGGTCGAACGTTCCCTCGGGCAGGCGGTAGGAGGCGCGCTTTTCCGGCGTCCTAGTCACGAGAAGGTTCCCCCAGTGGAGGTCCCGGTGTTCGTACTCCAGTGCCACCTCGGCCACCGCGAGTGCGCATGCAACTTGCAGGAAGATGCTCTCTGCTTCCCCTGCAGTCCTGATCTGTGGGAGGGACGTTTCGCCACATTGCCGCCCTGAACCCTTTGACGGTCGCCGTCGCATGTGGTACGGCGGCAATTGCATATTTAAAAGTTCCTGCGTGAACGCAAAATTGTGCACTCTCCGGAAGGTGGCGTTATTTGTTGTGTCTTTGGTAACCTATAAACATTACATCTGCACTGTGTTTCGCTTTGCTGGGGCTATTTATAGTTTCAAAATTTCACGCTCCACACGAGTGATATGAGCCGGATGGTCGCTTCACGTGTCGGCTGCTCTTACGGTACTGGAAATTGGAGTGCCGGCTCTTCCGATTTTAACTTTCAACGCTTCTCAGAATTTAATTCAGGAGATGAGAGCTCATCGTTTGATGGCGATGTAATATTGCCATTAAATTGTTCTGAACCTGAACAGCTTGCAAGCATCGCACATGCTCGTCCTACATAATTAAAAAAACAAAAATTGTGCACTGACCCTTTCTTTATACAATTCCTTTGAAAACAAAACGCAACCATTGGTGAAACATATTTCGGAAAAAAAAAAAACCGACTGTGAAGGGGTTAGGGCTGTTTTGGTGGTTTACAGTTAATGAATGGAACCAATAAAACTCGAATAAACAATGCGAAAGACAAACCTTGAAACATTCGAGGCTTTCCCCGCCGTCTGCGAACTCAAAGACCACAAACATCTGGCTTGCCTCATAGAAGTCTGCAGAAAATGAGATGTATGTCAAACGTTCTGTTGGACATAGTACATGCCACAGAAGGAAAAAAAAATAAACGCCTGACAGAAGTGGTGTTTTGCAGTGATAACCCAGCATTTACGGCATACAGGTACGAGCTATGAGAATGATCACTTATAACACTGTCAAAACTACTTCAAGCGCACAATAAAAAAAATTATGCGTGGAATGCTGCCCGACAGATGGCACCACTGCGCTCTCGTCATAACCGGTCCCAAACAGTTGTAATGCAGTCATCGCACTCAAATGCAAATGTCTCAATCAGTCTTCACTAGTCTGAATAGTGGGCGCATGATTCACTTCGTTCAAGTGAGCATGACGGTCAGCACATCGCAGGAAGGCATGTCTGAGTGGCTCATCGTAGCATGATTTAATGAACCTCGCCGCAATTTGATTTCGCTTACCTGGTCGGTCGTTTTCACTTCCCTTCTTCGAGTCAAAGAGGTCCCACTGCTTCAGAAGCACACGATGGTATGTGTCCTGAACACAGTGCACTCTGTAAGCAAAAGTAGCTGTTACAATCCGACCATAAGGTTAGTGAAGGTGCTTCAGTTAGTGAAGCATGCCTGCTTCACTAACTGAAGCAGGCATGCTTCAGTTAGTGAGTTACTTAATAAAGCACAATTATCAACACTTAGCACGAGAAATACTATTAACAGATTGAAACTACTCTTCCAGATAATTCATGGCATGATCAACATCAATCGGGACAAGTATATATCATTTTCTGCACGCTCCAATACACGTAGCCAGCATCCGTATTATATCACTGAGCCGTTACCGCGAAATAATGTTTTCCAATACTCTTTTTTTCCTCGCACTTTCAAAGATTGGAATAACTTACCCGCTGAAATAACGAGCTCTAGTTCCCTAATTTCATTTCTTGATTCTGTTAGAAAACATTTCAATGTTGAGTGAAGATTTTGTTTCTATTTGTATTTGCTTGCATGTTTTTCCTTTCGTGACATATTAGCGTCATATGGTTCTTGTGTTTGTTTGTTTGTTTGATGGCTATTTTGTAACCTTATGAATGTAACCATTCCTACAATGGTCCTGAACAAGGACCAGTAGTATAAATAAATAAATAAATAAATAAACTGGCTAGTTGCCAAAAGCAATTCATACCTCTTGAACTCTATAAAGCTGCGACAACTTGCACTTGATGCCTGGTTGCGCAGGGAACTCAGGTCTCTGTTCGGAAAGCCAGTGAAAAAACTGTGATTGGAGCTTCCTTGAATCTTGAACTTACCAACTTATATTCATTTATTAAAACATATGTGTATTTAGCATGATTTGGAGACTTTGGCAAAGAAGTCTTACGATCTACAGTTGTTTTTTTTACTGACGTTGTCGACTAGCAGCTCGTAGACGTGCCACATGACACTCTATTTCTATGCAACATTGACGCCACCCTGCTAGCTTAAAGGAGCTGTGCAACAATTTCAGTGCTTTGCTTAAATAATTTGGGAGTGGTGTCTCGACCTTTCTGAAGTAAAGAACAAAAAACCGCTTTTGCCTGCATGTGCTAGTTTTTGTTTTAAAATGGACAAAGATTGAGGTTTTCGGCACCTCTCAACTCCTTCACCACCTTCCGAGTCACGTGCGCTGTGACGTCAATGGGGGTGGCGCAGGGTTCCAGTGAAGCTCTCTCTCTAGAGCCATCAGTGAGCAGCGAGAACTCACCCGCTCGCAGCCAGATGACCACGTACTTGCGCAGAGTGATCAATATGGCGAAAGGAGGCAAATCTCATTCAGGTCCGGCTATCCCCGTCCGGCTCTGACCCTGTCTCCCTCCCGCTTCCGGTGGCTGTTTGCGATAGCAGATAGAGCCGACGGTGCTGTTGACCTGGATAGATGGCGCCACTAAAACTCCGTATAATAAAAGTTTTGTCGGTGATACCATCTTTTTGATGCATTTATATTTATGTTGGAATGACAAGATTTATAGAAAAATTATCTTTTATCGAGCAGGTATTTGCACAACTTCCTATCTTCTTACAAGTCCCCCATTGACGTCATGCCGCGTGGTTCTCATGGCCGCCGCTCGCGGCTGCAGGTCTGGAAATATTCTAATTTTTGCTTCACGATTACGCTGCAGAATCGCAACAATTCGAAGGAAGGAGATATGTTTTCTGTCCTTTCTATCAAGATAAACAATGTCAAAAGTAGAAGATGCAAATTCTTTCAAAGTTAAAATCGTTGCACAGCTCCTTTAAGATGCCACCCCTCCTTATTGACCCTTCACTGCAAGAAAATATTTTTTTTTGCTTCTTTCAAGCATGACCTTAGTTACTCATCTACCTCACAGCATGTAAAACAAACAATATCTTGACAAACTGCAATTTTTTTTCATACGTGTTGCATTAAAATTTTATGGTTGTACAATGGTACCAAATAAATAAACAATTATTGTCATTCTAACCGTAATTGCCAATGCATGTTACATTTTTTTTTTTTTTTTATTTCTATCAGTCTGTTTTATACGATGGTGCAATTTACACACATTTTTTTTTTCGTATAGGTATAAACCTTTACTGCAAAATTTTGCCACGGGGGGCCATATTTCTTGTTCGATTCGTTGACGAGAACGGTGAAACTTGCTCTCGTTTACACATATATTACGATCATGATGCACTTCTGCAGACTTTTCAATACAATTTTGCCGTAGTGACCTTAGAAATGTATGAATTATACAAAGGTGTGACTTGTTTACCAACTCTTCTGAAAACGTCCGTTTATAGGGGTGTGCTACTTATAGACCAGAAAATGTGGTACCACTATTATTATTTTTGTTGTGAGGGAACAGCAGCTTTTAAAACGGACATGCTGGTGCCAACTCACAGGGAGATGATGACCTCTGGGAGAATCTGTTCAACGGACTTCTGCTGCTCCGTGTTGACGAGAACGGACCCTCCGACTGGAACGATTTTGACCACTGAGGTCTCGGAGCCACGTTGGAGGCGGAACACCTCGCCGTAAAGACCCTCGCCGATCTTCCGGCAGGATCGGAGGGACCTGCAGAGATATGCCGGAGAAGCGTGGCACTTGCTGCAGTTAGCCCAGTGGCAATTATTGCAGTTAACACAGAAGCAATTGTTGCAGTTCAACAAGTAGGCCAGTGGTAATTGTTTTGTTGCCGTTGTCCCAGTGGCAGTTGTTGTCATTAGGCCAGTGGAAAATGTTGCCATTAGTCCAGTGGCAAATGTTGCAGTTAGTCCAGTTCCAAAGTTGTAGTTAGCTTAGAGGCAATTGTTGCAGTTAGACAAGTGGCAATTGTTGCCATTAGCCCAGCGGCAAGCGGCCATTGTTGCCGTTAGCCCAGTGCCAATTGTTGCAGTTAGCCCTGTGGCAATTGTTGCAGTTGTCGCACAATATATTCATTTTTTCCAAGCAATCACCGAGTGGAATGCATTGCCCCAGCCTGCCATTATAAGTATTAACATGGGATCACTTCCTTGAGGAAGTGATTTTGATATTTAACTTGATTGGTTTTAAACTTGATTTTGTGTTTAATTAACAGCCTTTACTGATTTGTTACCTGCTCATGTTACACAAACAAGTAATTTTTGTTTGTTTTGTTATTAATACTAGGCTGTACCTGCTGTAATGCTTCGGTGCTGCAGGTTGTTTTTGTCAATAAATAAATAGCCTCCAAGGTACCGGGTCATTGCTGGGCCAGCTATGGAATAACGCAGTTCTTGAAAGTCCGTTAAAGCTCCTGCTCCCAGAAATCTGTCTGTCCATGCGTTCGCATGTACCCATTGCAGGACGTGTCAGCGCAACCGGTCAACGACCAGCCGTGGTGTGACATGACGTTGCATCATGAGGCACTATACCAGATGACATGACACCATGACTTGACGCCATGATGTCAGGTGACCATATCGCATGCTGTAAGCAGTGATAGAAGCAGCATCTGACCCTTTTTAGCAGGTTCGGCAGCAGGCAAAGTATTGGTTTGGGGCAGCCACTCACACTTTTGGAGCAGATACCAACATATGTTAGTGCATCACTTAAAACGATAAAGTGATTGCGTTGCCAAATGAGGTCATCTTTGATAATGACTGAGGGTTCTTTGATACTGGAGCATATTACTTATTATCTCTTGTAATAGGGATATGGTACAAAAGAAACACAGAGCCTTCTTTTTGAAAAAAAAAAGACTCTGGTCAGAGTGGGTTCCATTTACAATAAGTACTAAAAATGCTTGCAAAATGAACGATAGCGCGACACTTCAATTGGAATAGAACCTCTCTCCCCTCCCACTTTTACACCCGGTAGTATATTTAGCCTCCAATTATAAGTTCCGTAAAACGTCAGCAAAAACCGGCATATCCGCTAACACGTCTATCAATAAAGATGCGTCTCCCACGTTTTATGAACGTACAAAACTCAAGACTCTAATAAAACTACAAAAAGAAACATCCACAAATAATATCAAAATCTGCACTTGTGCTTTGAAAGTGATCCGGCTCTTTAGGGGCATTGAGACCAGAGTGAAGTCAAAGTTTGCTGCTCTTTCGATCGACAGCTGCATGGAAACAACCTTGACTACCGTATTTATTCAATGTAGACCCACATTTTCTTTCTCCTTCTAGGCGCAGCCTTTTAAGATTAGAGATCAACCTACCATCAAGACCAAAAAAGGTAGACATGGAATAGCACTGAGCATAATTACTGAGCCTACTGCGCTAACCCAGACGCTCACCCAGGTTAGCCGCTGCACCCAGAACGCGTGTGCAACGCGGTGAAGCTTGACGCCTGCGCGCTGGTGAGAGTGGCTGGAGGCAGACATGATGATCAAGTGATCTCATCAGGAGTAGAAGAAATTTAGACGACGTCAACGATCAACTTGCCAACCCATCGAGCGGACAGTGCAGTTGACGAGCAATCCCAACACTTTGTTTCACCCCAATTTGAAGTGCAGCCGACACTACGAGCCAATGGGAGCGGCCAAACAGCATTGAAGCTCAACATCATGGCATCCGTCCATCTTTCTGCTCGTGCTCTTTCATCGGCTAAACCAATCAAGTGCAGCGAATGTCCTGTGACTTGCACTTTTAGTATGTATGTTTGGGGTTGTATGTGTTTGAGCCTTCAAATGTGCTCCAACCTAAGATGAAACAAACTATATGGTGAGTAGAGACTCAGTGAAATACATATTTGTATCTTTTTACTTTCCTCCTACTTTTTCGAATATTGAAGGGACACTGACAGGGTATTGATGTTCACCAGGGGTTTTATTTGTACATGACATATGAGAGCCTAACTACTCAAAACATAATGTGCGGCGCGAAATTTGTTTTTTGTCCGCCCGAAAACCGCCGATCGAGAACTGGCCGGTTTGAGTCACGCTCACTCTCTTCTCTGTGGTCACGTGCCGTTCTCTATGGTTTAGACACACACACCAAATATAAACAAAGTCGTGGGTCATCAAAAGCACACACTGAATGTTAAAAATAGAAAAAAAAATGTGATACCCATTTTTTGTGGTTTCTAACGAAGCTGCAAATAAGTTCATTGGAAAAAAAGTTTGTTCAGAGAACCGGAAGCACTCTGTGCATTCTCTGTGTAATTCTCAACATGGCGTCGTATCGCGGGACTCGCGGGCTGGACGGCTGAAAGAGGCAGACAATGCGATGGCGGCGGGTGACGGGTGTGGGACCTCTACTTCAGAACTGTTGTTCACAGTACCGGCAAATCTGTCTAGCTTCGAAAAAGAAATCTTTTACCGATCAAAACAATTAGGATATATTCCGCACGGCACGCACGACCACCAAGCTGATACACACAAAGATGTTGCCGAGTCATCGCCCCTTCTCCTGGCTGAAGACATTGCTCGTCTTACAAACACGAATTGGTAAGAGCTTGAAAACTGTGCAAACGTCAAGCACAAAGCGCTTGACTTTTGCGTTTATTGTGCAGAGTGCGACGTATGCATTTTTCGTCTGCTTCGCACAACCACAAAAACGAAGGAAAAAAAAAAAGGAAAATGTGATCGGGTGTAGCAACGTGACTTCCTCAACTCTCTCCCCTCTTCCTCCCCAGTCCAGTTTCGGTAACGAGCAGTTGCATTTTTGTACTTTATTAAAAATGTATGCAACGCTGTAGCAAAATATTAATTGGGTAGTCTGCCAACACCATAATAAATCGCCTGGCAAAAAATTTAAAGCTCAATGTCCCTTCAAATTAACTAATAATAAATATTAAAGTTTCTTGCTTTGCTTATTTAAGCCCATTTCAGTGCAGGGGTGGCACAATTCTCAGCAGAAATGGCACTTTGGCATAAGATGTAGCAAACTCTCTTTCATGATGCAATTAGGCACAAATGGTGTAGCACTTCCATCACTGCAGGGTGTCTAGCAAATTATTATTTTGAAAATCTTTTACTTTTCCAGGCTTTCCCTGACAATTTCAGGTGAAATTCCCTGACCACTATGGAGGCGGTTAAATATATAAGAGCATTACAACACAAGGCATTGAGCATTGAGCACTGCGAGGATAATTTTGCACGGACTTAACCCAACTTGCACATTCCAAAATATTCGGGTTCGTCCAGTCCGGATTAAACGAGCCCTTTCTTGCCACCAACATCGTCAGTGAAGAGGCTACTTCTGGAAACATCATGAAAACACGACGCTCAACCACATACATCAATAACCTAATAGTAGCATGGCCGCCAGATGCACACTTTCGGATACTTTTGGGTTAAGGCTTGGATTGGATTGGAGTCTGCAGCTTTCCGATCGGTTACTAAATCAGTAGCTCTAACTGGATCTAGTCTAGTGTCGTGCCCTCAATCCAATCCAAGGCTTGGACTGGATTTGTCAGCTGTTCTCTTTGCATCGGGCAGCACACTCTACATTGGGTAAGCAGAGCCCGCGTTCCACTCTAAGCAGAATTCAGTGCATATTTTTCTGCCCCCAAATCTTCTCTTTGCTCAGGGAACTCAATGGCGTTTTCGGCTCATTTTCCCTGACTGGGCTCGCTTTTTGACAATTTCCCTGATTTTTCCCGGTAATTAAAATTTCCCCGACAATTCCAGGTTTTCCCGGTCGCTAGACACCCTGACTGTATCAGGCGACATGACATGACAGCACATGACGCCGTGATGTCACGTGACTATCCACCCAGTAATGTGAGATGTGTCACGTGATGCGACGTCAGACGTCAAATTTAAACGACTGCTCTGGAAATACTGCATTCCACGTATCATGGGACATTAGAGATAGAGATCGCTGCCACTTTTTTTTTTTTTTTGCTTTTGGAACACTGCTTAGAGATTTGATTCAAGTACACTCAAATATCCATTCTTGGTTTTCATGCTGTGGCCAGACAAGGACGCAGCCAGACGGCGTCCGAGGCACACCTCGGAAGCATGTTTTTGCATCTAGAAGCAGAACACTTCAGTCGAACTAACCAGCTCTGAACTGGATAACTGCAGTGCGCACATATTGGTATTGTGGGACGAAACATCACGTGTTACTTACTTGAAGTTGAGTGCTTGGTCGAACGTGAGGGCTTCTTCCTGGCGGCAGAAGTCGAGGAGCATTTCAAAAGGATCTGGGGCCAGAGGAGGTAGGATGCTCTTCCTCGGTATTGAGGCCCAAGTCTGAAACATGGCAGAATTTCTTTTTTTTTTTTATGTAGTTGCTAGGTGAAGTTACAGCATGTCCAAATCAAATGAGTTCTTTGTCAAATAAATTGTGCTTATCAAGAAATTAATAAACCAATATATATATATTACTTTCCATAAAGATATTTTATCTTCAGGTTGCCTTAACTTACATTTGGTGGCTTCATTTGACTAACAAAGGCAGGCCCCAACCAATGACTGTGGCTAAAGTTGAAGCCTGGGCGAGTTGGTATGACATTCTTAAAAGGTTAAAACAGCGCAAAAAACGACGGACAAGGTAAAGAAGGACACGGACAGAGCGCTGAAAAAACGACAGACAAGGTAAAGAAGGACACGGACAGAGCAGTCCGTGTCCTTCTTTACCTTGTCCATCATGGACAGAGCGCTGTCACTTCGATGGCAGCGCTCTGTCCGTGTCCTTCTTTACCTTGTCCGTCGTTTTTTGCGCTGTTTTAACCTTTTAACAATGACTGTGGATTGGTTAAATCGACCTTTACCATGCAACAGGAGTTTGAAACCATTGGGCAGGCCCCAATCGGATTTCGATTATGTATATGTCATCCACACTACAGTAAGCCTTCGTCAGATTGTGGGCACCTCAGCCGGGATACGAACTTGCAGACTGGGGATAGGTAACTAGGTACTTGTGGCTTCCAGCTAAAATGATCTGATGGCTTCCAGCATTGAAGAGGCCAACTATATCGCACTGCCAGCTAGCTTCACAAGCAACATTGGTAATAAGCATCTCTGGCAAAGCACCATGGCTTTGGGACAGGCTTCGTATGTGCAAAAGCTAGTGTATAAACTATAGAATGCGACATAGCTCAAATACACAATTACAGGTTTTCTTGCAGTTGTAAAGTTGCCATCAAAACTGGTAGCAGTGAAATATGCGTATCTGTGAAAGCGACTCGGGAGGTTGGTATAAAATAACTTGTTTGTCCCGAACATCCACTACAGAGTGTAAAAAAAATTTGATGTGCTCAGGTTGTCTTATAACAAGTTACTGGAATGTGAGGCCAATTTTTCTCCTAATTAAGTCAATCTAACGGGCCATTGGTTCATATTCATCAACTTACCTTGGGCCTTCTCGAGATGAGGCTACTTCTGCGCACGGACAACGAAGCTTCTCTCTGGAGTGGAGAAGCAGCAGCAATGCAGCTGGGCCCAGAGACGACCCTTGCCTTTGGTAGTTTGTTTTCTCTGGTTTCTTGCAAAGAGGGTTTCTTGAGTGACTCTTCTACGTGATCCTCGCTTAGCTCCGAAAAACGACGTTGTCTGTCTGCTTGCACGACTTGCAACCCAGTGTTGTCTGCTACCATCGAAGTGACGCAGCTTAGCTTCAGAATTGTGGAGTCAGTACCTGAAGAGTCGTTTCGAACAATGTTCCCACTTTCCCCCAGCGGTGACTTCCCGAGATTAGCTTCTATCTGGGGTGCCAGACGCGTGAGGTTGACTCGTACTTCCCTCAATCCAAAATCTGTTGAGATGTTCCAACACTGAAGGTTCGAAGTTAGTCCGTTGACCATCAGGCCTCTGCTTGTACTGGACCCCGCATTCCTACACAACATGGAGGGTTCCCGCCTGGAGGAAGAGCTCGGGAGACTTTTGATATCGGGCAAAGTGTCTGTGAGGTTGCCTTGTGGGTTCCTTGGAAGGATCTCTGCCGAGGAATTTTGGCTGCTGAGGTAGTTGGAAGATGAGGCATCTGACTGTCGTCTGCTCAGCGCCAGACTTTTTGTGACACTGGAGCTCACGGCATTTGAACTTGTGAGACTTGAGCTTGAGGCACTTGGGCTTGCGGCACTTGGGCTTGCGGCACTTGTGCTCGTGGCACTTGTGCTTGTGGCACTTGTGCTTGTGGCATTTGTACTTGTGGCCGCTGCTGTTGCACGTTCTTGGGGATAAAATTTGGACTGTGGTGAAATGTCTGTGAGCCCGACACGCATATATTTCTGAAGGATCTCCGTTAATACGTCCCGACTGGAGCCGTTGCTTTTGCTCCTTTTTGCCACTCTCTGTTTGCCACCGGATTTCAACTTACCTTGTGTTTGAGACAGAATATCCGTGAGGTTCACTCGCAGTTCTTTCAACACAATCTTCTTTGAGGAATCTTGTCGAGCAAGATCAGACGACAGCTTTTGTGGCTTGCATCTGTCACCTTCCGAACTCTCTGTGGCAAGATCCACCAGGGTGACACGGAGCCCCTTTAAAAGACTCAACTTCCCGGGAGGGACGTCCTTCTGATGAAGGTTCCATGTTACATCCTGTAACTCTGAATTTCGGTCCTTGTCCTTCTCGCTCGGCACGTCGCAGCCAACCCTCGACCTCAACATCTCTACTGGTTCGTGCTGTGTAATGCAGGCGAAGGAGTCATTGGCAAGAATCGAGTTTGTCCTATCTGCAAGGGATGCCCGCGAACTCTGGTCAAGGAGGTTGAGGAAAAACGCCTTCTTGCCACGAACCACCTCCTTCTGCAGATGCTGTGGTGCAGGCGTGCTGGCAAAATTGGGCGACCAGCGTTCCCCGAGACGTGGCAACACAGCTTCTGCCAGCGGCGTGTGACCGGATGCGAGATATCCTCCCGATATGCTCTCAACGACATTTCCGCTCTCAACCTGCGGCACTGTCCTCTTTCTCTCCGAACTCAAGCGCTTCATTCTCTTCCGACTTTCAGGCGGACTCTGCGAGGACCCCTCTGCAATGCCACGTTCTCGTCTTTTCCTACGAGCAGTCGCCCAACTTGAGCCACTTTCAGGAAGCAGCAACAACGGCACGGAACTTTTGCTTACGTCGGCGCCACGAGTTCCGCGAGACCTGCAAGCTTCAGTCGCAAGTTCGTGCTTCTCAATCATGCTGAATTCTTTTTGCAGCATCGCTATGGCGGGGTCAGACGCAATTTCTGCAACGCTCTCACGTCTGTCCCAATTTCTACTGGAGCTTCCGGTTCCCAGTCCACTGCTCGTAGCGGTTTCTGATGATTCGAATCGAGCTCCACGCAGAGCATGTCTCACGGGAGCCGCGTCTACTCGTCTCGGTCTGACCCGCCGCTTGGCTGGCGGTGGCTTTGCTTTTGGCCGTCCTCGTTTCTTTTTTCTTGAGACTGCAGGCGCCACACTACTGGAGGATTCAGAAGACCCCTGAAAGATGGAAAGGTGTCAAGAAATAAGAACAAGGAAATGTTGTCAACACAAAACTTTCGTGGTAGAGAATTGTTGACCTGTTCCCATGACCAAAGCAAAAGAATATGTCTGCAACTAAGAAAATTTACTTCTTCAGTTTCATCTCTCTTGAAGAACACAGATATATGTGTATAAAGCTGGCACATTTATTCCTAAGTGCAACTTTTCAGCATTTTGGAACGTGCTTGTCTACAGATCAGCACAACCTGTGGGAATCGTGAACTAACAAATAACAATAAAAATGGTCTCACGACATTCTTTAAAGGCTTGTAGTGGATATTGCATGTTCTTCTTTCCGTGGTTATGACACGTTATATTGTTCTAAGCTCTGTCCTTTTTTATGTGATGGTAAATACATCTTAGATTTCCTGTTTCTTTCCATAAACTGTTCGACCGCCGACCACAAGCTCTCAATGCTGTAACGCCAAACGCCGGCGTACACGTTCGAACATTAACAAAGACCACCATGTTAGAGACAAAGCCTGCTCACTTTGCGTCTGCCCACTAATTGGCACAGTTGTAGAATGTCGAGGTTACAGTCATGGGGGTCAGGGGTTTGATACCCGTTGGGGCGCGTTTAGAATTCTTCTCAATTTACCACTCTTTCAAACAGATTGTCCTCTGAAGTATGTGTCGCATGTCTTGTAACAGCTTTCATGGCATTGTGTCACGCTTTTCTCCGCGATCTTAGCTGATTGTGTGTTGAGAAGCTGCCGCTGCCACAATGAAGGATGTGTCACATCTCTTGTAACAGCTTCCGTGGCATTCCATCACGCTTTTCTCTGCGATCCCAGCTGATTGTGTGTTGAAAAGCTGCCACTGCACCAATAAAAATATGGCGTGCCACTCACTGGTGACTGGATGGTCATTCGCCGCTTCGCCCTCCTGATCTTTGGCGGCCTGAGCTCGGGCGAACTGCTCGAAACGTAGACACAGAAATTATCCAAAGGGCTGCGTTCCTCTGTCTTGCTTGCCAAGGTAAGATCAAAGAGACCACAGGGCGAGGCTTGCCGCTTGTCATCATTGCCCTAAAAAGAGGCATCGTACATTTCCCATAAAAATTACAACCAAAAAAAAGAAAAAAAAATTTTTTTAGAAATGTTTTAATGTGTAATTGGCACTTGACCACAATTGGTTTAATTTGTCCCATTCAACATGAAGGTCTTTATGTGAATGTTTCACTGACTTACCTTAGATGTGTCTGTGGTCACGACAGCTGCTTTAACCTTGCTCTTCGACTTTGCCCTGAAACAAAATTTAAAATTTAACAGCAATGAGGCTGTGACGGCAGTTGCTGCAACAACACACTCGTCAACTCTTCTTTCTCTCGCCGGGTTGTTTTGGTTCTGCATGCTGTGAACAATATTGCAGGGGGGATCAGTGGCCGAGTATATACTCCGTTCACCCCTAAACTGAGATTACGGTGGAAGCTACAGCCATCACTGGACAAGTCATACGCATCTCTTTCGGCATGTGATCACGCTCCCGCGTACACCCATGCAAAGAGAGCTGGGTCAGGTGATGAAACGGGGGGCAGCTAATTGGTTTGGCGGGCTTGGGGGTAAACAGAGTATAATGCACTGCAACCTGGAGCACGTAGAGCGAAAGCTAGCGCTACAGAAGCTGCAAGGATCCTGGGCTCCGTCCCAACTCCTGCTTGTCTCCATCTGGAGGAGCATCATACCGGCGTGCAGCTGTGTATCACCACTGCATGATGCAGGTTGACTCTTTACTGATCGCGCCCATAGGCCATTGATCACCGAAGACCGATGGTTTCCAAGCACCGTCAAGAAATTGAATTTAGTGCAGAGAATTATGTTCTACAATCTTGTGGATAGACGAAAAACTCTGGTTTCGGTTTCAACGTAGGTTTAAGGTTTATCGCACGCTGGTGGGTTGTCAAAAATAGTCCTGGGGGTGGTGGTTGCACTTGACTAACGTGACTAACTGCTTGCATCAGTCTTTGTAACAAAAATGGCATTATTTACATAATTCAACCTTATTGTGGCACATTTTGTTAGACCTCAAAGGCTCTGGGCACACTTTAAATTAAATTATAGGCGTCGCTTAACATATGTTTGTCGGTAAGCATTACTATAATTTTCAATGCTGTCCTGAGCCGGCGTGCACTTTTTATGTTCCCAACAAGGTGGACAAAATGATAAATATGAAGGAACTGCAATCAAGGCTATGACAAAACCCATGGAGAACACAAATAAAGCATTCTGCTGGGGATGTGAGGTGAATTATCTGTGTTACACACAATATAAAAATTTCTTGGATGAAAAGCACGTGTCTTACACGAAGGCCAACTCTCCGACGAACCAAACATGGACAACGACAGTTAGAGTACACTAACTTTCAGAAGTAATAGCAGTGGGTGTGGGGCACATTTTGTATATTCGGTATTTTTCTTATTTCTCGTTTAATTTGACATAGCTGTAAAATTTTCGACGTTTATACACCTTTCGCATGTGCATTGTAATTTCAAGAAATAAAATGTTTAACCGTAGTGTCTAGAGTACCGTCCGACGGCACTCTTGCAGAGCGTTCAGGTGCCGTCCGACGGTACTCCACTCACGCGTCCAAGTGCCGTCCGAAAGTCTTGCAGAAAACGAGTTCTCAAAACGAGTTTTTCGAGGCGGGGTGTAGCTTAGTGGTAAGATGACTGTCTCGTAAGCAAGTGATCCCGGGTTTGATCCCCAGAGCGGGCATTCTTTTTTTTTTGTTTTATTTTCTCTAACATATTATTTTGCCAACGCATTAAACAATATTTACTTTTTTTTTCTTTTTTACAGTGAACACAGGATAAAATTAATGTTGTCACCGTCATTTCGCTGAACGAAATGGTATGGGACTTGGTACAGCGGGGCTTGGTTTGCCGGCTGGACGCCGCGAAGCGGCGTGTACGACAGCGTCAAATAGGTCAATAGTTTTGTCAATAGCAGCCGCATAGTGTCGGCGCGAAGCGGCGTGAGCGCAGGCAGGGGGGAGCCGAATCTCTTTCGGACGGCACTTGTAGGCGCGATTGGAGTGTTAAAATCCTTTTCCCACATTATACCAATCTCTGTTTCTTTTGAAAGAAGAACTAATTAACCTCATTTTGATGTGCCATATTGCTCCATAAGCAGATAATTAGAAAAATAAAATCGTTTGCATGGATCCCTTGAAAATTGTTGCTTTTCCCGTGGTCAGGCTAGCGGTTGTACTGCGCCGGCTAAATTTCTCATTTTCAGCTGTTCCCGCCGTCTGAACATACGCTTAACAAAATTGACAATATTGTACGCGTGGGTACCAGAAAAATGCCCGAACTACTCACTGCAAGCTGTCGAAGATGGTCTCGAAACGATCATTGGGACTGCGAACCCGTACGACTTCAGGGCTCCATGGACGACTGGACTTGCCGACTTCCAGAAAACTAGTCTTGAACTTCCGACCATACGTTTTGAGCACCTTCATCCCTCTCCTACTGAAGACTTAGCACTGATTGTTGACTGCGGTCATTTTATAATCGCAGGTCCGAATTTAATTGATAAAACAAAACGTACAGATAAGGAATTGATAAGGACGTCTCGATCGAGCTGCAACAATGCAACCGCTGCAAGCAACAAAAAGTGCCTGTTTTCAAAAATAGGATTGGCTTGTCTTGGCGTCTTGAACTCTTGAGCGTCTTTGCCTCTTGGCTCATGTCTTGGATTGGCTACTTGGAGCTATGGTGCAACTTCGGAGCCGAGGAGGTTATAATAAAAGTCAAGGAGGTTATAAGTTATGATTATAATGCAATTAAAGTACTAGTACAGTGTACTAAAATACTTGGGTAGTGTTGGGACCGGAGCGGCTCGGCAACGGGAGCTCATGAGGGCGGCGCTGTAGTCGAGTTATCCGGAAAAAATCGCGCAGCCCGCCTTTTCTTTTTTTCACTTTGAGCGGTGCACGTGTCGGTACCCGGTACCACGGTGTTATACACTCCGTTTCACCTTATGTTGTACCGCAGCGAAGGCTAGAAGCGCGAGCTCATAGCGTTGGCAGCTGCTTTTGGTGCACGAGAGCTTGTGCCGCCGAGGTGTGCCCCAGGGCAAGGAGCTCGCTGCTCGCGCATGTAGCCTTTCCTGCGGTACAACACAAGGCAACACAAGGTAAAACAGAGTATAAAACACACACAAAAAAAAAAAATATATAAACGGTATTTTTAAATTTTTTTTTTTTTTTTAATTTTTGTGGTAGGCAAAGGGTTAATGAACTGTTTAATGAACTGTTTAACAACGAACTTTGAGCGAATGCAACAAGGTGCTCGTTTTTGTTGTGTTTGTCTGTCCCTCCTGGTTTTCCTCCCCAAGTTTAATTATCTCTACCAACCCGCTCGTTCTGTCCTGAGATATTCATCGCTAAAAGTTTGCCTTTTTTCGCTTAATTAAAAAACCGCGCGCTGAAAGCGCGAATGAGGTTGTGCTGATATTGATGCGTAGAAGAATGACACAGTTGTTTCTGTCCCCTCATCGCTAACTCGACAGCGTGTCTTCGGTGGCCTCGCCGGCGCCACACAAGACGACAAAGTCACTATTCTAGATATTATTTTCATAACGCGGTTTCTGAATCAAGCGAAGAAAGGCAAACTTTTACGATAAATTTCGCGAACTTCGTTGCCTTTTCGCGAATTGTCGAAATTGTGTTTGCCTTTAATAATGACTCCTTCCAATTAAGCCGTTAATAAACAAGTTACTAACAGATTTTGGTTAATTATTAAACATTGCAACGGTTATTCACCCATTTATTGTTCACCGAGCCCAACAGATATAACGAAAGACGGTATCCACATATCTGCCACATCCTTTTTTTTTTTTTTTTTTTTTGTAAAATATGTAAAGTTCTGTAAAGAATAAAACAAAAACACCTTGTATGTGCGTGAACCAGATACGCTCCCTGTGGAACCATGGGTCTTTCACTTCGAATATACCCAGCTCAGGAAAGACTTACCTGGTTGTCGGAAAGCAGCTGTCGGTTAAATGTATTGTTATGAGCGTGCAGGTTTCAGATGGTTTATCCATCAATCAAGAGGATAATGCGCTGCATATTGTAACCACATTGTAACCATTATTTCAATGCCGTGCTGTAAACTATTAGAACTTTTTCCTTGCCTCATCTACGTGTGCTCATGTTCTCTGCTCAAAATGATGTGAAATAGTTGCTTCTTTTCTTTGAATCTTATAAAGCATTACTTGTTCAGCCCATGTTGTCTCAGTTTTTGGACTTAAGTTCAATGTTAAGACGCGTGATAAAAATTGTCACGGCTTATATGCCATTTCTTACAAGTGAGCGTCGGGTGGTCCTCGGATGGTCGTGGCAGCCATGAAGAAATAAAAGATTCTCACCCCTTTGCGACCGTCGCTTGGATGGTTCGTCGCATAAATGAACACAAGAATGAGTGACAAGTGAAGCGAGCTGATTGAGGTCAAGAAAAAGAAGACGGGCAGAAAAGAAGACAGAGAAGTTAACCTGGGATATTCAAAACATACTAAAACAGTCTTCATTATAATTCCATTATAAAATAAAATAAAATAAAATAAACTGCCTCCGAGTTTTAGATATCCCTTTCAAATATCTAATGTTCGGCCTTTGCGACCAAGGAAATGGGCATTTCATTTAAAATGTTCACCATCCGACAAACCGAAAGTCGCAGCTAATTCTACGCTGAAACGACTTGCAATCCACTTCTTTAAAGTCGCAATTGTTTTTATGTAAAGGAAGGGTAATGTAGCTTGTACCGTCCAATACATTGAAGCATCATGTTGCTAACGATCGTGCCGCAGCGTAATTGATGCCGCGGTACGACCGCTGGCAGGTCATAGCTCTATCAGAAATCCTATGTGCACTCCACCAAAGTGGCACCAAAGATTCATATTTCCGCGCGTGCAGCCGCGCATGCGCACTCCTTCTGGATAACGCGCCGGTGTCGACACCTGTCGCGATCAATACCACGCGCTTCAGGCGAGCCCCTCCGGTCCCAACTTGGGTCCCAACACTACCCACGTATTCTAGTACACTGTAGTACTAGGGGGCACGTTGCAATATTGGTGAATCCTATAGTCATAAAGAGTTTAAAAGGACACTGACACCCCCCCAAAATTTTTTTTTATTTTTTGCCAGGCGCTTTATTATGGTGTCGGAGGACTACCCAATTAATATTTTGCAACAGAGTAGCGTATTTCTTTAATAAAGCCAAAAGACGCAACTGCTCGAAACCGAAACCGAAACCCGACGGAGGTCGGAGAAGTGGAGAGAAGAGAGCGACTGGCGGAAGTCACGTGGCTACACCCAACCGTGCGGTTTTTTTTTTGGTTTTTTTCTCCTCTCCAGTAGCAGACGACACGACATGCGGCGTGCGATGCGGCGTGCGGGAACTGCTTGCCGTGCGATTCTTTTGCAGTTATGTTTGTTCCGCTCGTTGTTCTGTACTCCAAGATGAGTTGTTTTGTACATTGAGGAGTTGGAGATGAGTAGTGAGTGCCCGCGGTGAATTTCCATTATCGGCTCCGAAAAGAATAAACCCAAGATGTTGCGTGAAGAGCTGGCTCACATGTCTTGCATCCGAAAAAAAAAGTGGCATTGTGCGACAGAGTTTCCGAAAGATCAACGGTATCGGGACCAATGGCTGGCTGCTATTCCTGTAGAACATTTACGGGCACCCCGGAAAGCGGACGCTACCTGATTTATATGCTCCTTGCATTTTGTGGAAAGTGATTACATTGAGTTCGCAGGTGTCAAAACGGAAATCACATACCATTTAATTCAGCGAAGTATCGTCCGCAACATTTGTTTGTTATTTTTTTGTTCGTTTCTTCAGTGATGATTGTAAAAAAAAAGAAAAAATATGTAACCATCAAAAAATGTTAAAAAAAAAAAAAATTCACGGGGGATCGAACCCGGCCCTACCGCGTGTGAAGCGGACGTCTTTCCCACTGAGCTACTGGGGCAACTCGTTTCTGGTGAATCTCTTTCCTTAGTAATAATTCAGCCGGTAAACTGTAAGTTGGAAAGTTTGCTGTCGATTTTTCTCTAGCAAAAGCACTCCCGGGTCGAAGTCGGGAAGCACCACGCTTTGGGGACATTCGCACCTAGTAAAGAAATCGTACGCGTACATATTCAACTCGAAGTAGACACGTCGTGCTTGACGTTTGCGCGAGCGATGTCTTCTGCCACGAGAAGGGAGCGACGGCTCGGCGACGTCTTCGTGCAAATCGGCTTGGTGGCCGGGCGTGTCGTACGGGATGAATACCAATTCTTTTGATCAGTCCCAAATTTCTCTTTTAACGGTAGACAGAATTCGCCGGTACCGCGAACGACAGTTCTGAAATAGAGGTCCCACGCCCGTCGTCCGCTGCCATCGCCGTCCCCGCGAGTCCCACGATACGCGAAACGACGAACGCACAGAATGCTTCCGGTTGTCTGTGGAACTTTTTTTTTTTTCAATCAACGTATTTACAGCTTTTTAGAAGCCACAAAAAATGGGTTTCATACTTTTTTTCTATTTTTAATATTGAGTGTGTGCCTTCAGTGACCCACGACTTTGATTAAATTTGGTGGTCGCATCGATACCTTAGAAAACGGCCCGTGACCGCGGAAAAGAGAGTGAGCGAGACTCGAACCGGCCAGTTCTTGATCGGCGGTTTTCGGGCGGAAAGAAACCGAATTTCGAGCCGCAAATTCTGTTCTGGGTAGTTGAGCTCTCATATGTCACCTACAACTAAAAACCTCGGCGAGCATAAATACCCTGTCAGTGTCCCTTTAAACGATTTTGTGCCCAGCGTGCCCACAGATCTCTCTGGCGATTGGTGCGCGTGACATGTCACGTGTACGTGTACGTGTACGTGAAAAAACGTGTTTTTTTTTTTGTTTTTTTTTTTTGTCTAGATTAGTTTTTATAAGAACTAAAATAGTCTTCATAGCGCCGTCCGGTTGGTGAAAGGGGCACAATATGTGTATGGGCGCACGCCTTTCCCTCCTCACCTGCACACCGAACGGCACCACAAACTTTTAAGTGCAATAAAGTACTATCACTATCACTATCAGATGGATGGTTGATTGTATGAGGATTCCTTGCAGGCTTGCGCGCGCTCCGTCCGGTAGGATCAAGGAGGATAGAAGGGTAGGAGAGGGCATGACGCCGGCCGCGTAGCCTCCACAAGCCATGCTCCCTTGACGCCTCGCCTCTTTCTCATTTTCCTCCTTACTCTCCTCACTTACCATGCCAACGTGACCACATATCACGTGGCCGTAGCTAGCCTTCGTCTAGCTATGGGGTACTAAAATACACCACAGTCTAGCCTTCGAACTGATAAAACCTACCGGACGGAGCGCGCGCAAGCCTGCAAGGAGTCCCTCTACAATCAACCATTCATCTCACACGTGACATGTCCCGCGCACCAATCACCAGAGAGAACTGCGGTCACGCTGGGCACAAAATCGTTTCAACTTGAGCCAGTGGCCAAGCGCCCAGTGCGTACACACTATTGGCTCTCTTCTCCCCCCCCCCCCCCCCCCCCCCCCCCCAACCTCTATTACAACGCTTCTCCTCTTCCTCCGTTTAAACTTTTTATGACTATAAAAGTTTAAACGGAACGTGCCCCCTCCTATAGTCGGTTACAAGTCAAGAAGGTAGGAGAA